TTCTTCTTCTTCTTCTTCTTCTTCTTCTTCTTCTTCTTCTTCTTCTTGTGTTGCAAAGTTAGAAGCCTAGAAGAAGCAACATGCTGAAGGTTCATAAAATTATTTGTAGCCATTGTGGAGAATACAGAAAGTGCATAGAGAAGTTTCTCTCAACTGGCTGAGGAAGAATAGGTCTATCGATAGATGCTGTTCTTGAAAGGAGTTTGGAACCTCCATGGTTCAATGGAGACAAGATGCAGATGATAGAATTGCCTTTGAGGTCTGCATCTGATTGGTGACTGTGAAAAGCAGGATGCTGAACGAGCTGGACTTTTGGACCAATCCAGCAAGGCTCTCCCTAGCCCTAGCCCCTAGTTTATTGACAAGAGGGAGAAGAACTGGACAAATATGGACTGCCAGCAAAAATTAAACAGTCCTGGCAAAACAGTTCTTCCAGGTTTACTACTGAGCTCAGAATAATGGGGCAGAAAAACTTAGGAGCATGTGTGTGTGTGTCTAAATCACTGCTTCAAACTACATTTTCCCATAGCAATGGTATAATCTGAGGGGCAGATTAGCAAAAGTTAACCATCATGTGAACAGATAGGGTAATTCAAAGACAATCTGAAATGTTTGAAAAGAAATAAATAAGGACTGTTATGGATATCTACTTTAGCCATTGCTCAGTATTAGGCATGCTTTTATCTGATGGGTTGCTAAAATGTAGGATGCTTTTTAAGAAAGGCTAAAAATTTAAAAGTCTGTGTAAATGAGTTAATGGTTGCACTGCATATTTCTTGCTTGAACTGAACATCCGCTACTTGTACATTCAGTTGGGTGGATAGGAGTGGATTATACAAGTTAAAGGTTATCAGGTATGGTACTATTACCATCACTCCTTTGCTTACTATAAAATCTAGAACTGGAGGACCAAGAAGACAGTGACTTTTTGGATGACATGCCACAACTCCTCATGGGAATTATTTTGCATATCCTTCCAATGCTTGGGAGCTGTGTTGCATGAATCCAGCAAGCTTGGTATGTGAGGGGTAACCAATTGTCACATAACCCTAAAACAGATCATGAGTTATGTGAGGGTGGTTTAACCTTTGCATAGCCTACACTCACCAGTTTCTCACAACACAACGACTCCTGAGTGGGAATAACATATTCAAAATGGTGCCTACACACACTTCACATGTGCCACAGCCTCATCTTAGGTTAAATAACTCATAATGGGCTCTCATGCCAAACGAACAGCATGAATATGTTTCTACCTAAAAGTGGATTTTGCTGTAATGTAAAGGTGGGTAATTTCTGTATTCTTGAGCACCACATTAGTCAGTTATTCAGGGAAGTGCAATTTACTACACAAACTGGCTCTCCACAACTACTTATTTTTAAAGTTCCAGATTTTTGTTGATGTTCCTGACTTTATGTTTAGATGGTGAGTCAGAAACTTCACAAACCAAAGCTTTTGGTTCATATACAATGACAATATTTGCTTTAAATGATTAAATAACAAACTATGGTTCTATCTGGGTTGTGGTTAAACCATGCAGCTGAGTTCATTTCATCACAACAAGCCAGAATTCAACAACCTATTAACTAAGTACAATTTTTGACTGTATTTTGGGACTTAAAAATAGGGCTAGATCATGGTAGGATGATTTACATCATGGGCACATAACCATTATGTTCAAAAGGTGACATCGCAATGACCAAATTCTGAAGTCATTTGCAAGTGTCCAGAGAACACTGCCTTCAGAAAATCAGGCAAATTATATTCATGTCCCTGAGGTAATTTTGTTAAATAGGCAGGGGGACCTAGTGGTACTCTAAATAGGCTCTTAAAATTCTGAAACTGGCCAGTGAAATATTGTGGGGGAAAATCAATATGTAATTTGACAAGAGAAGGGTTGTAGGGTATACGTGTTACTGTGCCTTGCAGGAACTGTATTCCATATTTTATTTACTGGTTTTGTGGAAAGTCATCACATTTCAGGATTTCTGATGGAATTCAGAAGCTTCAATAAAACTTTTGGAGCATAAATACAAGCTCGTTGTTATTATTAATTTACTTAATAAAAGTCATTTGGAATTTATTGGTATATTTATAATTATGGTTATTAACCATTCTGATTCTGCCTTTATATGTTCATGAGGGAGAGAATGCTTGACATTAATTTCCATTGCCCAATATGTCATGCATTTTCCGGTAAATGAAGCAACATTTGGTCCAAACAAGAGTCAAAACTACCACACTTTGGGAAAGTTTGATTGCTCAGCCATACTTTTATTGGCCTCACTGAACTCCATGAAAATTGAGTTCTCTTTTTGTGCTATTAGGAACAATCATTTTAGCTATTATGCTGCACATAAATCCTGCAGTCTGCTGTCTCAGCCACTAGAAACATGGTTAATTGGCCCTTTATTTAAACTGATCTCTGCAAAAGTAATGAAAAGACTAATCTTTCCTAAATCACTTAATGTCTGATAATTGCTGATGGTGTCAAACCCTGATTAAAAACACCAGCAAAGCAGCTGTCTTTTTGTCCTCTGTAATTATGACTTGGCATTGGATGTCATGGCTAGGTAGATATTTGGTTTCTCTAGGCTCCTGGAACTGAACGTACAGGGAAGAGAGTGCATTCAAATAGGAAGCCAGGAAGATGGAAAGAATGAGTTTTCTTCTCATGGATTTCATTTGATCAAGAATTTCCTTTTTCTTTTTTGCAGAGAATAGAAAAGGCTGTAGGAAAAAACAGCTATCAAATATCGTTAAGAGGCACAAGACCTTTTCACTTTTTTCCTGCTATATGTGAGCAGCTGTTACCTTCAGAGATTTTAAAATTGAGTTTAATCAGCTAATCAACCAAAATAAAATCTAAGTGATGTCTAGACAATTATGCCCACTAATAAAGCTGAAGAAGCAAACAATCTATAATGCATTTACAGAATTATGAATCTTGTTGTACCTATTTGCCTCATATCAAGGACGTGGGTTTTAACATATTTTAAGTTTATTTATGGTAATTAATTTAGCAAACATATTTTAAAACAAGGATGTAGATTATATAGTGTCCCACTATCAGTGCCTCCAGCAGGAAGGCTCCTATTAGTGCTATCAACCAAATGGTAGCATGCACCTTTCCCATCTTCAATATAAGGCTTTTGTTCCTGATAAGAAAAAATGATAGAAGGTAGAAAATTCAGGATTACAAATCCCAAAATGGCTATAAACTTTTGTGTTTGAGGCAGGGTGATTGCAAGATAAAACCCTAATCTAGAAACACCCTGTGGCAATTTGATTTGGCATTCAAACTTTATGGGTTTGGTCTATGATGTGTGTGTGCACGCACGCACCAACCGTATGCATTTCTTGCTCCTGAATATACGTAAGGTATAACAGCATCACATAAATGAATTCACTGAAACACACCAGTGATCTTTCTTACAGCACAGAACAGAGAAAGATTCCTTATATAGTAGAATGGTAGCACTGGGCCAACTTTCTGTGTCCTACCTAGTGGGAACAGAGCCAAGGGCTTTCTGCATATAAATCATGCACTCTGCCACTGAGCTACAGTCCAATCCTGTCAGAATAAGTATAGTTAAAGCATTCATATTTCCAATGCATGCTTTTGTAGACTAGCAATTCCAACATGTGTTTGCCATTGTGAAACTAGAAGTTGTGATTGGAAATTACTTCTGATTAGTTAGTTCAGAGAATTTAAGAGGACTTGTCTATGGTAAGGCTTTTATAAGACAATCATCTTGTTTCAATCACAGAATTTTACGTGGCAGTCATAATTATGTCATTTCATTCAACTTCCTTCTACACAGAAATCCACTGATGACAAGATGGAAAAGCTGCATGGTATGTTTTGATAGTGGGAGAAACTCTGTCAGGGAAACCCCATCTGCTATAGCTTTTAAAAATTGGCCCATGGCTAAAATTGCTTTATCTAGCTGCAATTTGCAGTTTAGTTTAGTTTTGTTTTGTTTTTAGAAATCTACTGATCTATTGTTTTACATTTGTTTCACATTAACATGCTAAGCTATCAATGCTACAGAAAGGAGAATGTTTAAAATGAATTACTTGCATTTCAGCAGCAGCTGCTGTCCAGATACTTTAGCTGGTCACTTATTCAATGACAATTTGAATGCCCAAGTTCAATCCTGCACATGTTTAGACAGAAAAAAATGCCTACAATTCCCAGCATATCCCAGCCACTGTACACTTCATGCATTCACCTAGCCATTCTTTTACTGTGTTTTATCTGTATTTGATCAGCCAAATCAGGAATCTAACTTGAAACAATATGCTGAAGTGCGTAGATACTTAAGGTGTTTAATCTCAAACCTTTGGTTAGTCATATACCAACTCCTGTTTAAGTGTGTTCACACCAGTTTGGGCACACGTCTTTTTAAACAAAGCATGGAAGAGCTAAGGAAAGTTGTTTGCAATTTGTACTAACAGTAAGCACATTTTTTCTTCCCTGCTATATGCTACAATATGAATAAATTGATTTTCTCTCTGGTCAAGCATGTAGCTCCAAGCTCAAGAGGTAACACTTGTTTTTAGGCCTAGGTCCTGATAATACCATGTCAAGTTCGAAGAAAAATTCCCAGCTCCTGTAATGGTGCACAGTGCTAGCTCTGGGTTTCTGAGAATCCAGTGAGCTTACTTTATTAGAATTGTCACAAGCTGAGATTGCTCATCTTCTTCATTATCATTGCTAGTGTTAGCTTGCTTGACAGGCAGGAGAACAAGCAGGTTGTGAAAGTCAAGAGAAGCAACTCCAGAATGGTCTTGTCAATGGGTCTCTGTTGGAGTAGGGCCCATTGGCATGCAGTGCACTTGAAGCCAGTTCTGACAGTGTACAGGTAACACTACAGATATATTGTCCAGAGAATACATCCTGGTCAGAACAATGCATTTCACCATTCCCAAAATTTTCTGCAATGTTGACTTTATTGAAAAAAGACAAACACTTGTGTTGACAAACCAGCTTTATTACAGAAGAAATAGTGAAGTGTAAGAGCTCATTCAAAGAGATACTGTTCCCAAGACAGAAAGTAACTCAGCATATAGATGGTACAATAGCCAACAAGTGTACAAAATGGAACGTTAATTCAAGGTGAAAAATTAAACATATTACAAAAGTTCCTCTTTATATAATCGTGTTACATTTTATAGGCATTTCTTTTGCATTAAAAAAAGACATCTTGAAGATAAAATCTTGTCAAATCAAAAACTGGGTTTATTACTGAAGTTTATTACATGATAAGAATAGAGTAACAAACTGCATTGCCTTGAATAAATGAAAATGTAAACAGAGGGCAAGAAAATCAGAAAAGAGCTGGACTGATCCCTTTTCATAATGTACAAAAATGCCTATTCCCCAAAAACCAACAGGCTGGTCAACAGCCAAAATGTGATTTAATTTTCAGAGATTTTTAAAGTCTTTAGAAAATTAGGGCATGCAACTATTTAATATCTCAACAACCCTGCCTTGTTCCCTTAATGCACATTTAGCACAGCACCAGGGAGGTATAAAATAAATCCTTTCATAATTCTAAAATGCTTTTAGAGGCACCCAATATCATTAACAAAATTGTGCATATTTTTTAAAATTAAAAGTCAAAATCTGAAATTCATTTAAGTTGAAGGCAAATTTTAGGTAGAAAAATTACTGCTAGAAAGCATCTATGTTAATATCTGAAGTATATTTTTAAGAATTTATATATTTTAAAAGATACAGTTTTAGAGGAAACAAATTGCTGGCTTATATGCTTTAATATGCTAAATATACAAGGCTGAACTACTGATTCTCTAGCTTTTGTAAACAAGTATGCTAATTAACCAAAGCCTAAGCACTTTGTGAAAAGAACTCCGTTTCTCTTCCTGAGATGGACATATTGCTAGAGAAGGAAGCTAAACAAGACTGTTAATGGTTCTTTCAACGATTTGTAAAGCTGAAGCAATATACTAAGCACAGCACTTGATGGCCTTTTTAAAAACAGTTGTTACTATTCAATTTTACGCAGCATCAGTAAGTGAGGCTGGAGACAACTCCAGAGAGCTTCAATTCAAGGTAAGCATGAAATTCATGCATACATGTCAATAACACTTAGTCAAGTGCCATTTTGCTAGTAGAAGAAATTGTGTTATCAGCAATCCTTCTTTAAATTGCTTTAAACTCTCTGAAGAAACTGTTGTCTTAAGCTTAAAAGGCAAGATGGTAAGCTTAAAAGGCAAACTGATCTGGACTGGTATTTTAAAACAGACTTTTCATGATTTAGGTACTTCTCTCTTCAGAAAAAATACCTCAAGTTTATACTTAAACTGTAGCCTTTCATGTTGAAGAAACCTCCAACTAGTATGAGAAAGGTGTATGATTATGACACATTGCACTGGTCCTTTCTACAACATTTCACTTGAAAAATACTTCTACAATATAACAACTGCTATGCTTTTAAGGAAGTGATGAGCTTATCACACCAGATGAAACCTCATCTTCTGTGTCACAATAGCCTTCTTGTGGGCTGACTGACAACTCTAAGATAGTGCATACAGTAACCACTTTGATATCTATACTTCTAGACTCTAAAATTGAGATCTTAGGTCAGCCATTCCACTTAAGAAAAATAGAACTCTTGTTAAAGATACAAAGTGGTACCATACCAGTTCATATGTGAATGCTAAGGACCTGCCAATTGCTACATATATATGCTCTGAATTTAAAACAATCATGTGCACCAGTGGAAACTCTAATATGGAACTACTCATAATGGTAATAATCTTGACGGTAATAGCATATGAGGAAATATGCATACAAGGAACAGAGATTAAAGTGGTAGGGTACTCTACTTATTTTTAACAGTGGGCCCCTAACTTTAATATCAATTAAAGTTCTTAATTTTCCTGGCTCTTTTTATTTATATTCAGCACATATATAACTGATAAACTTCAGCTTTCCAATTGCTTCTCATGAAGTAGCTGAGAATTGCAACCAACATTTCATTAACTTTTTATAACTTCATGATATCATAGCCACTGTGTTCCTGTCCTTTTAAAAAATGCATGCCTAATTTTGTAAATTTTGAAATCTACTTGCTTAGTGAATGGCACAATATAAATTAGTTTTCAAAAGTGCAAGTTTATAAATATCTAATGAAAAACCTGCTGTTAGCCAATTATTAAGATACAAACCTTGGGACCAGTGTACAAAAAAGTAAGTATAATCTTGGTACTCCTGAGCTGTTAGGGAAACTTCTGTGTTCTGGAACACTGTATTGGTCTCTTCTAAATCACAAGTGATGCAGAACAAGAGATATAATACATGAAGAGTGTAGTTCTACAAGCAACTACAGCAGACAGGTTGATTAGTGGTCCTTTTCTTCGGTCACTTGGCAATTTTACAAAGTGCTCCAAAAATAGTTTTAAGACAGGTATTAAAATAGAATCAAGCGACTAGTTACTCAAGTACACTCAAATAAGTTTCTTAGTGTGGATGCACACACACTTCATTCCTTATTATACAGAGATAAAATCAGTTAATATGACATTAAAGATCCAATTTCCAAGGGTCTTCTCAAATCATTACATGACATAGTTGGGAAACCAAATATGAGAAGACAATACAAATCCCTCCAATGAGCAACAAGCGTAAGGCAACCAAAATGATTAAAAAAAATCAAATGCAAGTAAGGTAATTTGGGGAAAATTAAACTTTAAAAATACAGCATGATCCTCTCAATACATAGATGATAGTCTACATTTGATATGTATGCAGTTATATCTCATCAACCGTAAAAGTGAATGTGTGTGTGTGTGTGTGTGGTGGGGGGGATTGTAATAAAACTCCAGCAGCAAGAGAAGAGAAATGATTCATGAGGGAACATTAGCACTAAGGCAGAGGTTTTCACATTGTTTCAGATCCAGGCTTTTTATACTACATTAAGTGGCCAGAAATGGAACGTTGCAAACTTCTAGCAGAAATGAATGGTTGTTTGTTTGCTTTTAAGACTCCCACTTGAACATTCTCATTGCTTCTAATGCTGTCCAGACAATGATTCACTATTAATGTGTAGTTATAAGGAATCGTACTTGTTCTTTTTGGAGACATTAACTAAGCAGCATTTCCCCTTCTGTAATTATAACAGTTGTCAAAACAAAGTAGTCTGAAAACTAACCACTGAATTCTAGAAAATAAGACACAAAACTAACTTTATACAAAGCCCCAGAAAATACACCATTTTTATCTAGGTAGTTGTAGTATTCAGTGTGTAGGCAGTTCTTGGACCCCGAAAGTAAAAAATGTGTAAATAGGAGGCAATAGTTTCAAATCCTATGTACTGTAGGTTTACCAAAACAGCCATTTCAGTTACAAAACTACAAAATCTGGACTAGACAACTTTGTGCTGAAGTAACACAATCAATTAGCTAGTGAATGATATCTGTAATTGATCCTGGGGCTTCTTATCACAAAATTCATTAACCCTGGGAGAATAACATTTGGTAGTTTTATCACATACTTAACAAGTTTAATAGCTATGCTCCCAGATTAATGTGTGCAGACATAGAATTCATATGGTTGTGCAGGTCTTCTGGTCCTCCATGTGACATTTCAGTGTGTAGAGATGGAACTTATCTTGATGGCCTGCACAAAAGCAGCAAATTGTATTTTGAAACTAAGATGAAAGTTCTTAATCTACTTTGTTCCATTCTATATATGGTTTCCCTTTTTGAAAGTTATCTATCAGTCATTTTCTAGGGAATGTGGCTTATGGTTGTGGTTGGAAATACATTTAGAAGTACTTGATGGCACTGGACACAATGAGACACTTTACAGGTTTATAGAGACCTTTGTATATAAAAAATGCCCATTACCTAATTTTCCAAAACCCTACTTCTTCTCACAGACTGTTATTTAGGTCACAGCTGAAATAAGCAACTTTGTGTTCTCTAGATGTTCTGGACTAAAACTCCCATCAGCCCCATCTCACAAGGGCTATAGTCAGTGATCACAGGAGTTGTCCAAAATATCTAGATGGCACCAGGCAGTTTACACCCGGTCCAGAGCCCAACTACATTTGTGGATTCTGCCTGTGAATATCTCCAGACTGGAACAGATGTGCAGAAAAGACACTGAAATTTTAAAAATGAAAAATATGCTTACAAATGTGTTCCTGGCTTACTGCCAACATTATAGGCACCTAAAACATATGTACATATCAAATCTATAATGTTCTACAATGCACCATTAGATGGGGAACAGGAAAATGGGATCATAGCAAGGAGCAGCCTGAAGCTGTTCCGCTTTACCATGAAGCTCCACTGACATCATGTGGTCTTACTTCCTAATAAATGGAGTACCAATTTAAATACCTGCAGTGTGCTGGAGAGCATTTCTATGGGTAGCTAAAACAGAGGATTTTGTAAATCTTACTATTCCTTTATGTGAGCAAAGAACACTCAAGCTTTTGGTTTCATCTTTTGACAACTGTCAAGAAAAACCAAAGGGCAGGGAGAAACCCCCTTGGCTTCTCTTTTGGTCAACATCCAGCGTTGGTACCTGCTCTACTATGGCAGCAGATAGCTCTGGCAACATCAAGCCAACCAAGGCTTCCAAATACCACACCTGCAGAGTTGCACGCTTCTGTTGTTGCATAAGTGAGACACCTTTTAAAAATTTTATAAAATTAAGACTAATTGTTTGCCAGCCGCTATTCCAGCCCCAGTGTGCCACTTGGGCATTCTGCATCAACTGTTAATGGCTGTCAAAAACAGAGATTGCAAAAATCAGCTTTTGCAATCTCAAGAAAAATATTAGAGGGACAAAAATGCATTGGCAAGTCAAAAATGTCTCACAGTTGTGGCAGGGAGGGTAAGAAAAACTGATGCTTCTGTGAAGTTCCCTGGTATACCTGCAGGAGGACAGAAGGAGGTGGGGGTGGGGGGAGAAACAAACAACCCACAACAAGCCAAACCATCTGTTGAGCATACCATGACTTGCTTGCTGAACGACCAGCCTATTTTATCTTATTGCCAGGTTGGGTTGGTATGACATGTGAAAACATCCATTGAGACCTAATATATTCTTCGTTATAAGCCAAGATGCCTGTTGCTTAAAAAGGAGGAACTGCAGAATCTAACATTTTTGCCCCAGTAAAAGGCACTTATTTAGTACTTACCAAGCTGTTTGCTTGCTTGTTATGTGAGGCACACAGCAAAACATTTCTTCACAGCATCCCTATGGAAAAACAGACACACTGATAAAACCTTTTCCTCTTAAGAATTTAAACTGGCCATACATATTTGATATATGTGTGAAAGTAACTTTACTTCAAACAAAACTGCATTACGCCCCCAGTTAACACCCACCTTTTCCATGAAGCTTTTGTACAACCTCATGGTCCCTGGGCCCAATTGCATCTAAGTCCTTCAAGTATCAGTATCTGAAATAACAGCACACTTTCCCCCCCTCCTGCATCCCCCTCCTCTACTGTCACTTTCTATAGAAATATAGATTGCAGCCTGTTTGCTTGCACAATCGAAAGCAACTTTCAGATTGTTTATGAAATGACATAAATTAAAACAAATTTATTACATTTCTATACCACCTATACTACAGCTAACACTATGAGGATGCTGCATTTTCTATATTGTCAATAAAATACTGTCAGTTCAACCTTCCAGCAAAGACGCATTTTAGTTCCTCTATTAAATTATTTCAGCTATATATTTTATACGCAATTTCTGGATGTTGGGTACACAGAGGAGCAATTTATTACACTTAAGATTCATTTTTCAGCTAAATAAATCACAAGATAAATATTTGTTTTATGAAGTGGATGCCTTCTGAATTTCACTGAGGAAAGTCATCATTACCTTGCAAATGGTATGTAGGAAATGCTGTACCTGGGAGATAATATAAATACATTAATCAGCAAACACAAATGCATCCACTGCACTGTATCGAAAGCAGGCATAATGTAATAATAATCCATAGTCCAAACCAAGAATAGTGAAGCAACTGCATGTTGTGACCTGCCAAGCAACAGACTAGCTAACATAGATAACATTTAGGTGCAAGTATGCCATCTGCCTTACTATCCTGCCTGTAAAAGATTAACCAGCACATCACAGAGTTTCTTCCATGAAAATTGGAGACTGTTCGTATCACCTTTCTCAAGACCAAGGTTTACTTGCAGTCAAATATGAGGCAGGGGCTCATTTCTCAGTGACAGCAGTTTTTTGACAAGTAGACCACTTATACAAAAGAAAAGTGGCCAAATGTGGAAGATGAATGAGAATTACTATAATTATTCTGGATCTCAGTGACCCTACTTTTAGATAGCTAAAGTCAAGGAAGCAACAACAATTAATAAGAATTTATACAGGACAGATTTAAACAATAACATCTCTATGAGAGGCAAAGTAGTTTTACATCAACAAAAATGTGGAATGGCATATGAAAACTTGCTGCCCAAATGGAATCCTATGGCAATGTGTTCAGAAAATTCTAGTGTTTCTAAAAGATATATATGGGTGGGTGCTTGGTTCCTTTGTGGTAGTCTTTTATAAAGGTGGTCCAATGTGTAACTGGCATGCAACAGAGAAACACATATTTCCTTTATAATGTATGTAAGCTTCTAGAAATTGCCGATTTCTTCTGAAAGATATTATGCTTATGGCAGGAATATGCACTCCTTGTGCAGACTAAGGGGCCCCTGGCCCTCCCTGTGTCCCACCTCCTCTAAGAAATGACTGGGGTGGGAGGGACTCTGATATGACTCCAAGAGCATCCCTTGAGGTCATGGCTCAGTCCACTTCACTTCTTCCCTACCTCACCTGATCAGGAAACAAGACATACTAGAAGAAAGCATGGTTACCTACCATGCCAAAGCAAAGAACTGCAAAATGCAGAAGATTAGGACAAGTCCCTTATTGTGCCACTGAAAAAATAAAAGAACAGTTACAAATTCTGCAAAGATAATTTCCATGTGCTTTATGAAGGCATACTAATCATGTAAGAGTTTTAAGAACTTACCCAGAAAGCTGAACATAGAGTTAATATAAGACACAACTGAAAAAAGAGAAAAAAAAGTAGTTTGAAAAATAGATATGACACTATGATCATAACTGAAGTGGGGTGGGGGTTTGAATATAGGTCACTTCTGGAAACAGGATGCTAGTCTACACTGACTGATCCAGCAAGGAAACTGATGTGCATTGTAAATAATTTAAGGTAACCTAAGAAGGATCAATACAAAAGAAACCTATATTTAGGATTTTGGACTAGCTTATGACAGTACTCTAGGGACTGCAGGTGGCGCAGTGGTTTAAACCGCTGTGCTGCTGGGCTGGTTGACTGAAAGGTCACCGGTTGAATCTGCACAACGGGATGAGTTCCCATTGCTCCGTCCCAGCTCCTGCCAACCTTGCAGTTCGAAAGCATGCAAATGCAAGTAGATAAAAAGGTACCACTTTGGTGGGCAGGTAACAGTGTTCTGTGCACTTTGGTGTTTAGTCATGCCGGGCACATGACCACGGAGACTGTCTGCAGACAAACGCTGGCTCCCTCGGCTAGGAAATGGAGATGATCACCACCCCCTAGAGTCAGGCATGACTGGACTTAATGTCAAGGGGAAATCTTTACCTTTACCTTTTTATGGCAGTACTCTGACTCTCTCCATGCCCTAGAGGTAATGTTAGGGCACAGCCCATTAGGACTGGAACTTCAAATGGAAGCTTTAAATCTCTGTCAGGCCATCTGCCCTACCATCATGCTATCCATAGCACCGGCTGAAAGAAAAGAACCTGATGATCTCTGTTGCATCTGATCACCCAAGATTAGTGTTTTTTGCTGCTGTTGTTCACATGGGCTTCACATCCTGCTGCCCCTTCAATTTTTTCTCCCCAGGAATTTTTTTTGGAAAAAAAAGTCATCCTCTCCCCCTGCTCTATATATCCATTTTTATGAACAGAAGTGTCCTTAGGAAACAGAGTCTTTTAAACACACTTAAAGTCTTTTCAAAGACTTTAGAACATATGTAAATTAGCATATGCACATCTATTGGGGGGTGTTTCTTTCCTGCCTGAGCCACAGATTTCAGTGCCTAGCACTGCCTCCGCCACCTCAAACACATGCCACTCATACTTCTAGTTCACATATCTTAAAGAAGTTTTTGTCAGCAAGTATATTCTAAGTTTCCTCCATTTTTTCTTGTGTGCAAGCATTTAATTACCATATCCTAAACTAATAAAGTCATCCCAACCCCATGCAGATACAATGGTAAAGAATACTTATGTCCAAGGATCCCAAAAAATAAGGGCCAAGAAGTTTGTGAAAATATTGCCCACATTACTGGCAATATTACATGGTTACCCTTCACCCCACTATCCATCTCAAAGATATCAACAGCCAGATATCAGTAAACATAAAAATTGAAGGAGCATTAAATCAGTTCCTGAAGAACAAGCTACTTTTTGCCATGACAGCTAAGTGCACTCTCCCTAAACAGAGGCAGTATATAGGTCAAAGTAGAGGACATTTGTTGAAGATAGACATGAAAAGAAGGCTGTTGCCTTCATGTCCATTTTTATAAGGTTCCCAAAGAGATGTGGCTGGCTGCCACTTGGAAACAGAATACAAGCATAGAAGAACTTGATCTGATCCAAAAAGATTCTATTCTGGCTATGAGATAGATAGATACATAATATGACACATACACATTTAACAAAAGACTAATGGAGCAAGCAGAGTACCTGTAAGTAGGATAGATATGAAAGCATTAAGAGAAGAGAAGAAGGGAAAACACAGCTGGTTTCCAGCCCTGCAGAGGACTCAGCATGGTTGAGTAGAACCTAGCTACTCTTTCCTATTGATAAGTATTTGTATGTATTTTATATTAGCTAATTGCTAATAACAACCCTGTTCTTTTGCTGTGTGTCACTTAAAAAACATGGAGAGCAATCTGTGGATAGGTTTAGATGATGTAGAAGCAAAAGCAAGCATAGAAGTATTTTAAAACATTATGGAAGATTTTAAAGAATCTTAATCTTCTTAAAAAGAGCACTAAACATAAAGTACAATTTAAATATATATTTAATCAACAAAAAAGCTTTATTACTTACAAGCATAATAATGGTAGCTATCAAACGAGTGGGTTCAAACATTCTTTTCAATTGTCTCATAGGTCCCATAAGAAAGATGGTGCTGTAGCAAAAAAACTATCTTAATATTTTAATGCAAGCATCAAAATATTTTAATGCAAGCATGGTTACCCGAAGGAGCGCTTACGTCCATATATGCCCGCCCGCCCCCTGAGATCAGCGGGAGAGGCCCTTCTCCGGGAACCCTCCGTGAAAGAAATTAGGAGGGTAGGTACTTGGAGGAGGGCTTTCTCTGCGGTGGCGCCCAATCTATGGAATGCGCTCCCCAGAGAGGTCCGCCTGGCGCCGTCGTTATTTGTTTTTCGGCACCAGGCGAAGACCTTTTTATTCAAACGTCATTTTAATTGTTAATGGTATTTATTTATTTTATTGTTGGCCAGGGCGACTTGTTTTATACTGTTAACTTGTTTTATATTGTTAATTTATACTATTTGAATTGATTTATTTGTAAGCTGCCCCGAGGCTTCGGCGAATGGGGCGGCGTAGAAATTTTCTAAATAAATAAATAAAAATAAATAAATAAAAAACAAAATGCATACACTATACTAAACTCTGTTCATTATCAAAGCTAAACATGACACTCCAACTGCACCACTGGAATCATTAGTATATATTCATTACAAAGATGTAACTTATAAAGTGCCATTAGGGACATTACTCCTTGGAAAACAAAATGCAAAATCATTGACTGGTAAGATGCAACAAACTGAGCCAATATAGTTAAATTACTTCCCACATCTAACATGAATTAAATCCATAAGCATGTGACATTATTCCTTTTGTTAACTATTCTGTCAAAATGTTTTGACTTATTTATAAAAAAATGAAAAATGATCACTTTCAAATATAATTTTTAGTTCATTCATATATGTATTGTTCTTTCACCAATTAGAAATTTTTAAAGAAGATTACCTTCCAAGTGATGAGATATTTCCCAGTGTGTAAAATACTGCAAACAAGACTGGTCCTTTCCTGGGAACCCATAACAAACAGGAGCCCTAGATAGATGCAGGGAAGGGGGCACAACACAAAAGAGTCTACAATAAATGTGAATAATTGTAGAAAAAGAACCCTGTGTTTATTAAGTACAAATTTCAGCGTTTGCCATTCATTCTCTCATACATTTCTTTAAATTACCTAATGCACATTAAGTCTTTTGACAAAGCCTTTTAAAAAGCCAATATTCTACGATGAGTGAACCATTCCGTGAAAAACTGTTTATACAAAATTTTTATAACTATTAAACACAACTATTTATTGCAACAATTAAAGAGGATAGGGAGATCAAATAAACTGAAGCTCAATCCAGACAAGACGGAGGTCTTGTTGGTAGGCGGTTCAGGCTTCGGAGAAGGTGAATTGAACCTTGTCCTGAACGGGGTTGCACTCCCTCCTAGGGATAAGGTCCGCAGCTTGGGAGTGCTCCTCGACCCGGAGCTTTCACTCGAAGCTCAGGTAACAGCAGCGGCGAGGAGCGCTTTCCTCCAGCTTCGGCTGATTCATCAGCTGCGCCCCTATCTGGAGTACGACAGCCTCGCAACAGTGACTCATGCACTGGTGACTTGCCGTCTTGACTTCTGTAACGCGCTCTACGTGGGGCTGCCCTTGAAGACGGTCCGGATACTTCAATTGGTTCAAAAGAGAGCTGCCAGGCTGCTGACGGGAACTGGACGTTATGCTCACATGACTCCAGTTCTCCGTCAGCTTCACTGGCTTCCCATTGAAGTCCGGGCCCAATTCAAGGTGTTGGTGGTGACCTATAAAGCCCTAAACAGCTTGGGTCCTGGTTACCTGAAGGAGCGCTTACGTCCATATATGCCCAGCCGCCCCTTGAGATCAGCAGGAGAGGCCCTCCTCCGGGAGCCCTCAGTGAAGGAAATTAGGAGGGTGGCTACTCAGAGGAGAGCTTTCTCAGCGGTGGCACCTAAGTTATGGAATGCGCTCCCCAGAGAGGTCCGCCTGGCGCCGTCGTTATTTGTTTTTCGGCGCCAGGCGAAGACCTTTTTATTTATGCAGCATTTTAAATGTTAATATTATTGAATTTTATTCGGCCAGGGAGGCTTATTTTATTTTACTGTATATATTTTAATTGTCATTTTTTAATGTATTTTGTATTCAATGTTGTAAGCCGCCCCGAGGCCTTGGCAAGGGGCGGCATAGAAATGTTTTAATAAAAATAAATAAATAAATAAATAAATAAATATACTAACAGCCAAATTAAATGTCAATTCTTATGTAGCTGACACTGCACTACTCATGTATAAGAAGAAAGTGCTAGCAGTCTTTAGGGAACTCAGAGTCTTGCAGAAATATTTATCAAAAAAAAAAAAAAACAACTTGAGAAAAATCCCTAAGAGTGCAACAATCCCACTTCCCCCCACCCAAAAAACAAACAGACAAACAAACCCACAGAGACCAATGAAACTCAGTGACACAAAATGCTGAATACCTGAAGGGGAAACTTGTTACCACTTCTTATATTTTATGCGTTTCCCTCCAACATTCTACAAAAGCTTGGGGGGGGGGCAGTCCTTACCAGAATAGAGGACAGAACACCCAAAGCAAAACAAGCTATGAAGCCTTTTATTCTTGTGCCCCAGCTTAAGGAAGTTGCATCAACCACCTGGAAATATTGAAAGGCAGGTATCAGTATGTATAACTCAATTTGTTTCAAGCAACCTAACATGGCAAAGAACTAATAAACACAATATCATGGTTTCTAGACAGGAAAAATATTGCTAAAAAGAACAACTTAATTTCCAACTGAAGTAAATGACAGATATGATAAAGCGGTTGCTGAATCTCATAAATTATCTTTCTAGTAGCAGATCTCTTTCTTTTCAGTAAATTTGTTTAAAAGATTAGTAATGTTTTCTTCCAAAGTAATACATTCCATGGATCTTTGTTAAAAGTTAACTTTGTGCTTGCACCTTTGAAATGTTCACTGAAAGCATTTAAGTGTCCCTTTATAATAATTGTGTCTAAAACTGTGTCAGAACCCGTTTTATTTAATTTGTACCAAGTTTTTTTCAACATAATTCAATTAAATAATAAGAATATAAGAAAAGCCATGCTGAATCAGACCAGAGGTCCATCTACTCCACAACTCCACACACATGGTGGCAAACCAGCTGCCCACAGGATCCCTCAAGCAGGATAGGTGCAATACCTCCTCCTGCCCAAGCTCCTCAGCAACTGATGTATGTAGGCAAGCCACCTCTGGTAAAAGAGGTAACACATAGCCAGCAAGAGTAGCAGCAACGGATAGCCTCCTCCCTCATCAATCTGTTCAATCAATCTGTTCAAATCTGGATTTACGAGTAAAAGTAATCCAGTGAATTCCATAGTTTCACTGTACACTGTGTGAAGAAGTACTTCCTCTTATCTCCCACCAATTAGCTTCATGGGATGACCCCAGGTTCGAGTGTAATGAGAGGGAGATAAATGTCTCACTCTCTATTTTTACTAACATGTCTCCCCTTACTTGCCTTTTTTCTAAACTGAACAGACCCAGTTGTTATAGCCACTCCTCATAGCAGAGCTTTTCCAGCCCCCTGATCATTCTTGTTGCCCTTTCTGTTGTTTTTCCAACTCAATAATGTCCTTTTTCAGGTAAGGTGACCAGAATTGAACACAATATTCTAGGTGGAGTCATGCCAAAGATTTGTACAAGGAAAGTAAGAGTTTGGCAGTTCTATTTTCTATTCCATTCCTGATTATGCCTAGCATGGAGTTTGCCTTCTTCACAGCTGCTGTGCACTGAGCAGACATTTTCATTGAGTTGTTCACATGGCCCAACACTGAGTTGTCTAGAGGCCTTAAAATCACTTGCTTTGAAAAAAAACAAAGCTGATATACTAAGCATTTTAGACACATTATTGAAGATTCTCACTGGGCTTTTTCATTCTCCATTTTTTTAGAAACTGAAAAGGGGCAATATATTTAGGCATACTAACACAGCATATTATTGCACTATTAATTTCACAAGTCAATGCCATGTAGTGACCTTTTGAGAAACAAAATTTCCTTTAACATGCAAAACTAATCAAGCAGTTCTTTGAACTCTGGCCAAATGTAAGAGTTAATTCATAATAAACCAAGCATGCTTTCTAGAAAAGCATTGGAATAATCTAAGAGGTCATAAGCAGCAAATTTGCGTGACAGCTTTAAATTAGTTATAAACTGGTATTTCTGACATCAGTTTAGTTCTAGTGGAGGAACTGTTACTATTAACATGTAGGTGTAAATGGACTGATCACAATAGCACTATACCAAGGCAACTATATAATATTCTACTGTGTGACCTATTGCTAGGATTTTCAACCTTCGTAGTAGTAAGGATAAAATCCATAGACAATTATGGCATTTGTCATTCTCATTCCCATTATTCAAAACATTCCTATATAACTGAGCCTAAAGTAGTCTATTGCTTTGCAGAATAAATTAGTGTAGTGGCTTTGCACTACCAAAGGGATTTCTACTAGTGCAAGATTTGGCACCTGATTTACACTGATCTTCCTACTGATTGCAGGTCCCCATGCCCAAAACTGCTCTTGATCGTTGGGGTGGGCCTGGAATGCATTAGCTATGGCACAAAGTACTACAACAGATAGGGATGCACTGCTGTCATTGTACAGTTTTAATTTTTTATTATTTTTTTCTTATTTGTATTGTATATTATTTTGTTATCTATGAAATTGGTTTGCTTTTGTTTTTAATTGATTTAATAAAGATGAAAATGTAAAAAGAAAAATAGAAAAAAGAAGAAAAATAGAGAAGTAAAAACAAGGTGCTATATTCAGTCATCACACGATACAGCTCATCACCTGAAATTATATTTATCACATTAAATTAATATAACTCTCTATTTAAAAACAAATGATAATAATGCACAAACAGTGAGTTGGTTTTGCTAGTGTTATACGTTTCAACATTTTTGTTAGAAGCACACATCCAAGTTATCACTATAGTAACATACCAGAAATAGAAAAGCCCTTACTAGCTTTACCAAGTAAGACTGGCCATACAGATTCATCAGCTAAACAGCTGTCGATTAATGAGCAGATAAAGCCATTAAATCTTGAAGCTCAAGCTTCAGAAGAGAATTCATGATCTTGAAGATACACTTTCAGACAGTAACATTTTGTTCTTCCTCTTCTTATGCCTTGCAAATTCTGCCCAGGGTGCCTTTGGTAGTAAACAGCTCTTAAGACCTTCTCTTCCATCTTCCCTTGAGATTCAGTCCTGCATTGTTAACTGTTGATTCAGTGTATCAAAAATACACATATTGTAAGCTTTTCACAATATTCAAGTCTATAACTAGGCTGAATGGCTTAGCAGCTGGCTTGAACTAAAATCGGGATGGGTCTAATAGAAATCTCTTTTATCAGCTCTGCTCATAGCAAGGAAGTGTTTTATGCACTTTTGCACTGCTTGCTTGTTAAACTATGAAACTTATGAATTTTAATCCATTTTAACAAGACTCCAAAGAAGTGATGTCAGATTTTTCAAAAGAATTAACAGAATTAAATAACATTTAAAACCTCCTGCTTCTGCCTGTGTCATCAAGGGTTGACTATTCTGGCAGGAATGAAGGAAGTAATTACAATGAAAACACAAGTTCACACTCTCTGGCGTGGATGAGGTGATTATTTATTACATTTCTGATTCAACCAATAGCTGAAGCGCTCTGTCAGAATCACAACAATTAAAACCATAAAATGCAACATAAAACAGCTATTCCAGATTTAAAAGTTCGAAACAACAGTGTAAAAGCTAAAGTAAAACCTAGCAGCAATACAAAGATTAAAAATGCAGTAAATTATTTAAAACAGAGAATGAAATACTAAACTTTCTGGGAAAATAAATGATGCCAGAAAGAATACAACACAAGTATCAGGTGAGACTCTCCGGGAAGCTCATTTCACAACCGAGGTGGCAAAAGAGGCCCTCTTTTTAGTAGCTACTCATTTCCTTTCACAGGAAGGAATAGCTGAGATTGTTATTATGGCCTGAGAAGGTGTATACGAGAAGAGACGAACCTTCAGGCAACCTGACCCCAAAACGCTTAGCGCTAACACTGGCACTCTGAATCGGTGGAAACACGCACCAGCAGCCAGTGCAGTTAGAAAAGTAGGTTTGGGGTCTAGAAAGGGACTCGTGCGTTTCAGTTATAAGCAGAACAGCCCTGCCAGAGAACAGGAACAGGGGTGGCGCTGGTGTTGGGAGGTGGTCTTCCTAGGAAAAAAGGAAAGCGGTCTGAAAATAATACATAGGAAGGAAACACTGCGGGTTGGGAGGAGAAAAAGTCAAAAACAAAAACTGGTTACCACCCTACTAATTGGGACGGGGAGCGAGGACGCGGTCGGGGCACTCACTGCAAGGCGTGCCGGCAGAGCGGCGCCGCAGCGGCTGTGGAGGATGATGGCAGGACAAGAGCGAGGCGTCAACGAGGAAAGTCCAGAGAAAGGGGCTGTGTCCAAGCGACAAGAGACGCATGCGAGCAAGGGTCGCTCTCCTCCAGCTCAGCCTGTCGAGGGGAAGCAACCCTCGAGCTGCCGCCTTACCTCAGCCAGGGGCCCTGGGTCCTCCGCGTCCCGCCCGCTTAGAACCCGCTTCAACTTGTCCATTCCGAGCGGCCCAGGCACCTGTTGCCAGCCGAGTTCCACCTACTGCGATGCTGCCTTGTCTCACGCCGACGCCTACAAATCAGCCCGCCTTTTGCTCCCGAATACTACAACTCCCAGCCTGCCGGGAAGCCGGGCAGTCGAATGGGCACATGCCGTGCTTAGAACCAATCCAATCCCCCGACGCAATGCAAACTGGGAGGTGTGGCCAGTACGCGTTCTGGCTGCACCTCCGTCGAACTGGAAAGGTCTTGGTGAGGCTGACTGCGGGTTTGGGTTCTGTAGTTTTCCGCGTCTGCTCAGAAGCCCTTTAGGAAGAATAAGAGGCGAAGCGGACATCCCGCTATTGCTGTACTGCATCGTATCATTTCTACGGCGCTTTAAAAAGGTTGTTGTCTGGTTCTCTAATGATGGATTGGGGTAGGTTGAAGGTTATTCCTATTTTGCCTATTGACTGAGAGTTCCTGCCCCGGGCGTTTGCTGTAAAGGTATGAAACTACCTTGACTGGGGTAGGTCAGTGATGATTACTCTTTTGCCTAGGAATTGCAAAAAATCTTGCCACGGGAGTGCAACTTCCTCCCCACTCTCCTGCCCGTAAATAGTCTTTGCAACAGGACAGGAGGTCAGTAAATTGAATGTGCATGGGAGAATTTTCTTGAGTTTAAGCAACACAACAGGAGTGCATAACTCATTAAGGAAAAACCAGTACAACCTCATGCAGAAGCCACATGATCCATGGCAACAGCACCTCCTGCTGTACATACTGGCCCCATCTGTCTGTACTTTCTAGTTTTTTGCAACACTGAATCCAAGACAGGGAAGGTCAGTATATTAAATAGTGGGGTGTGAGGGTGGATAGTTCCTCTGAGCTCAGAACCACATTTGGGGGCTTTCCTTTCAGTTAGGAGCATCTGCAATGTACATTTACACTAGGGACCTGGAAGGGGATATGAAGCCAGTTTTCTGGCAGGACTATCCAGGCAACACCACAGTCTGTTAGGTCCTCCGTTTGGTAGCAAGAGTGCCTGCTTACCAAAGGAAGAGCAGTGTGAAATGCTCCTTCCCTCTCTGAGGGAAATGCAAATCACTGACTTGCTATCATTTCTATTTGGCATGGGTCCCTGGCTGAATTGATTTTAATTTTTTAGCCTATTTTTGTATTATTTCTTTAAAATTAGAACAAAAGATGAGCTGAAGTATAAGAAAAATATACACAAGTAGAATTGTCTGTATTCACATTAATGAAGTGCTATGGAAGTACATCTTTGTGGCAATTATATGTAAGCCTCAACAAAAGCAGACCAGAAATACTAGTAAATATACATTCAAAGGTGACACTTATACACCACCCTTTCAAATATTGAAAGTATTGTAAGGTCTGCATTATAGGAGATGGGAATTTATCCTTCCAATGCTGTAAATTCAGGCTTCTGGTTGAATTTGGGCATGGAGAATCAATTAACAGTATAATCTCTTCCCCCAAAAAAGCATTAGCACCATTCCTACTTAAAATTAATCTGTTAAGCTGTTTTTAAGCCCACAGGGAGGGGAGAGTATAGGAATGTCACCTATGTCCAGCAGTTTCTACTTCATCCCTCATCCTGGCTTTGTTTGCCTCTCTCTCCTTTACTGTGGCTGGTTGAGCTGGTGGGCAAGTCTCCTCTGCAGCAGTTTGGTTCCTAGGTCTACCCTGCCCTGCGGGTCATATATAAATAGAATTGTGTAGTGCTCCAGTATTGAACATCAGTGCTTCTATATGGGACAGTTCATGTGACTTGTTGGGGTAGGTTCATATACACCATCCAATCAAAACCATGTTTACTTAAAAGTAAGCCCTATTGTGTTCAATGGATCTTTCAAGTAATAGTGATCATCTAGTCCCTAAAGAATATGTGGTCATTTCCATTGAATTCACATGGGCATACCTTTACTCCTGAGGAAGTGTGCATCACACTGCAGCCTTGTAAATTTCTAGGGGGCTGGTATGATGGAAACAGGTTTCTAATATTGTTGAGGTTACAAGATGTATTTACATAAATGTGTGTCAGGGGTTGCCTTTTGTTCTGTTCCTTACGTACTCAGAAATGCCTTTTGTATTTTAACAGTAACATTCCAATAAACATGCGCAAGACTGGGTTGTATTTAGTATGTGAAAGCACCTTAAAATCCTATGGTTTTGCCCACAAAGGACAGAAAACTGCTCAAAGAGAAAGGGAGAGATAAGTGTCAAATTAAAAATATGGGCATTCCAAATTTCATCAGTGCTGTTTCATCCCCTGTTAATATTACAGGTCTAAAGGTAGGAGTTAGTTGAAAGCAGAGAGGGTGTTTAGAACTGAGGCAGAATATTTAGAAATGGTTATCATGAAGTTCATAACTAAGTGAACATGAAATGAAATAGAAACATAACTGAAAAGAACCATCAGCTCCAGTTCAGCTACAACCACAGTAATTGTACATTCAGTGTAGTAAGAAAATTGTTAAGCCTAATATTGTTGGATTGCATGTGAATTCATCTGTAAATCTTGAACTATTGCATGATTTTTCCACAAGCCGTTCATCATGGACAGGGACACTTCATCATTGCACCAAGTACAGTGGTACCTTGGATCACGAACTTAATCAGTTCCAGAACTCTGGTCGTGACCCAATTTAAATTTCTCCATAAGGTTTAATGTAAATAAGGTTAATCCGTTCTGTAACTATTTTTTTAATCAGAAAAATGTGAAGCATAGTGACAAAGAGCAACAAAGATCACAGCCATCTCCCCCGTCATCCCTGCACCATCCCAGTGCATGGGACCGGGGGGGGGGGGGAGACGGGCAAGAATACAGGTGCGTTGAGGGGGAGATGGGTGCGAATGCGGGCGCACTCGGAGCGGGGGAGACAGGCACAATCGTGCTGAGGGGGGAGATGGCCGAGATTGCAGTTGTGCTCCTGCAGGAAAGACAGGCGCAATCAGGCACAATCACAGGTGCGCTTGAGCAGGACAGATGGGCACAATCTTGGCCTTCTCCCCATTTGGGGGTGGGGAGACAGCCTCGATTACGGTTGCCACCCAATGAAAAGTTCGCAACCTGAGTCAAAATTTTTATGAAATTTTTGTTCGCGACCCGATTTAGTCGTGAACTGAGGCATTTGTGAGCCGAGGTACCACTGTACAGAGATCGAATGAAAGTACAAGAAAACATTTCAAGCACTTGGCACAGGTATGAAGCAAAATGTCTCAAACCTTTAAGCCAACCAAAACCTGAGATGAATTTGTCATACTGACAATGCATTTAGTAGTGGAAAATCAAAAGAAACTTTATCCAATGTTGTCAGCATAGTTTCCTGTGGCACACATGACACTGCATTACATGGAAGAAGTGAAAGTAGAAATATACAAGCCTCTTGAGTTTCACATTGAAACAGGAGATGAGACATGCAGAAAATGAACTGATTAAGCTGTATGAAGATACTGTAAGAGAAGACACCGTTTCTTCAGCAGCATCTCAATTGGATGTTACAGTCATTACTAGTTTAAGTGCTGACATACCTGGAAAGAAACAATTGTCACTTGCACATTTTGTTGATTAAGCTGCTTCCAAAAACAATGTCCTATAGGAGTCTTACTTTTGCCTCACTAACAGTGCAACTCTATGACTTCTAGACAGTGTCCAAACAGTTGTGGTAAGTTTTGGATTTCCAGCAACAAGGTTGGAAAATCACTCTGACCTCATAGCTCAGAATCTGTGCTTCCCAATGTCCCTTCCAGCCACAGCTGTGGTAGAAAACTGAGTAACCTGCAAGAAGGGTTTGGGAACTTTGGGGATGGGAAATAAATTGGTGTTTCAATATTATGTTTCCTGATGGCCCCAGCCTCCATCCCTCCTGTTCTGAAGTACTGCACTTAGCTAAAATGACCTAAGTGGTTTCTAGAACAAAAGGAGGATTGAGGCCACCCTCACTTCTCAGCTCCCACAGGATTCCCTGAATTCAGAGGATTATTGACATCCTATAGCACTGCACCCTAAATGTATTTGATGCTACCTTGATGGCCAATATAATTGAGAATGCAAAATTGGGCTTAAATCTAGAAAAACTGCATGGCCAAACAGTGATGGTTGTACTACAATGGCAGGAATTGCACAAGCTGAAATAAAGTATATATCCCAAAGCTGCTTTGTCCACTGTGCTGCATATAAACTCAATATGGTTATGAATGACTTGAATGCTGTACCTGAGATAAAGAATTTAATTGGTAGTTAAAACTATTGTCTGATCTTTTCTGTAAGAGTACAAAGAGCTGTCTTATTTCACATGTGCAGTTATGATGCAAAATTCACTGAACAGCAACCAACTCTGAAAAGCATTTTGAACAGTTAAGCGTATTAACCGTTTAAATCAGTAACAGAAAACTAAACTAAATGTTACTCTCCAGCACAAACTCTTAGGGTTTTTCCTAGCAATAAAAGCTTTGCTGAGTCATGCTAATATTTTATTTTGAGAAGATAAAGAGTAAGCTCACACATCCTTTAATCACTGAAGTGTTCAAATTCTTGCCCTCGATGGCACTTTCCAATAAAAATAGCATCTGTTAACATCTGGAAGACCACGCATTCCATGTCCCTGATTTAGGGCATATACTTGTACTTCTAAAATTATCTAAACTAGCAATGAGGACATGGGACCCCATGTTGTTGGATTCCAACTCTATTAGGCTAGCATAGCCCAGAAGAGCTAATGAGTCACAGCCCAACACTTCTGAGAAGCCATATATTCCCTCTGTGTACCCCAAATTAATCTGACTTGTTTAGGAATTTATTTTTCCTGGGGTACAACACACATGGTACCAGCACTCAACTGAAAAAAATATCCCACCTCCTCAAAATAAAAAAGTGGAGGGAGTTGTAAAATATGAATTTTTATTTAATGGCAGGTGCTTATAGTAGAAACCATCACAAAGATGACTACATAATTTGAAAAACCTTATTCATGCACAGACCTAGAGTATGAACTAGTAACTGCTCCTGTACAAGTCCAACTGAAACAAAAGGGTGTAATACAATGCAGGATCTGTTCAGTACTTGAGATACTGAAGATATTCATGGTAAACTGCTCCTGTACAAGTCCAACTGAAACAAAAGGGTGTAATACAATGCAGGATCTGTTCAGTACTTGAGATACTGAAGATATTCATGGTAAACTGTACCTCACCAAGATTCAAGGATGTTTTGTTTTGTTTGGAAATGCTTATGACAATTCTCATACAGGAAACTTTGCTTGCTTGTGTATGACACAGTATACACAATGACGTACAACAATAAAGTGCTCTTGGGCACTGGAATGCTCCCCAAACTTGTGTAAAATTCTGCTGTTTGTTGATACCAAACATGATAACTTAATGAAAGGTTGCCACTGGGTGTAGTTAGCACAACTTTGTGTATACCATATAAGACTATTAAAGGGATACAATGTACAGCAATTCAGCCTGTCTCACAGCTAGGCCTGAACTTGCCATATCTTTTGCCATATGAGTATCTTTTGAGAGAAAAATGAAAAACGTATAAAGAAATATTACTACACCTGGTTTTGAACACACTTGTAAATCAACAAAAGGCAATTGAAAAAGAACCAGTTCTCACATTATGTCATTTTACTACTTGAAATGAAACATGAACACAACAGAGTTTGTTTCTTCATACTTACAGGAGTCGCTTGACCTTATTTCCAAGGTCTTTTCATGGAATAAATACAATGTGAAAACTGCACCTATTTTATCCTAGTTCCTTCCCCGGATTAAGCAAACATAAGCTTCATCCTATTTGGACAGAATTATTACTGAAGAAAAGGGTAGTCATAACTGGAAGTACAGTGTAACCAGTAGGGGGATTCTGAATTCACTACCAACTTGACCATCTGAATTTTTCTTAAATTCTTACATCATTATATGTATGTTATTTAAACCATGAGTATCTTTATCAAGCAAAGAAGCCCTTTTTCAGAGCAAGCTGTATTTCAGATTGAAGCCAAGATTTCTCCCCTGTGTGGATATGTAGTGATCTCCTGATCATTACTTCTTTTGAATGAACCCTGATAGGCTTTAGAACTTTGGCCAGTCATGTGTCACCTCAGAAGAAAGTCTCAGTGTTCACTGGAACTTACTCCTTACTAAGTATACATAGGATTGGTATACTTATCTCATATACTTATCTCATACATATCTCAGGACACTCCCGAGATAGGTTCTGTCCCTTTATAAGTAAGGAAACTAAGGCACAGATAATGAAATACCTACTCACTACTGCAAAGTGGATGAATAGTACAGAACCAGCAATCCTGTTACTGTTTCACCCTTAATCCAATAGACAAGTCATTCCAGCAGAAATGCACATGCTAGGAAGAGAATCGCACTTAAGTCCACACCATCACAAGTGAAAGCAACCTGAGTTTTAACATTTTCCTCAAGTTACCAATATCCTCATTTTTTCTTGCCTTCCTCCAAGGGAAACAGGCAAGAAAAGGGGAAATACTGAGGGACTGAGACTGAATGTTTGATAAATATTCAATTAAAAAGGTTTCCCAGGCTGTATAGTTTACTTCCAACCAGATGCAACCAGAATAGAGCACTTAAGCTGATTCAACACAGGTTTTCATTACAGGGAGGGCAAGGAACGAGTGGCATTTAAGGTATCTTGTACTCTTATCTGAACACAAATAAAAATCTTTTTGTAATGCTTATTTTAAATATCAATAATTTAAAACTGAATTTCTAACTTACTTTCAGCAGCCACTTAAGAAGCTGTAAACTTAGTTACTAGTGCTTTACAGAAGAAACATATGGAGTTGCCTGTTCTAATAATGTTTGAAGAAATGCTTTAGACTATCAAGAATGTGGTGCTGTGTAATTTAAACACACTACCTTACTAATATATATCTAACCTGCTTAAAAAGCTACAAAGTAAAAACTGGTAGAAAGCAGGCAGAACAGAAGCTTACTCTTATCTGTACTTGGCCAAAATTATTCTGCTCTTAACTTGCTTTCAATTCTGTGAAGGATTTAGTTTTCTTTAGATAAGAAACAGCACCTCTCATCTGACTTATTAAAGACAGACATGAAGCAAATTATGAAAATAACCAAAGCTAATATAGGAAGCATAATCAATATGCTCCATCTTATGCATTGTATGAAATAGTGTTTTGTTCTAGAAGGACCTAGGTTAAAACAAAATTCTGAGAAGCTGTTTGAGCTTATGAATATGTCTTTATTTTTTCAAAACACTAAGCTATTTTGAAATTTATTATGTGCCAAATTGCTGATTTCGGGGCTTATTCTCCAATGCCTATTCCAGTTCTTAACCAGTTTATCACTTACTCTGAGCACACAGAAATAAAGAAACAATGAAAACACATGGAAAATTTTTAAATTAGGCCTACCCAGCCTCAGCTACTGAAATATTCACCAGATATCCAAGTATCTCTCATCCAGCAAGTAGTGAAGCCTTCAATGGTAATGGCCAAGAAGTTACATGGTCTTCAGAACACAGTCTGTTTCAGGTCCACTCAGTTATGGAGATTGTGCTTAAGTGCCTTCTGGTGCTGCTGCAGATTCAGGACACACATTTTCTGGAAACTCCAGCTTCTCACAAATATTTTCTCTGACTGGTAAATACTGAGCAATCTCATTTGGATCCGTGAAGAGTGCTGGAGGAACATGCTTTAAAAAAAAGTAGAGAGACTTAGGCACAGAACAGCCAAAAGGAGAAAAAGTACTTCCATATCCCGCCAAGTCTGCATTAATAATTGTTATCATTATTGTTTATGGTTTGATTTCCTGTATTGAGCCCTGACCTTGGATGCCCAGGCTTCAGCAGTGGCCAAGACTTCATTTGCACAGCTAAGGTTAGTGCACCAACTGTGCCCATTCTTGAAAATTTTATAATTGGCCATCACATGATACCTCTGTTAGATCCCATTTGAGCTGCAGTCAAATGCACTATATGGGATTCCCTTTAAAATGTGTTCAAAAACTTGTGCTGGTCCAGAAAGTTGTGGTCAGGCATTGCCTGGGAAGGGTTACTGAGGAGGCAGGAGAATATGACTCTCCTGTTAAAAAAAAAAAAAAAAAAAAAAAACTAACAGGCCATAAGCATTTGTAAGTAGCTTTTCCTGAGATATTATTTATTTTATTTCTATACTACCCAATAAGCTGAATCCAGCTGGGTGGTTCACTACAATTTCTCAAAATTACAAAAATACTATCAGAAAATCTGTAACGTTAGAAACATTAATAATCACAACTTTTAAAATACTGTTAATTTTATAATGCTCAGTTAATTTGCCAGTGCCTTATCATAAAACTGGGCCAAGTTACCAAATCTGAGCCCCCTCTCCCCCCAAAAATCAATCATGCTTTAAGTGCCAATACCTTTAAACTTGATATTTTGCTTTCCCTAGAGGTGTACTCCCGTAACATATAGGATTTGTTGGCCTAAGAAAGAAAACAACTAAGTAATTTCATAGTGGTGCAATATCTATGTAGCCATAGATTATATGGTTTGAATCTAATATAGAAATCAAAACAATTTGTAAGTTTATTGCAGATAATTTATTTCATTCCACTTCTATGCTGCCCCATAACCTGAAGGTTTTCTGGGAGGCTAACAAAAATATACTAGACCAGTGGTGGTGAACCTATGGCACGCGTGCCACAACGAGCACGCAGAGCTCTCTCTGCCGGCATGCGAGCCAAGTTGCCCCAGCATTGCCCCCAGCAGCCGAGCACTGGATAACAGCACACACGGGTCATGCACATGCTCGGAAAGGAGTAGCGGTGCCAGGTGATGACGTCACAAGCCATGACTCATTAGCCGTGACTCATCTGAGCTTTCACATGGCCGGTCATGAGCTGCCAAGGATATAGATATAGATATTTGCTTGGACTGGCCATGAGTTTTTTTCTTAATTAAAACCTCAGTTTTCAGGTTTTATTGCAGTGTTGGCACTTTGTGATAAATAAGTGGGTTTTGGGTTGCAGTTTGGGCACTTGGTCTGTAAAAGGTTCAATGTACTAGACCAATATAGATAAAACTCAGGTAGTATGTCTGTATGTTTCAACTGAATGATTTTGCTTCCTTTATGTACCATTCATTTCACTAGGTCTGCTCTAGGTCTAACATTAGATACAAATTGTTCTAATACAGTGGTACCTTAACTCATGAACTTTATCTGTTCCAGGACTCTGGTTGTGACCCAAATTGGTTGCGACCCAAGTCAAATTTCCCCATAAGGTTCAATGTAAATAAGGTTAATCCATTCTGTAACCATTTTTTTTAATGACAAAAATTTGAAACAAAGTGACAAAGAACAAAGTACTGTACAGTAGAGAACACTAATCTAGGTGAGGGGGAGGTTATTGTTTGGAGGGAGAGTCCAAACAATCGTGCAATAGCGATCGTGCTGGGGAGGGGGGGGAGGATGGCCACGATTGTGCTCATGCAGGGAAGACAAGTGTGATCGTGGCCATTCCCCCCCCGGCCCAAGCACGACTACGATCATGCCTGTCTTCCCTGTACAAGCACGACCATGATCATGGCCATCTCCCCACCCCTCGAGCACGATTGTGCAGGGAAGACGGGTGCGATTGCGGTCGCGCTTGTGCAGGGAAGATGGGCGTGACTGTGGCCACCTACCCCCTGAGCAAGATTGCAGCCATCTCCCCTGAGTACAACTGCAATTGTGCCTGTCTTCCCTGCACAAGCGCGACCACAGCTGACCTCCCCTGCCCCCAAGCACAATCGAACACCCAATGTGGAGTTCGCGACCTGAGGCAAAATTTTGCTAAAATTTCTGTTTGGGACCCGATTTGGTCATGAACTGAGGCATTTGTGAGCCAAGGTACCACTGTACAGTACAGAGAGAATTTAAACATTGCAACATTTCTACTAGAATAATGTATAGAAATTAAAATAGTGACAGGCAACACATATCTGTGTACAATGCATACTGGAACAAAAAAATTGTAGAGAGAAGTCTGTGAATGCTCTTCCTGGAATTATGGAAAGCCATTCAAACTAGCTATATAGCTAGGCAATTACAAAGAAATAGCTAGTCATTGGCTTGGTTCATATATAATATGCTATACATTTAATGCAACAGTCCACCAGGAGTTACTTAACACACAATGAGGTTGCAGAGTATATCCCATCACTATTGTGAATATGTAAGCCCCCACTCATGTTGTGTTTTACAAATATGGGCTCTATGAGCAGTGAATCCATATTCACTTTAGCATCCATGCATTTTACAACTAGTCATGGGTTAAATAACCTACAACACACCATAGCATATCATCCAAAGCTGGTCATACTACCCCATGATATATTAATCTACACAGAATGTATCTAGTAGGTGATAAAAAAAATCATTGTTTATTTCCTTAACCATTGGTTCATATATTTTTTTTTCCTCCATGGCTGTTTCCTCCCAATATCCCAAATGCCTTTGCAGTTCTCCAGTACTAACATGCAAAGCAGCTGGATTGGGGGTGACCACTCTTGCCTGACATCTCTGTTGATCTGGTTCAACAAGCTACTAACACTCCGTGACTTCAGGTTCACACATGGCAAGCCATGGTTTAAACTACCCAGATTTCACAACCCAAACCATGGGTTCCCAAATCATCATTTGTTAGTATGCTTGCATTCATACATTCACCACCACACAGAATTGAACAGCTAAAATCATAGGTTACTGTTATTTGTCATTCATGCTATTGTATTTCATCTATGATACTACTATATAAAAAGTCATAAATACAGAAATAAGGAATACCATATAAGAAATCCCTTCCAAACAAGAAAGATTATTCCACATCTTTTATAACCTAGTGAACAAAAGCAGACATACTGAGACTTCTTTACCTCATGGTAGAGCCTGGTATCATTCATCCTGATAAGAACACCATCAACTCGCAAGAAAAACCTCAGCAGCACAAAGAAGCTTGAAGGCATTACCCTCTGCCAAAAACATTAAGAATGATATTCATTTGCACACATCTACAACATTTTATTCTAACAAGTCTTAACTTTTGTGCAATCCTGAAAATTGAACAGCAGCGTGGTGTGAAAAGCAGGTTAGCTCTTGCTCCACTATACAACCAAACATTTCAATTTAAATGTATATTTTAAACTCCTGCAAGAAAAGTATTAAACAAAAATAAACTTCAATTCAAATTTCCATTCTCCACACTTTGACTACAGTCTTACCAAATGTATACTATTGTAATGCAAAAAGTTTGCAATGTAGAGTAGCCAATACAGTGGTTAAGAGTGCTGAACTGGGACTAAGGAGACATGGATTTCTAGGCCCCACTCAGCCACAAAGCCCACAGGGTGACTTTGAGGCAGTCACTCACTCTCAGCCTAAATTACATTAGAGCTTCTTTTACAGCACAGGCCCAACACACTTATTTTTGCTTCTTCTCCAATCTCTAGAAGCATTACTTAATATAGGATACAACACATACAAAAGCGACTAAACTCACTATTTTTACACTCAGACTTGAAACTCCATGATCATGAAGTTCATCTTCAAACAAAAGCACTTCCTCAAAAAACATGATCTGTTCCCTGGCTTTTAGTTTCTCTGTATCTATATGTTCTGTTGTGGCAGACACCTAGGAAAAAGCAAACAATACTTTAAGTTTTATTTTTATATAAAAGTGCTCCTCAGCACTTAACAGATTAAAACTTACAAGGCATTCAATCTTTAAGAAGGGAACTCAAATAGTACCTTTAACTTTAACGTATCACCTAGCAGAGTTCCTTTGTAGTTTGTTGTATAGGTCCAGTCATATGGTTTAACAACTTCTTTTGTGTGCTCAGACTCAGACCTCAAGGAGAAAGAAAAATTCCTGTTCAGGTTTAAATTCAAAAGCAGACAAGGCTTATTTCTTATAAAATGTACAGTTATGTTCCTGTGTAAATGCAAATGGAGGTTTTGCAGCTTGGCTTAAAAATCTGTTAAGTGTCATCAAGTTGTCTCTGGCTTATGTTGACACTATGAATGCCCTCCAAAGTATCCTGTCTGTTCTTCACAGTCCTGCTCAGCTCTTGTAAACTCAAGGCTGTGGCTTGCTTCATACCACTGAGCCATCTCATATGTTGCCTCTCTCTTTTTCTGCTTTCAACTTTCTCTAGCAGCATAGTATTACAGTCTTTGACATAATGGCAAGGAGAAATGGGAGAAAACTGATGTCATACAGTATTTCTATTGCAAACAATCTTCAGTGCAAAAACCTAGACTAAGTGCAAAAACATACTTCTGTGTGATCTGTAATAAACAAAGATTAATTCTACATAAGCCATAAATCTTGTGGGGATGGGTATGTACAATACTCTTTGCTTCATGTAAGGGAAAAAGATGAGTGGTTTAAGAAGTGTCAAGAAAATAAACCAAAGGAGTGACACAAGTATGCGCAGAGCAGAACTAGACTCCAATTGTACCTGACTCTACTCATTCCCCTTAGGTAGAAGAAGATACATTGTTATTACCTGCTTTCTTGCCATTCCTCTGCACAAGCAACTTTAACCATACCTTGAGCGTTGTTTACACATCTTAAAGCATCAGTTGCATTGAACTCTATCCCAAAACGAGATTCATGCTGAATTCTTAAGACATTGTCTCCAAACATCATTTCTGGTACACAAGGCATGTGCAACTCTTCAGCTAATCTGCACAGAAACATGGAGATTACATCACTTTGGAACTATTTCTAATTGATTATATGACTTCAAATAAATTAGGGAGCAATCCTATTGCCCTTAAATGGTGTCTAAGGGGCCAGGGGCTATTTCAGATTCCCACCTCCATGGCTGAAGGCAGTACTCTGACACTGCAGGTCCTACCTTACAGCAGGCACAGAAAGAGCTGGGCCAGCTGCCTGTTCAAGACTGGGAAAGCAATCCTGGCATGCTACAAAGGGGGAATTTCAGTGGGTGGGGAGGAGACCAGTGAGGTTCAGATATGAGACCAGAGAGGCTATCCTGAACTCCTCTCAGCCTTGATGGGGAAAAAAATCTAGGGAAAATGTAGAGTGCACCAACAAGATGGCAATGCTGGTCTTCACTGGCTCCCCCAGATGCTTGGGATACTCCAGCTTTGGGGGGTTTATGAGTATCAAGGACATGACCCATTGGAATGCACCCGTATGAGCACTTCTTGTGCAGAGTACTGTCATATGCCATATCTAATACAAAGTTATTTTCTATTAAATTAGCAACATATAGGCTACACTGCTTCCATCTCCAAACCCTTTCATGCATTCCTTTCATTTAGAGTAATCCTAGAAATCACCAGATTCCAATTTGAAAGCAATTCCATTTGTGAGTGAATATGAAACAAGCATGAATACCACTGCAAGGGTGGGGGGGATGCTACATGCTTCTGGGAAGTCACTGCTGATCCGTTTCTCAGTACATGAACACAACAAATATCTTGCAGGATCATACAGGCTAGCATTTATGGAATAATTTACTACAAATTTAGTAACATGCAAAACAGCCCTTAGAAAATTAACTCTAACCATTCAGAAGTTGATTGGAAATACTTTAGTATGAGAAGATTGATCAGACAAGCCAGTCATTTTGCAAAAGACTTGTAGCTTAATAACTTAATAATTAAAGATCTGCTAAAATGGAAGCCTAAAAAGCATCATGCATAGGAAGGACTACTTAGATTAGATATTCTTATTCCATTGCTAACTTTGCAGACCAGCTACCCTACAGTGGCCACAGCTCTTCTCTCTTGCTTATAACACATTTTAAACTTTTTGCAGATTTGGAAGGGAGTGAAGTTATAAAACAGCAAAGTCTGAGAGTGTGAAATGCTATATGTAGTGCAGTGCCAGTGGTGACTTCCAGATGTTTTGGACTACCAGGATTCTTATCCATTAACCATGCTGGCTGAGTTTGATTCAAGTCCAAAATACCTGAAGGGTACAAGGTTGGAAAAGGCTGACTTACATCCATGCTGAACACCTGCAAATAAAGCTTTTCTCATGGCCGTAGAACATAGGATGTTGCCTTACAGAGTCAGGCATTTGATCCACCTAGCCCAGAATTGGAGGAATTAACTAAAAGTGACTACCAAGAGTTTAAAGCAGGGGAGGGTTTTTTCCCATCCCTACCTGTAAATGATGGGGACTGAACTGGGATATTCTGCATACAAAGTATGTTTGCTGTAATAATAACCATACAAACCAATCAATAGAAATAAGTCCACTGACATCAAAGGAGTCAGCACTGATCTTTTAAAGGAAAGGCCGCCACTACAAAGTATCTTAACCAAAGCCATGAGACTAATATTTAGGTAAGCTATTCTGTGGAAACTCACTGTTGTAATATTTTGCCACGACCAGTACAACAGAGTTTAAATACATCTCTCAGAGCATCTGCTCGAAAAGTCCCTTTTAGGTTCAAGTATGAAAACGAAGTGAGTTTCTGCAATTTTGGGGGATTGAATCAGAAAATGGAAAGCTTCTGCAAAATTAAGGCTTGATGCACATATTGCTGGAAAAGCATTGTGCAATTCGCAGCATTTCCCAGCCAGCCATGGTGGGAGTTGTAGGGCTTTTTCCATTCAGGTATGTACAGAATTGCTCTTGCAGAGGCTCTCGGCGGCTCTTGGCGAGCTTATTTGCCTCCTCCCATCCTCGGGGCACGGCGACTAAACTCAAGGCGTTTGAGCCACTCATTCAAAAGCCACCGGCCCTGAAGCAGAGCTCCCCTTCTCCCCTCTTCGTACCTCTCGGCCTCGGCCGACTTGATGATGTGAGTCCGAGCGGCCGTCAGCTTCCACGGCCCGAAGTTGAAGTCGCGTCGGCTGCTTTTGAAAACGGGCATCATGATGGCGGCGGCAACGGAGCGAGCACAGAAAGAAAGGCTTTCGTAGGCACTAAAAAGAGAAAAGCTCTCAGAAAAATGGGGGACTCTACCTTCCCTCCCCAAAACAGGCGCCGGCACTGCCCCGGAAGCAAACAAACATCCCCTTCCGCTTCCGGGTTCCTCCACGAAGGGACTTGCTGTGGCGGCCCGGTTTGCCGGGAAGATTTGCGGCTCTTGTTCGCAAGGGACGGTGCTGGCCACAGAGGGTCAAAGGGGTAAGACAACAGGCGAAAAACCTACGTGGCCTTTGCGTTGCTTTTAATTAACTTTGGTCCTTACCCCTTCCCCCAAGAGCGGCAAAGAGGTTTTGCTTTTCCAGGCAGAGCTGACCACAACTTCTTTGGATGGAGTTCCTCCGCTTTTAAAGGAACAGTCTTATTAAATGCCCTGTTGGGGCATGCTGGGAGTTGTAGGCCTTTTTCCTGTCTAAACTGGAATAAGATGCGTCTAAATGCCTTATTAAAAAACGAAGGCAGATTCGATGGAAAGGCGCATTGTATGAACAGCACGCTGGTCTAAATGGACTGTGGTGGGATCGAGCGCCACTGGGATGTGCTTATGTCTTCGCAAAAGCTCTGGGATAACTGGCAACCAGTGGGCCCTTTTTCTTTTAATAAATTCATATTCTAATTTTAAACAATTTAGTAATTCATCTCATTTATGTTGGCGTGAGTCAGATGCGGTAGGTATGAGGTAGGAGTGGAGGACAAGTGAACAACTTCCACTCTAACTTTCTGTCACTAGTAAAGGACTGGACAAGCTTTTCCACTGGACAAAGAAGAGAAAAGATAGCTGCTGCACATTCTTAATGGCACAACACCCACCTAGTGGGATAAAACTTAAGCAGAGGCAATGTGACAGGGAGTCCCCTGGGGCTGGAGCCCAGAATCTGGGAGGCCATCTGCCTCACCACCCTGCTGCCTGTGGGAACTTGCTGGAAAAAAAGCCACAAGGGTCTTGATTATCTGCTCCCCTTGGATTAGCTGGGTTTTTGCCCACATGTACTTCACCTCCTGCACCCAATTGCCTGAATATTTATGTCTGAAGGTTTTATGAAATCAGATACCTTCCTTTCTCCTGTTGAAACATTGCTTTTTACAACAAGGATGGCATTAGGAGATAGAATCCTTTGAAAACACAAGAGAGACGTTGTTGTTGTTAGTCGCAAAGTCGTGTCTGACCCATCACGACCCCATGGACAACATTCCTCCAGGCCTTCCTGTCCTCCACCATCTCCCAGAGTCCACTCAGGCTCACACCAACTGCTTCAGTGACTCCATCTAGCCACCTCATTCTCTGCTGTCCCCTTCTTCTTTTAAAGAGCAGTCAGGGTTGATCTCCTCTAGGACTGACCGGTTTGATCACCTTGTGATCCAAGGGACTCACAGGAGTCTCCTCCAGCACCGCAATACAAAGGCCTCAATTCTTCGGCGCTCAGGCTTCCTTATTGTCCAACTTTCACAGCCATAGCCTTGACTATATGCACTTTTGTTGGCAGGGTGATGTCTCTGCTTTTTAGTATGTGGTCTAGATTTGCCATAGCTTTCCTCCCCGGGAGCAAGTGTCTTTTAATTTCTTGGCTGCAGTCCCCGCCTGCAGTGATCTTGGAGCCTAGGAAAATAAAATCTGTCACTGCCTCCATTTCTTCCCCATCTATTTGCCAGGAAGTGATAGGACCAGATGTCATGATCTACCTCACAGGGTTGTTGTTGTGGGGATAAGATGGAGGAGGAGATATAAGCTGCCTTGAGCCCTTTGTAGGAAAAAGGCAGGATATAAATAAAAAAATAAATAAAAATAAAAAAATGATCTTAGTTTTCTTGACTTTCAAGCCAACCTTTGTGTTCTCTTCCTTCACCCACATCAAGAGGCTCTTTAGTTCCTCTCCACTTTCTGCCATGAGAGTGGTATCATCTGCATATCTGAGGTTGTTGGTATTTCTCCCACAAATCTTAATTCCAGCTTGTGATTCATCTAGCCCCACCTTTCTCATAATGTGCTCTGCATATAAGTTAAATAGGCAGGGCAACAGTATACAGCCTTGCTGAACTCCTTTCTCAATTTTGAGCCAATCAGTGGTTCCGTGTCCAGTTCTCACTGTTGCTTCTTGACTTGCATATAGGTTTCTCAAGAGACAAACAAGATGGTCTGGTACTCCCGTCTCTTTAAGAACTTGCCACAATTTGTTGTGATGAAGAAAGGGTAGTCCTGCTGTTTAGGGAAGTTGGTGAATTATTAGCAGAGAATGTTGGACTACTCTCATTTTACTTCAGTGTTCCTCCATGAGGGAAGTTGTATTCCACCTGGACAATAAAACAAATTATATATGGAGGGATTGCAGCCAAAAATAAGTAGGGACATGAACAGAGAGCACTTAGTGACGTGACATGAGTTCATGTCTCAAGAGCCTCATGAATTACCCCCTGGGCACTGAAGGAGCTTGTGGCTTTTTTGAAAACTGCAAAACACCTGAGGTGCAGGTAGACTGGAGATGGACAAAGGTTGTCTCCCTCTTCAAGAACAGGAAAAGGGCAGATTTGGAAAACTACAGAATATAAGCCTGGTTTCTAAATTTACCAAATGTGACTAGTTAGGATGGATATATGCTCCCTCCACTATAAGAGGCAATATGCCTGTGTCTATCAAGCAAAGTACCTAAATGGATGATTAAACAGCTAGTTTATGAACAACTAGAAAATAATCTAGTGATTACTGGGGGTCAGCATGAGTTTGTCAGGAATCCTTTTTGCACATTGGCACTGACTACTCCCTCATACACATCTTGGCAAGGTTTATGTATCAGAAGTCCATTTTAAATCTCTTCAAACATTTGCTTAGAATTTATTTTTGTACTTTCTGAGATGTACACACTTATTTTTCCTGTTTTTTCAGCTTCACAATTTCAATTTTCTGCCTTTTTAACAGATCACATAATCTAAATAGGGAGTCAAGTGCCAGTTAGACTGTCTAAATGTCAGTTAGCATTATTTGGACGGAACAGAGGGATTGGAGAGACTGGGTACAGAATGGATTTCAGACATGTTTATTCTGTATAACTTTTATTTGTTATATAACTTAAAACTTTTTTATTTGTAAAAATATAATGAAAGAATTATAACTTTTATTTGTAAATAAAATTAATCATGTGTACAATAAATGCTTGCTTTTAACTTTTTTGTATCTTCTGACACTTATCTGCAGTCTTACTATCTTTTTAAAAAATCCAGCAACCTGATATTTATTTTAGAAAGCAGATTCAACCAGTGAGCAATGTTTTCCTATTATTATTTTGGCTCAAAGACATGCTTATGATATTTTTCAACAGTTGGCAAATAAAAACAGGGAAACTCTTACTTGTAGTATGCCTATTTTTACATTGAGGACTCATTGACTGTGTCTGTGTATGCATGTACACACACACTAGGGATGTTAGAGAAATTCACAGTTGATACAAATGATTCTGTGCATCTGATTCTACAGTAGACCATCTTCTTCCAAGTCATGCAGATTCTACAGATGTTTTAAAAAGACACTTTGGGGAGGTGTTTGCACTAATGTGCATTTGTGCTAATGTCTACTTATACAAGTGCACCTTTGTGCTAATATGCATTTACAAACAAGCAGAATTCCCATACAAAAAATAATTCCATCAGTGAGCAAATAACAGAACAAAAGATGTCTGACAATTTATGAAACAGTGACTGACTGGGTAAAGATAGTACATGCAGTCTTAACATGCATATACACACACTCTGCATGTTCCTTAGGCATTTCTTTAAGCATACATTAAAGAGTTTTTGAAAGAAAGGTGTTTAGAATGTTTAACCTGGTAAATATCTGTCTATTCTTATTACAGAAGAGCTGGAACTTAAACATATCCGGCAACATTTATTATCTAGATATGCCAGCAGGGTGGGGAAGAACAGCGCACTGATATGTTTTTAATCTGTGGTTCTGTGTTTCCGGTACTCTAAAGTTAAGATTACCAGTGGCTCCCATCATCCTCAGACATTCAACTTTTAGAGACAGTTTCTACCACCAGTCAAAATTGCAACAGGGACCAGAAATAGGGACTGCTGAAGCATATGTTTCATTTGAAACCATCACAAGAAGAGCCTCGAACCCTGCCTGTTATAGGGTCACATGCAAACAGTGGAATGCTCCCTAAGCTCCCATGTGCAGGCCAGTAAAGCTTGTTTTTTCCATCTCTTGATTATGAGAATTTAAGTCTGAGATGTATTGAGTCCAGTGTATTTCTTCTGTTCTTGTCCTACATATGGAGAATTCTAATTGTAAGCAGAAATTAGGGTTACATGTAACTCATGAGTTGGGTAGTTAAGTGCTTTGGTCACTTGGCTATGTCAAAGAAACCTGCTTGTACATGTTCTGCAGCTGCTAAACCCATCTGATATCTCAAGAAACCACCTTGTAGCAGGGAACTGCCATTCTGTTCTGCTATTCCAGGAGAGACCAAACTGCTAGAAAGTGACTCTAGCCTTATTGTAATAAGGGGAAAAGAAAAGAAAAAAGAAAAGAGAAGAGGCATTCTTTTAATGTCCAGATAGCTTGGCTCTACATTTTGTCTCATTATATTTCCTTCACTGAAACAAAAAGGTTTTCTCTTCATGAGATTTCTGGAGTTTTTTAAAAATGTAATATGCAGGTATTTCTCCCAGTAAATGAAATGATAATGTTTCAAATATTGAATTTCTACCTTACGTGCAACTGTTAACACCTGGGGAAATCTGGCAATCAAAATTCCCTGTCCAACAGACTTTCCTGGCCTGAAGACCCCCAAATGTGCTGGCAGGAAGATGATGAGAATATGCTGTAATACATTAGGGGGGAGCCAGGCTGGGGATGGCTGACTTGGTCTTAGACCCAACTGGGAAGTGCTGTGCTTATTGCTTGAGCATATAAGCAGCATGCCAAATATCTGCAGCATCTCAATACTGAGCTGGAAAATAGTTCTGTCTGAAACCTTGGGAAGCTACCCTCAATCCAAAGCTAGCTGATCTGATCTGACTCAGCATTAGGCAACTTCTCACGTTCCTAGCGTTTCTTCTGTAAACTTATGACTGTAAGAAGAGTTGCTGCCAGAAATGTATGAAAAGTATTAATGTGTAATGCACTAAGGCTGCAATGCTATTCTTGTTACCTGGCCCCGAGGTGGTCATGGGGCTTCTGAGTAGATGTTTAGAATGTTACAAAACAGAAATCTTAAGTAAACAGTAAGGAAACAGTCCTCATTTAATAGATGAGGGACTAACAATGAAAGTAACTGAAGCAAGGCCACGAGACAATGTAATTAGGCACTATTAATCTGTGGAAACATTGCTATGTTACAAAGGCCAATGCAACAGAATTTAAATGTGTCTCTTCAAGAATTGGCTCAAGAATTTCCTTTTAAAGAGAAAGAAGTGAGCTTGTAACCTTTTTGATTGGCTCAGAAAATACAAAGTTTTGGTAAAATTTAGGGCACAATCATATGTATGTTTAGATGGGGGGTATTATACAATTCTGGCTTAGGAATGCTGGGAGTGACTTTTTCCACTCAAGCATACATAGATTGCTGGTCCAGTGTAAGGGGTGGACATAGGAGATAGGATTAAAAAAAAAAAACACAGTATCAAAATATTGTGAGGTTATTTTTTGTTTTATCTGCTCCACTTACAGTATACATGTGCAAGCTTGTACGCTTGCTCTGGTAAAATAAACCAGAGCAAGAGAGTTATCCAGGGTTGGAAAGTGCCCAGGCATGCTGGAGTTAGGTGGGAATTCTCACAGAACATAAACTATTTCGCTCTGCGGGGAACTTGCCTCTAAATAAACGAGATCTCAGATAAAGGTAGAATTTAAATGTACGCATACTTATTCGAGTTGCAGTGGAAGTACTTGATGGCATATGAAAGAGGGAGGAAATTGGAAAAGGACAAAGAAACAGGAGGGGAAAGGATGGGGTGGAGGAAGGGGAGGAGTGAAGTGGGGATGGAGGGGTGGTTAAAAGGAGGCGGTGGAGGAGAGATGTGAAAGAGTAGATGGAGGGGATGGACGGGGAAGAAGGGGGGGCGGGTAGGTTTTCTGGGACTCTGCTGGAGGCGACTGCGGGGGGTCTGAGTAACCTGAAACTAGCCGCCCTGGTCGGTAACGGAGCAAGGAGGGCCCAGCTCGAGCTAACGGTGAGTGCGAGTCCCTCACGCAGCCCGGTGGGGCGGTTCTGCGATCCCTTTCGAGCAAAAGCGCGCCCTGGCGATCCCCATTGTGTGGGCGCGGGGTCCCCGCCTCTGGGATGGGGGATTTTACTGCCTGGGCGGGCCCTCGAGCTTTGCAGGGCCTCCGGCACCGACAAAGCAGAAGTCGCTTTGTCTGCCTGCTGCGCTGTTGGGATGCCTGGCAAGCCGGGCCAGGAGCACTCTGGCGGCAAGAGCCCGCAAGCCGAGATGAGCGCGCACGCAGCCGCAGCCGCCGCCGTCCCCGCGGAAGGCAGGGAAGCCTTCGGCGGGGCGGAAACCTCGCGCCGCCGAGCCGAGCGCAGCCTGGGCTGGTCTCTGCAAGCGTGGAAATCGCAGACTTCCCGACTTCTCGGACCGGCCGACCCGGCGCAAAGACAGCTGGGAAGGAGCGGCGGCCCCTCTCTTCCCGGGCTGGTGGTGTCCCGCCAGGTTTTATTCTAAGCATTGTTTTCCCCTGTACAAGAACCCCGTGCTTTCCACTCCCATCTCTAACGCGTGAGCAATTTTTTCAATTTGCAATTTTTTCTAATGAAATTAAGTTAAAAGTCCTTATTCCTAGGTGCATAGAAACTTTAGTGCCCACTGCAACATGCTTGATTTGATTTGATTCAACTGGACAAAAGGTGTTCAGCTGCATAGTAAAACAAACCATGGTGGGAGCATCTAAGGAGAGGTCTCCAACTTGAAACTGATGTGATTTCCTCTTAGTTCAGGTCATTCTGAATAGGATACACGAAGTTGGACCAAGTTTCCGGGACTTAACAGAAAGTAATACAAATGTTACGTTGCTGTCTCAAGGCTAAGGAAATGGGAAAAGTTGGTGGCTGAATGCATCGTTTGAACCTGTGATTGCAGGCCTAGTTAATGTTGCTTGACCACCTTCACATTTATTTCTACGTGCATGCACAAAGTTGCATGGGAACTGAGCTACTTCTTTGAGATGCAGCCCCACATCAGATGCAAATTTGTAAATGAAGTGCAGGTGGGGGCGGGGAAAGACTTGTGCCACCTTAAAAATTTGCAAATTTATGTTGGAATAAGAAAGTTTATTTTGTCTCAGTAATTGTGCTAGTCTGCCCCACAAAATTCCAAAACCAAACATGAATGCCACACTATTAGTCCTGGTCACTGGGTTACTCTGTATACATATACAGGCTTGCATTCCTTCCTGACACATAGGGAACTGACTGCAGTATGTGGAAGGGTTTTGGAATCAGAAGTGAGCCAATGGACAGACTGGGAATTTCAATATGTGTTAGTGGTATACATATGAAACTATCGGTTTATTTATAGCTTAATTGATCCAGATCAAAAGGACAGCATTTATGTATTGGTGTCCTTGCAGAAAAACAACAAAGTTATCCTGGTCAAACATTTTGGATCCCTTTTTCTTCAACTGTAGACACTTGATCCATAAAAGTGCTCAAATTTGGCTAGATTATACCTCTGATTGACTGACTACCAGGCATTTGCTCTGAACACATATACTAACTCAGGAGAGGGAGGAGGCAGCAAACTTCAACATAATTTATTTAGCTTTAAACATATGAAGATCTTGTACCACACAACCTCCAGATTTGCTCTTGAATTATCATCAATTGTGACTGCCATGCATTTGTAAGGCCTTTCAAAATTACCTGTTCTTACAGAAATTTATTTTTATTCATTTATTTAGAGGACTTCTATGCCGCCCCATTCGCCGAAGCCTCGGGGCGGCTCACAAACCATAAATAAATAGAATGCAATAAAATTATATAAATTAACAATATAAATTAAGTCACCCTGGCCAAAGAATAAAATAAAATGAAATTCAGAAATGCTGCCTATAATCCATAGCACTTACCCCTGCACTGAGTAATCCTGGAAGAGGCAATCTTAGTAACACCTGCTCTGTGTTTGTGATTACTTAACTTGTATGTACTTAGGCTTAACATTTTAAGTATTGTACTAAACCAAAGGACAGATTTAAATAATTGTAAGGGGAAAGTAATTGTAAGGGGAAATCTCCATCTCTGCACCTAGTAATTTACCAGATACCATAGTCAGTTGTGACAGATTTTATGTACCTTTCCTCATATGATAACCTCTTAACTCATTACTTTTACTGATACAGACACTGGAGTAAAGCCAGGAAATGTCATTGTAAGGATGAAGACAGGCTTCTGGCTCAGAAGAAATTGCTAACAGCATGACTCACCATAAACAGAATACGAAGAGGTGCCATTCTAAATGCATTAGATCAAAGCTGGTCATTTATCTTTACTTCTCTAACTTAAATCATGCCCAAATCTTCCCAAAGCTTATTGGGTTTCTCAGGGCTGCTTAGCTACATTTTTAAAAACCTGATATTGCTGTATGACTCAATATAATTCTTTCACTTGTCAAATAGATAAGAACTATAATTTAGTATTTGGCATCATATGAAATCTTGATCAATGTGGCAGAATTTGGTCTATTTAACTTAAAAATTAATCTATCAACTACAAATAAAGTTATTTTCTAGTATCCAGCTAATGTCTCACACAAGGAATAAGCACCTTCAGATGCTTCTGGACTACAACTTCCATAATCCTGAACCACTGGCCCTACTGGCTGGGGCTTATGAGACATATTCATTAACCTTTCACTTTTTACTTGTGTCAAATACTATAGCCCTCTTCAGGTATTCAGTAATCCTAAGCATGGAGGTGAGAAGTGGGCAAGGGCACTGGCTTGCTCCCTCCTTGTGTCCATGCGAATGTTTGAGGCGCACCTATAGCCACAATCAGCTCTGAACACTGGAGAACCACAATTCTGCATTTTTCCTGATTGTACAGAGCACTGTAGTCAGCTGAAAGAAGTTACAACCTTCCTGCACAAGTTTTTTGTCAAGATGGGCAGATCAATAATGGAGAGACTGTGGCATAGCCGTGCCTCCTTCCACAGTTAGAATTTTGAATGCCTGAAGCTTCCAAAGCTTCTGCCTTCAAGGACTCCTCTTCACAGCAGTGTGACTAAGAATCCAGGTGTGCTGCATAAAGAAAAAATTAGTGTCCCAGAGGATTCTAACCATGGAGTGTTCAGGTGTGCATTCTCAATTCATGGTGGGTGCTGGGCAGGCTCCTTGGACATTGCCTCATATGAACAGAGGGAGCCGTCCCAGGGCCCTATCTGAAATAGGATATTTCAGATTCCCAGTTCTACCCACCCCCTCCTCAACCTCATGCCCTGTGCTGATTGCATCTCTGAGGTCAGCAATGTGACTTTGGAAAAAGGGGCATGTTGAAAGGAAGGGAGGGGAAGAAAGGATCCAGGAGAGACCGGGATATGACTTATTCTTTGGCCTCTCCAGCCTCCCCCACCCCATCCCAAATACTTTCATTAGACAGGCAACGAAGTATATCTAGCAAAAATAGAGGGAGGTGACGATTGCCTGCCCTGCCCTGCCCTGCCCTGCCCTGCCCTGCCCTGCCCTGCCCTGCCCTGGATGGAGCACTTGTAAACCTCAGGTACTTACAAGCAACAAGGATACAGCCCATAGGATTGCTAAATACCAAAACTACAAAGAAAGCCATTCTGAAGAATTTTTATAAATGTTACAAATACACAAGTCAGACTTTGAGTGCATCCAATAATCCTCTGTGCCTGACTTTGGAAGGAGTGTCACTATTGATGGACAAGCTGCTTTTCAGAGAAACTCACTTTCTATTACTGATCTTCTGTGCTGGGAATTGAGTAGAGCAACTCACTCCAAAGTCCAACTATGTGTTATTTTCTTCTTCTGCAGGTGCCCAGCATGTCCTGGCTGCTCCTCCACAGCACGCTCTGACCATGAGCATCAATTCCTCCCTCAGTAACAAGAACACCTCTGGGAACTTTACGCTGCTGGAAGACAGAGCAGGCAGAGTGACAGAATCCATCGCTCTCATTGTCATTGCGATTTTCATTTGTTTGGGGAACCTGGTGATCGTCCTCACCCTTTATAAGAAGTCGTACCTCCTCACGCTCAGCAACAAGTTTGTTTTCAGCCTGACCCTGTCAAACTTCTTGCTGTCTGTGCTGGTGCTGCCTTTTGTTGTGACCAGCTCCATCCGCCGGGAATGGATCTTTGGTGTGGTTTGGTGCAACTTCTCAGCCCTGCTCTACATGCTGATCAGCTCCGCCAGTATGCTCACCCTCGGACTCATTGCTATCGACCGGTATGTTATTCCTTTAATATGAAGCTGACGGGGTGAGCAGCCAACAATAAAAAGTCAGAACGTGTAGCACAGTTATATGTGCAGGAGTGCAGAATGATGCTATGTCCCAAGGAATCCAGTGCAGCCGTGTCCCTGAATTGAGGGTATGGGAGCAGGTACATACCCAAGCACCAAAGCATGGTCAAACAGAGGTTTCGTGTATGCCAAAGCACAGCCCAATTCCATGCCTGTCTGCTTGGAAGTAGACATGGGGTCATGGGGAAAGTAGGCTTTCTTCAACACTAAGCCAGAAAACCCAGTTCTTATCACTCACTCCCAATATGTGCCATTGACAAAAATGGTTTCCCACCACCCCATTCTAAGTAATGTAAGCCTCACCCAAAGCCTCTTGTCCAAGCGGAATTCAACTATACAGCAGTAGTAGCATTACTAAACTGCATTTATATCCTGCCTTTCTAGCCTTGCAGGGAACCCAAGGTGGCTTAACAACAGGAAAATTGTGGGACTGTCCACCTAAGACACAAAGTTTGGGTGTTTCCACATAGACAGCTCCTAGTACTCCTGATCAAAGACAATGTGCATCTATTCTGGTTTGCACCTTAACATTCTTGTGAAAAGAACAAGGGAAGAAGAAATGGTGGTAAAACATGGGCAGGTTGCAAGTGGATAATGTCATTTGGAACCCTTTACAATTCTGTGAATGAGACGGAGAAAATTGCACGATAAAAGCCTAATCTGGAAGCACCCTATATGAAATACAAAACATCCTCATTGCGTATGATAATATTTGTAACATTGGCTCTTTTGGAGGTTTTTAACATGCCATCACTCTGTTCATTCACAGAAATTTGCAGGATGCCAGGATGGCATCATTTCCCATCACCCTCCTATGTTTTCTCACTGCTTTTTCCATTACCCAGAAAATCCTTCAAGAAGAAAGAAACTAAAGATACAAATGTTTAGATAGAAAAAAGCCTATAGCTTGCACCATTCCCTGGGCAGTCTGATAGATTTGAAAGACTGCTTTATCTCGCTGGTTTCCAGCTTTGAATTCCAAATTCTGTTCAATGCTTGTCAGTACACTGTAGAATTTTCCTGCAGACACCACACTATGCTATGTGCTGGGATGAGTTTCAAGTAACTTCTTTCTCTACTGACTGCATGTGTCTTGGCTACTACAGAATCTCCCTTTCATCTTTTTCAGGTACTATGCTGTCCTGTACCCAATGGTTTACCCAATGAAGATTACAGGTAACAGAGCAGTTGTCGCCATTGTGTATGTGTGGCTCCATTCTCTGATTGGATGCCTTCCCCCACTCTTCGGCTGGTCTTCCTTAGAGTTTGATCAGTTCAAATGGATGTGTGTGGCCGCTTGGCATAAACAGGCAGGTTACACTGCCTTTTGGCAGATCTGGTGTGCATTACTGCCTTTTGTGATTATGATGATTTGCTATGGATTCATATTCCGTGTGGCTAGGATTAAAGCCCGGAAGATCCACTGCGGGAGTGTGGTCATTGTGGAGGAAGATGCCCAAAGGAATGGGAGAAAGAACTCAAGTACTTCAACTTCATCATCAGGCAGTCGAAAGAACGCTTTCCAGGGGGTTGTTTATTCTGCCAATCAGTGTAAAGCTTTGATAACTATCTTGGTTGTGATTGGTGCTTTTGTCATCACATGGGGGCCTTACATGGTGGTTATTACCTCGGAAGCACTTTGGGGGAAAAACAGCATTTCCCCTGCTTTGGAGACATTAGCAACATGGTTGTCTTTTACAAGCGCAATTTGCCACCCTTTGATTTATGGACTCTGGAATAAAACAGTACGCAAGGAGCTGCTGGGCATGTGCTTTGGAGACCGGTACTACAGAGAATCCTTTGTTCAGCGGCAGAGGACTTCCAGACTATTCAGTATTTCTAATAGGATTACAGGTAATAAAGCCCATCTTTCTATTATCCTTTCAAGGTGGTAAGACAGGAATGTTGAACCTTTCTCAGTCCAGGTATCTGGATCAATTTCTGAAATGCTCTTGGGACCATATTCCAGTGGTAAGTGAAGCTGAAGGCAAAAGGGACAGGACTGAAAGCTAAAGGGTGGGATCAAGCTATGAACTGATTTTAGCTTGAAGGACTTAAGTCTTCAAGGACTTAAGTCTTAGGAGAGGTTTTTCAACCATTTTAGACTAGGAAAAAACCCATAAAAGCCTGGAAACCACTGAATGATCAGCAGTTGGGGAAAGGGGGCAAAAGCAGGGAAAGGGGACAAGGGCAATGATGGTGGATGGATTGGGACCCCAGGCAGACTGGATTTGCCCTATGGTCTTGAGGGTCAAGTCCTGTGTTAGGCAAATAAAATGCTAAGCTGCTTAACATGGTATTTTCAAAAAATGATCCAAGCATTACTTGCTCTAATGATAGGAAAACGTCCACCAAGTGAAAAGAAGAGTAAATGTCTCAGCCTTTGATTTCACCATTGGAGATAGTATCTCTGTCACAGGAAGTTTAACTCTGCATTATGAAGATTTATGTGGGGTGGTATTTTAGTTCATTCCTGACACAAAAGCTATTAAGTCCAGCTTTTGCCTAAATGGATCATTTGGATAAAAGGCAGTGAGAGGGGGATTTGGTGATATCTGCAGTCACTTCTTCAGAGAAGTGTGGTTTGCTAATGCTGATATTCTTTCTTGCAGATTTGGGACTGTCTCCACATCTCACAGCTCTCATGACCGGGGAGCGGACTTTAGGGCACAGCAGCAGCACTGGCGATACAGGCTTCAGCTGTTCTCAGGATTCAGGTAACCCGTCATTGTTCGTTTTCTCACACTGAACATGAACCAGCAGTGCAGTGTGGCTACCAAGAAAGCATAAACATTTCTACACTGCATTGAGAGAAACTTAGTGTTCCGACCACAAGTAGTAATTGTTCCATACTGTTCTGCCCATTATGGCCACAGTAGAGTACTGTGTCCATGTCTGGGCTTCAGATTTTAAGGAGGGCTTTGGCAAACTGGAGTGCATCCAGACTTGGGTAAGCAGGAGAGGGAGTGGTCTGGAAACCAAGTCCTTTGAAGGATAGTTGAAGGAACTGGCTATGCTTGTCTGGGGAAGAGAATATTAGAGGAAGGCATAGCTGTCTTCATCTATGCGATGGACTGTCACAAAGAAGACAGAGCAGATGTGTTCTATTGCTCCAGCAGGCAGAACTAGGATTAATGGGCCGAGATTGCAGGGGTGCAGCTTTGACAGTGGAACAGATATTCTCAGGAGGTGATAGACTCCCCTTCATTGGAGGTATTTAAGCAAACACTAGACAGGCATTTGTCAAGAATACTGTAGCTGCAAGGTTCCTACAGTGAGCAGGATGCTGGACGAGATGACCTCCAAGATACCTTCCAATTCTAGTATTCCATGATTTTGTATGTACAGTGGGGAGATTATAAAAGCATTGACCTGCTGTTATCAACATAGGACTTACTGGATTTTAGTTGCAAACTCACTTTGTAGTATGGATGTCAATGATACTAGAACTAGGCCTGCAGTCCTCTATCCATCTGGTGAATCTGACCTCCAAGTCATTTTTCTAACAGCTAGGTTTCTCCTACTTCCAGATTCCAGTAATTTTATCTGAAGGTCAAGGTGGCAAAATTGCAAAAAAGCCTAGACTAGGGAAAGGTAAAGTGATTCTTTAAACAATGACCCTAAATTAGTCTTGTTAGTTAGTGATGTTAGAGGTTCTAGCCTAACATCTGCAGGATACCAGGCTAAAGATGTTTCTTTAAAGTGACAGGTGCTTGCATGTGTCTATGATGACGATGCTTCCATAAATTAAAAATCTTATAAGCCCTGGTCTCCTTTCAGGAACTGATGTCATGCTTCTTGAAGACTATAGTTCTGATGGAATGCATCATCCCCATTGTGTGTACCCCCATCGACGGAGAAGTTCTGTAACATTTGAAGACGAAGTGGAACAAATTAAAGGTGTGCTAGGCTGGGAATTGTAACACTGAGCTTCTTACAACTGGAAGCACTGAAAAGTCCATTGAAAAACAGCCTTTTAATTTTTGCTGCTAATTTTAGTACATAGTGCTTAATTTATTTATTTATTTATTTAAAACATTTTTATGCCATCCCCATCGCAACAAAGCCTCGGGGCAGCTTACAACAAGAACAAAATATAACAAATTATACAATAAAAATATTAAAACCCAGTGCATCTTGGCTTAAAAGATTTAAAATCCTATAAATAACCAGTAAATTAACAATTAAAATAAGTTTTAAATAAAAAGGTCTTAGCCTGGCCCCGAAAAACAAATAACGATGGTGCCAGGCAGACCTCTCTGGGGAGCGCATTCCATAGATGGGGCGCCACCGCAGAGAAAGCCCTCCTCCGGGTACTCACCCTCCTAATATTCACAGAGGGTTCCCGGAGAAGGGCATCTGTTGCTGATCTCAAGGGGCGGGAGCGCATATATGGACGCAAGCGTTCCTTTAGATAGCCAGGACCCAAGCCGTTGAGGGCTTTATAGGTCATAACCAACACCTTGAATTGGGCCCAGACTTCAATTGGGAGCCAGTGGAGCTGACAGAGAACTGGGATTATATGAGAACAACGCCCAGTCCCTGTCAGCAGCCTGGCAGCTCTATTCTGCACCAATTGAAGTATCCGGACTGTCTTCAAGGGTAGCCCCACGTAGAGCGCGTTGCAGAAATCTAATCGGGAAGTTACCAACACATGTGTCACTATCGCCAGGCAGTCGTTCTCCAGGAAGGGACGCAGCTGATGGACCAGCCGAAGCTGAAGGAAAGCGCTCTTCGCCACCGCTGTCACCTGAGCTTCTAAAGACAGCAAACCCTGTCCCTCAGAGGGAGTGCAACCCCATTTAGGACAAGGCCCAAGTCCCCCATCCTGAGGCCCAAACCACCCACCAACAGGACCTCTGTCTTGTCTGGATTGAGCTTCAGTTTATTGGCCCTCATCCAGCCCATTACCTCGGCCATGCTATATATAGCATGTAAAGATTAAAAAACCAGACAGCCCTCTACTGAAACAGATTGCAGCCAAGAAAAGCATGATTTAAAGGGCAAGATGGGAAGTGGGCATTGGAGGAAACAGGACTGACTGACATACTTGCTTTTCAGCAGGTGCACAGCAAGATGTACAATACAGGGATATTTTCACAAACATAGGCTTTCTACAGCATATTGTATAGGCTCTACTGGAAGAAAGTCAAGGAGCTTATTAAATTTCAACATATAGTGTAGTAAACTTTCACACTCCAAAACCCAGGATGTCAAATCCTTATAGCCACAAGCTTGTTAGTTAGTTTTCATTTTATGGTCTCAGACCAGGAAGATTAAAAACCAGATAAAATAGCAATAGAAAAAATAAAACACAGTTAAAACAAGTAAAATTTATACAATGTTTTCACTGAAACGGATGACCCCATTTTTCCTAATCTGCACTGCAATCATAAAAAAGTTGGCAGGATTTCTAGTAACATGAGAGGATACACCCCTTAAACACATAGTTACCATAGTGAAAGAATTATTGCCATAAAGATCTTTTACTAATGGTTTAATCAATTTCTCTGCATTTCCTATAAAAGCTGTAGTATAAAAGAACACACTCCACAGTTTCTTTTGCTCCAGCACCACAGGAGCATGCTATTCAATGACTGAGGTCTTATTAAATCATCCTTTTAATAGTGCTGATGGAAGCACATTAAAATGAGCCAGAATGCTCTTCTGTACTTTGGGATAGTTAATGTATACAGACATGGGGCTGAAATATATCCATTATTATAGCAATTATTGCAATTAAGATGAAACAGTGAGAAACAAGTTTTACTAGCTGCCGTTCTCAAATATTGAAGTTCCAAGTCTATTAATCTTTGAAGAACACGGTCTTGCACTTGGGACACAGGAATAGGTGTCACAGGTACAGGATGGGGGACAAATGGCTGGCACTTGTGAAAGGGATCTCAGGGTACTTGTCAACAGCAGACTGAACATGAGCCAGCAGTGATGCAGCAGTCAAAAAGGGAAATGCCACCCTTGGATGAATAACAAGAAGCATGTCTTCCAGGTCTAGGGAGGTGTTGATACTGCTCTATACGACTCTGGTAGGCCCACAAAAGTACTGTGTCCAGTTCTGGGCTCTGCATTATAGGAGAGACATAGCTAGGTTAGAATCGGTTCAGCGCAGGGTCACAAGAATGAGGTGTCTTGGCAAGACTAGGCCCTTAGGGTTTAATTCACATCACAAATCAACAAAAATGCATCATAGTCATGCTTAGAAAAATGTAGAATTACTATACATGTTGAAATGTATAGTGAAATGTTTCTGCAGACAACATTTTAAAGGTACATAAAAATTAATGAGGTCTCACATATGAAAGTACCAAACAAATATGGATTATAGTATGGATTATAATCCACAAACATGAGGATTATAGTAGGGCCTATGCTGAAATTTCATAAAGGTTTGGTTATTAAATAGCTGCTATATTTCTGCTAAATGTGGGCTCATACTTTCTATATTGTTGAATAACAACCTGAGCCTCAAAATTAGCCTATAGTGACGGTTACTAATTATTTAATTTTTATTTATTTCCTGCCGTTTTTCTTCTTGTAAGGAATTGAAGGCAGCATGCGCAAACCTCTTCCTCTACATTTTATCCTTTCAGCAACCCTGTGCGGCAGGTTAGCCTGATAGTCAGTAACCCACCCAGACTTATCCAATGAGCTTCTTGGCTGAGAGCGGACAAGAGTCCAGATCTCCTGAGACTCAGTCTGACACTGTAACCACTACACTGCAATGGTTCTCAATCAATTGTATAAAAAATGAGCACATGGTTGACAAAAAATGAGATCTCAACCAAATAATAGGGGTGTGTAGCTTTGGGAGCTTTAGGGAAAAATCAGTTGTAGTTACTTTTTCAATATGTGTAATGAATCTGCAATTTTTTAAAAATAGGATGCTCAAAAGCCTCCAAGTTTGGGGGTTACAAGCATCAAGGGTATTTAATTTTTACCATCTTTCCATCAAAAATATAGAAAGCAAACTTAAAGGGGGACCTGTGCACAGCAGATAGTTCAAGGGCAGCTTTCAGAAGCCCTGCTGGAGTTGGAGAAAAACAATATAAAGTATTTTCTAAGCTGTCACAGGGACAGAGGTAAGGAGCCTCTTTTAGATCAAAAGGAAAATTCAGTTTTGGAGAAACTTTTGGGAACAATTATTTATTTATTTATTTAAAGCTATTCTAACCCATCCCCTACAAACGTCTCAGGATGGCTTACAATGAATGAGGAGAATCAACACCAGAGCATCTGACAGTTAATATACTAAAAGCCAAGTCCAAATCAATTAAACATTAAAATAGCAGAAAAATAAAAAGATTTTTGCCTGATGCTGAAATGAATATAATGTCAGCGCCAGTTTCTCTGGGGAGGTTCCAGTATTCCAGTATTGTCCACCAGTAAACTAAGCCTTAGACGACTGACATTTTAGCATAGGGCAAGAATTGCAAGAAATGACCGATGTGAATGGCCAGAGAAAGTGGGCATGGTCCTCTGGGAAACACCAGAGGGCTAGATTTGGCCCCTAGGCCTGACGTTGCTTTCTCCTGCTCTAGGACTAGACTAGGCTAGACTAGGCTAGCTTTTGGAGCAGCAGGAGCAGGGCTCATAAAGGCATTCTTCTTGTTTCTGACATTTCATTTTATTGCAAGTTACACTTTTTTCCCTTTAGAGTCTGATTTTGTCCCTATCTAGACAGCATTCCCTCGTAGCTTCTCAGACCAGCATACTTTATGTTTATGGATGGATGATGGTCCTGTAAAGTTAAATGATTACATGTATATTTGACATGTCCCCATAATTTATTAGCTTTAATTTTATTGCATAATTCCCAGGTGCTCATGGATATGTGCTAACTGAAGTACTGCTTCTGTATAGAACTTGTCTACAGTATGCAAATATATTCATAAGGCTTCCACATTTTTATACTAAGTATTTAGTATTTTTATACTAAGCTTACTCTGTTTTCTCCCTACAGAAGCAGCCAAGAGTTCTGTTCTACATGTAAAAGCTGATGTGCATAAGTCTCTGGACAGTTACGCTTCCAGCTTGGCTAAAGCTATTGAAGCAGATGTGAGGATCACCTTGTTTGGAGGAGATGCTTTACCTGGCTCTTTGTTTCCAGTGCGAACTGTGGCAGGCAACACTGCGTGTGCACGGCGTGGTGGCAGGGGCCATGTTGGGCAAAGACTACAGCTACAGAGTATTGAGGAAGGGAACACTTAAAAGCCCTGCCACAGGGAATGTACAAAACCACTAAGGACAATGCAAGGCTGCTCTTGTAAAAGAAAATGTAACAGCCTCCAGTGCATTAGCCAAGGGCACTGAAAATACCCAAAGGCATGTCTTAACAGTGTTAGAATGTGTTTCTGTATGTAAAATGTGTACCGCACACTGTTGGGTGGGGTGGGTGGATAACACGTGGCCTGTGAGCCACATGCAGCCTCTACTAGTGCCCCTTTTGCAGTAGCAAAACAATTGGTGGTTGGTCACCAAATTTGGTGGCAAACAATGATGGGGCCCTCAAAAGGCCAAATTTAGTGTTAAAGGCTTGTTTTAAAGCTATTTTGGGCTCCTCGTCAGTGTTGGAGTTTGTTGCTGTGATTCAGTAGCAAACCACTGGTCCTTTTGCCATTATGCAGCAGTGGGGTAATGGCCCCCAGGAGATTCAGGGGCACTGAGCACCCCACCCCTGCTGTAGGGTATGTTTAGGGATATCTTGTGCCTAAATTGCTGTTCAGCAAAGAAACAGATTCCAACAAAAGGGAAATTTAGAATAGAAAACTGAAAAGTAAATGATAAAATGCAGGCTGTTTTCTGTGGCATGGATTCTTTTCGTGCTTGTTTCCTCTGAGCTCCAGCTGCATATGCAGTCAGTTTTCAAGAAAGTTCCTTCCCCTCAGCAGCACTTTGGTAAATGTCAAAATTTTTTCTGCATTCTCCTAGAAAGCATTCCAATTAAACAGTTGCCTTACTAGGCCAAATTAGGTCTGTCAAACTCTCAGTAATAACTGAGAGTTTTAGGGTGCTTACATGCTAGGCATTCTGTATGGGTTTGCCATCCTTCATTTGGTCACTTTTTATGGGATAACTACACTATGATGTCATCCAATCATTGTCATATTTTCCATATATTTTCTGCAAGACTGCAGAAAGCATAACCAATTTTTATAATGGGTGACAAGCATAATTTTCACAGGTTAACATATCCTTATGGCACTCTTCCCCCTTTTGTAAAGGGTAGGGCATTGGTGTGGGCAGTGACATAACACGTCACATGGAACTTACTGTGGTTTCAGACTCTATAACCTTTGTAGTAGGAGCCATTTAAGAATATTGATTGGGTTTTCATGACATGGCAACCTATTAAAGGTAACTAGCCATGGTAGTTCGCCATGTTGTGTGAACCTGGACCACTTTTGCCAGATGGTTTTTTGGGGGCAACAAGCCACCCTGACAACCCATGGTTTGTTCTAGAAGTTCTTGGACTTAGAATGGGTGATTGTCTCATCCAAATCCAAGGAACCAACTATGTGTTTAGGGGAACAGGGTGAAAGTCATTCAGTAACAGCAGCAAAAACTCCTTGCCTGCCCAAGCTGAACCCACCCAAGCCACTGTTAGCTGCTCTACCCAAGTGTCGCTTTGGAGTGACTGACACTGGCTTAGTCTCACTGCTTTAATCACAATACATTTAGAAGTCACTCAAGATTTTCCTCCCCAGTTTTGGAAATCACAAAAACAAACAGTGACAGTTCTCTCAAAGTGCCCAAATGGTATATTGGAGTGACTGACACTGGTTCACTGCCATCTTTTACTTGGGCCAGAAATGTGTGCAAATATTTTAATTATTTGTATTGCTGTTGTTGATAGTTCAGAGGTGCACAAGCCCAAAACTCCAACTGCCCAAAATGTAAAGCTCTGCCAGGTCAGTGCCCTTGTGTTTGCTGATTACCTAAGAAAGCCAGGCTTCAGATACATGACTTTGCTGTCACTTGACAGTTGTCAAACAGTGAGTTGTCAAAGACAGCAAGAAGATCTTCGCTTGCAAAGAGGTGCCAGCTGTTTCATCCCCATCACAGTGAAATCTTGTGGGTTCTAAGTTTGGAAAACAGGGTTTTTGACATGGCTAAAGGATATTATGACAGGTTTCACGGCTGCATATATCCCTTTAAACCCCTCTACCCTTTCAGCCCTGTCCAAAACCCCATTCTTTAAGAACATCTTACTTTGGACAGTTGTCAAAAGTAACTAATACTATAAATGGGTGGGCTGCACTTTTCTAATTTCTGAAGCACCTAAAGACTCAGGAGAAGATAGAAGAAAATGTCCAGTCCAAACTTAAGACCTAGACACTCACTGTGAAGAGGATTATGTAATTGCCTCTCACTTTTGCAAGCAAAGATCTTGTGGCTTGGCTTTGCACTTGCAGCTCACCATTGGATAGCTGTGAAGAGAAAGCCAAATCGCGTATACGAAGCCTAGTTCGCCAATGTCCAAGGACATTAACTAGACATGAGCACAACTCTAAACTACTGATGCTTTTTTATAATGTAACAAAAACATATGTGTACCTTTCTGCTTCAAAAAATAAAAATAGGAAGTGAACCAGTAGTAGCCACTCCCATGTGCTGCTTGGGCACTTTAAAGGAGCTGTCATTGTCACTTTGGAGATTGCAAAAAGCCTTCCCTGGAAAAAAGTAATAGTGGTTGCAGAAACCAGGTGCTCACAATCAGGGTTGGGAGGGGATGCTAAACAGGTTCTGCTGCACTGGGCCCTAGAATATCTGTGAGAGAACCAAGGGGAACATGGGAGGGGAGAACTTATATTAAGCTCAGTCATCTGGTAGGGTACACAAGTTGTTCCATGAACAGAATACACAGACTTGAGTTGCTGTGCTCTTTGAACATGACCATTGTTTTTTTCTTTAAAAAACTCTCTTTCTAATCACCACTATTAAGCACGTTGTTGAAATGATAGAACTTGGAAAAGTTTCTAGCATTTACAAACTGGCATTATTGTGTTATGGTGTTATAACACTATAATGCTATATATCATTGCCATTAACCACCTTGCCACAAATGCGGTGACCAGAAAGTTCTCTATAGTTTTTTTAATGTCATCACATGATGATGCACTTTCAACTGAGTGGTATGTACTAATATTTGAATATTCTTAAACTTCAGGAAAGCATTTTAGTCCTAAAAGCTTTATATTTAAAAAAAATCAACAATTACATAAAATTCCAGGCAAGAGTAAATGTGTGATAGCTAAATTGTACCTTCAGTTTCCCTGGCAGCTATGTTGTGACCACCAGTACCCAAAGAGAAAAAGTACATTCCCAAAAGTAGTGTTGGGAGCTGCCCACTTGGGAATGTCTACAGTATGTCATACTGAAAAAGGAAATAGAGATGGAGTAATCCATGTATCAAGTATTGGTTCCTTACCCACTCGGGGAGGAAAACAAGCATGAGATTTCACAGTTGGATAGAAGTTCACCTTTCATGCAGAGCTAGGCAACGATGTGCCCTACAGATGTTTTGGACTATAACCCCTATCATCCCTTACCATTGCCTATGCTGGCTGTGGCTTATGGAAATATTGTACTAAAGCAGCCACGCTTTAAAGAATTCAGAGGAGCACCATCTGTTTAAAGAATGCACATGATTTGAACAAGTTCTTTCAAGGTAAGGTAAACATCAAGGGTTTTTCCAAATTGATGATGCCCAATAATGAAAGACCAAGGCACAAGATTGGAATTTATTGGTATTTCTGAGTATTCATGAACCCAGTTTCAATTAGTGGTCTCAGGCCGTTCATATGCAGTCAGGCTGATGAAAGCAGTCAAGTTATCCTTGGTACTGCTGTTGTGGGAACCTACTTGAAATCCTCTCTGATTTCTCAGAGGTTGCAAAAAGACTGAAATCCTGATTCCATTAAAACAATTGGGCACTTTATTATATCACTGTGTGGCTATCCTTGTAATTCAACTTTGGCAAAGTTTAGTCATGGGTGAGCTTTGTTGTCATAATGTAACACAATGTTGTCACAATACATGAACACAAGAGTCTTAAATGCAACACCAATGTAACTCAACAGGTTTATAACAATAGGAGTCAACATTTTGCACAGACTTTTTCCTTAGCTATCTACAAAAATTATGTTTACAACATTGCAAGTGTGCTAATAACAGCCTTGAAATGTTTTAATATTCTGTGTATAACGTGTGTTTTGAAATGCAGAACAGCTGTTAATAACTTTGTAAATGTTTAAACATGCATGTTAATGCTCTCTTTTTTTACAGAAAAATGATACTTTATATTTGCTTTTCCTTTTCCACCCGTGTAACCTGAGAATGCCTTCTAAACAGAAAGGGATCAGGTTCGGATCAGCCCCAACTGGTGGCTCCTGTGTCTGGCCACTCAAGTATAAATACATTGCAAAAGCAGTTAAAATGTACTGAATAGATCATTGTCATGCGTGGAATCCAAATAAAAGAGATGTATACCTTGTGGCCTTGAGCCACAGTAACATTTTGTAATTTAAAAAACCTCTTTGAGGGAATATCTTGACCGCTCCTGCCAAGGAATTGGCATCTTGCAATGTATCAGTGACACTGTGACATCTGTGATGTGTTCCAAGGTACTAACCCTCACAGACTCCAGGCCATCTCAGGACAAGTTTCTACCCCAAATGAAAGAAAGAACAGATTGAAGCAGCTGATACAGCTTTCTTTTTTTCTGTATTTCAGACAGAAGTTCTTTGCTAATAATTGGGCTGTTCATACACTATTTTTATAGTGGAAGGCATTGATAAACTGGTCAGATAGCTACACTGTGATCCAGTTCACACAACCATAGTTAACTGTGGCACATGCCAATATGTGAGGGCAGTTGGTGAACATTCAAGCTATGGCTTGTAACATCCGAACCCAGATAGTGTTGGCAGAACAAGTCATGGATTGTACAAAGGTTGTTTAATTCTCACTTAACTACCTGTGTTCAGATAGCACAACAAGCTATGAGCTGACTATTCAGAATGGTTTTCCACATGCAGTAGAATGTGCCACAGCCCTTCATAGCTTAAACCATAGCTTATTTGATTATGTAAACTGGCTCCAAGTGTTTGCTACTAGGAGGAAAAATACTTGGGGATTGTTTTTGGTACTGTTATTGAGCAATTAAGGCTATGCTATAATACTCTCATAAAGGGTATGTTGCATATTAATTTTGTATTTTCCTAAGCCTTGGAAATGGTACATGGATACCTATATTAATGCTTTGGAAAACATACATGAATACAGAACAAAACTCTAGAGAAAATAAGATAAATCGTAGATTATTGGTTGGATTCAGAGATTACATCTGCCAGTGGTACCATCTGTTCAATAGATCTTGTTCTGGATGCTTGTACTGGTAGAAAGGGGGCAAATAAATTTGGGTAAGTAGTCTAGAGGGTTGCAGGAGGAGAGAGAATCAATGAGAATTTCCTCCTGCATTCCCCTGAAGGTCAGAAGTCTTCCCCAGGCTGAAGCAGAACTTCCATTCATAGCAAGCAAAGTCTGGAGTGAACCCCTTGACTGAGTAGCAACTCTTTAAACAAGGTCTGGCCTTGTTTCAGAATCACAGTACATTTGCCCATATTCCAATAAGTCTGTCAGTGACGGCTCAAATTGAGACCAAATTGTTTACTACTAATTGAATCAAGGTAACAGAATAGTCTCTTATACATTATCTAGCTACTGGTTGACTTTTTAAGGTCTTTAATAGTACTGTTTTATTTGTGTTTTGTATTTTTATTTGCTAATTGCATTGTGATTATAATTAGCATACAAATTCAATAAATAAAATATAAGTAAATCCTAAACATGTTTGCTCAGAAGGGAGCCTCACACTTTAAGTGAAACTTATTTCCAAGTAAATATAAATAGGATTGTTATAAGTAAAAATAAATAGAAATATATAAATAGGATTAATCACAAGTTGTGCCCCAGAAGATAAAATTAGCATTCTGTAACTTATACTGATGTGAATTACAAAAATCTTTTAACTTGTACAGAGCAACCCATTAGTGATTTTATACTGATAACTATTCATTAATCTATACCAATAAACACCTACAGATACTACCTGATGTGCAGAACAATCCTGTACAAATGTGACTTCACAGAACTTCGCTCCCAAAACAGCATACTGATCCCAGCTGTTAAAAGGTTACATATGCATAACCTTTTCATTCATGAAATAGAAAAAAAGTGGTCCACTGATCCCCACCCTCAGCAATTTTCATCAGGTCTGTGAAACTGAGGGGTAGGGAATCTTTGGCCAGCTAGAGGCTCAACCTCAGTCCCCATCATCACTGTCTGGGACCGCTGGGAGCTGGGATCAGGCACCTAGACGGCCTCAGGCATTCCGCCCTGTGAAATTATTTCATAAAGGCTTAGCTACTGATCCACTGTGCCTGCAGGACCACTGGCCTGCAAGCAAGGTGTGAACCAGCCACAGCATGATCCCCTACTTGTCTACTCAGGCATGAATCGCACTGCCTTCACAGGGACTTCCTCTCAGGAAAGCGCATGCAGGATTGCAGCGGAAGTGGGCAGGAGTTAAGGAAAGGCGTAGCTGGGCTGCAAGGGCTCATTGTCCAGCAGGAACCCACTGATGAGTCCCAGCTGTTGCTCCACCTCTTGATCATTACCACCTTATTCACTTTCCTCTCACTTTGGCCCATCCAACCACCATGGTCAGAAGGACGAGCAGGAGATGCCCCAGGCTCCTTCCTCACTGTCTTGTCAATCAAGGAAGTGGAACTGACAAAACCCAGACAGAGCAGGAAAACTGGGGGAGTCCAATCGAAATAACATTAGTTTATTCAGACATACATGCAGCATGTAAGTTACCCAAAAAGGCTACGGAGATGGAGTCTGCACAGGATGCTTTTATAATATATTACTCACGTAAGCAGTTTGTAAGAGGCACCAGATCACGAAAACAAAAGGTTGAATAGATTGAGACAAGAGGGGGCAGGGAGGCTCAGAGCAAGCATACACCAGCGTCTCTTAACCCGTTGTAGGTGAGGAACAAGACTGACAAGATACGTGTTTAACTGTTTAAAACGATTCTTGCCAGTTTCAGGTTCTTTGCCACCATATCATGGTGCTTTGGTTCATTTTGTCCGGACAGCAGCAATGAATGGTGGTGCAAAAACAGCTCGTGGCAATGAATGGTGGTGCGAAAACAGACTAAGAGAAGCGCCCTTTGAGGATGCTGTGACTCAAACGTCCTCAAAAACCTGGAGCCAGCAGTGGGCAGCAGCGTCGATGGCTTGCAGAGGCTTTTCGCCTCTCAACGTTGGTGGGTGCTTCACCATCTAAGTGTGTGCGTGCATCATTTTCTTAGGACACAGACTTTGCTTTCCATGAAGATTTGTAAAACACCAAGCTGACTATAGAACAGACTTCCCTAATCAGTTGCCCTCCTAATCATGGACGCACACCCCGCAATTTTGTTGATCATGGGAACTGTAGTACAGCAGAGCTGGAAAACCCCTCAGTCCCGCGCTCACTGTTCATGCCCCCTTGCTCGACCTCACCAATCAGGCTCCCTCTATCCCTCCCTCGCCTTACTTCCAACAAGTCCAAAGTCGCCCTTCCGCGCCTGCGCACAGAACGCCGTTCGACTCTCCAGCGTGCCTCTTCGTCCAATAGCGCTTCCTTCCTTTCTACCTTCCTTCCGCCTCCGCGGCCTTTTCCTCGCCTGGATTGGACAGCGGCGCACGCGAAAAAACCCTTCGTCTGGGCGCAGCAGGGCGAAAGGAGGGGTTGCTCGTTCTCCATTATGATTGGCTCCGCGGGCGGGAAGCAACCTGGAATTGGTAGCTTCATGCACTTACTTGCGGAGGGGCGTTCCCGGACGCGGCTTGGCTTCTCCCCTTTCGCGTGGACTTGTGCCGGGCTTTTGAGAAACGAAGGGCGGACAGAGACTCGGCGATGGAGAAAGTATTGTGTGATGGGCATGGTGAGCTATGGGGTCGGGCCATCAAGTGGGCGGGACGACCGGTGTGGTGAGAACTGAGCAAAACAATTGGGGCTGTACCCCTGCGCATGGTTCGGTTGGTATTCGGATCAAGCACTGCCTGCCTTCCTTCTTCTCACCTCGCCAAAAAAGAGCACACGGATATACACCAACGCTGCATGCTCTGATTTATATGTATAGGGGGAACTTGGAAGCAATATAATTTAAGTAGAAATACAAGACATCGCACTGTAGGCGAGAAGAACAGATCTGGTGGCCTGCGCCTTGCTCAGCCTGCGGGCTAGCTGCTGCTAAGAACAGATGTGCAGCTTGGGAGCCCTTACAAACTTTGTCTTCTTGGGGCTCTTCATCTGTAAAGTGTTCTTGGACTAAGCAACCCTTTGGACTGTCCCCCAAATGCCCTTCAGAAGACAACTGCCATACCCAAGCTTCACCAAGTCCAACCCCGTACCTTAGTTGAAATGTTTTGGATTTCAAGTCCCATCAGCCTCAGACAGTATGGCCATGGTCAGGAAGGCTGGGTGTTGTAGTCTAGGGTATCTGGAGGGTTGGTGAAGGCTTCCCTATCAATAGCTAATGTTCTCTCCACTGCTTTCAAAGAAGGTCAGGATGGAGATTTGAATGTGGTGGAAACTAGGAAGTGCCTTGGAAAAGATCTAAGAGTTGATCAGCTTTGATAAGGATGTTGCACAGGGGGCTGGACATGATGGCCTTAGAGGCGCCTTCCAACTCAACTAATTTGTGATTCTGTAGCTGAGTTGCAGAGCGCATGCTTCATACACAGAAGGTCCCAGTTCAGTCCTTTGTATTTCCAAGTAGGGTTAGCAAAGGGTCCTACCTCAAATTCTGGAGAGCTGCTGCAGTGTTGATAAGACTGGAGAAGATGGACCCTGATTTGAGCCAGGATAAGGCAGCTTTCTCCTTTATTTTCAGGGGCATTCCACTTTCAGCTTTTGGTGCCTGCAGCGGTAACTTGCACTAGCCCAACTGCTGCTTGAAGCAAAGCAGGAAAGTGCTCCCCTTTCCCTGCAATGCACCATAGTACTTGAGGCCAGTCAGATTATTTGGCACCAAATGTAGCAAATCCCTAAGGGCCTCTTGATGATGATGATGATGGTGATGGTAATCCATCTAAAAATAACAGTATGCTATCTTCCCACAACACCCTGAACAACCTGCTTGAAGTGGCTGCCTCATGCCCCCTAGTGGTAGCTTGCCTGAAAGTAAGCATAACTTGTCAACAGGGCTGGTACTATGTGATTGACCAGCCTTGTTCATGGAATTCTATGGGAGGTCCAGAAAGCAATGTCTTCTGTGATTCCCCACCACCTTCCCTGCCTTCTTCCTTACTGTGGAAAATCTAAGGAAAAAATGAAACTGATGCACTTTGCCTTGTGATTGGGAGTCCTTTCTCTGGTTGTACCCTTAGTCCTTCTGTACTTGGTGAGGCTTCCTTCCGAGTCCACATATGTAGGATTGCCAAGTGGCTACTGTACTCTTTGCTTGCCTGCTGACTCTTTCAGTGGCTCAGTGAGTGGGCAGGTAGGATTTATGAAATAATTTGCAATGTCGATGAAGGGAATTCTTCTTGTCGGGAAACAAGGGAATTTTTTTTAAATAGCATGTGAACAGAACCTTATGCACCATTGTAGAACTTAAGTGGTCTTGTTTGCTGGTAAACATTAGAGGAAGAGGGGTATGGTTCATGTCTATACCCATGCATATGGTTCAACAGCTCAGTAATGCCTTCTAGCTTACAGCACTGGAAAGGGTGAGCTTTGGCCACACAGACATTATTGGCCTAGTCTTTCTTGCAGGAAGAAGAAGTAAGGATAAATATGAAGAAAAAGGAAGGGTAGGGCAGAACCTTTTAAACAATCTTGGGCACCTCAGAGGAAGGGCAAAGCGTGTAACAAAATGCAATAAATGGGAGGGTATGCAGACGCTTGGAGTGAGATGAGGCTTTGACTTGGTTGACTCTGAGTCTCCCATGTTGATCTTTTCTTCATCTCTCTCTTGCTTTCTTCACGCACAGGGCATCCCTGCTTTTTGAAGACTGGCATCCGGGATGGCCCCAACAAAGGCAAAAGCTTTTACGTGTGTGGAGTCCAAGGACAGAAACCATGCGAATTTGTACGCTCTACAGAGTAAGTTAGACGTTTTTCTTTGAAAGACAATCTCCAGGAATTATCACTTGCTTACTTTGATTACTCATGTTAAAGTAAAAAATGCTGCTATTTGTAAAAGCAAAATTTTTTGAATGTCAAATTTAATGTCTTCCATATAGAACTGAAATATATTTAAATATAAGAAATGCATATATTTTTAGGAAAATAGTTCACCTGAAAATAGTTTTGTGCTGTAAGAACGTCTTATTTAAGAATGGCAGAGGGATTGCCTCACACACATTTGATTGCCTTTGTATTTGCGATCCAGAGATAATATTTTTGCCCTACTCAGGTGAGAAGATAATGTAGATAGGCATTTCCTTTTTTGCTATAGGTCTTTTGGTAACCCTTAAATGTTCAGGCCAGAAGGCTTACTTATCTGACTAACCATCTTTCCTTTCCACAGGCTTTGCCCTTCTCATTGCTTGATGCATGAAGAATATATTGTGGATTTGCAAGTTTTGATGAAGCAGCAGGAGACAGACACATACAAGTAAGATTTTCTGGAGAACACTTGGAGTTTTCACATTGTTAAAGCAGGGACGGGATGGCCAAATTATTAATAGCCAGCTTGGCTATTATTATTTTTTTAATTTTTAGCCGAGAATGCACTGAGGTTGCACTGAGGTTTTATTGAGGTTTTATGGCACTGGGGTTTTATTGTATTGGGGTTTTATTGTATGGTTTATTTATTGATGTTGTGAGCCGCCCCGAGGCTTATTGCAATGGGGCGGCATAGAAATGTTTTAAATAAATAATAAATAATGTTGTTTTGTTCCCTAGACTGTTCTATCGATGCAGTAAAGGTAAAATGGGAGGAAAGAGATGGTGTGGAAGTGTCCCATGGCAGGTACAAATACTTCATGGCCCTTTCTGCATTATACTTTGCCAGCTGTTTGCAATAGAAAGCTTTTGAAGTGGGGCTTGTACAGCTTGCTTTGTTGCAGTGCATTTCCTCATTGCGATCTGAATCACTAATCTTAAAAAACTTAGGGCGCTTTCCAAGCAGTCCCTGTGATCCCACTTATTCCCTTGTACCAGCAGGCCGAATGGCTGGCAAAATTAGAATTTTGTTGTTCTAGACGTAACCCCGGAGATGAGTGGAAACACTCATTTCCAGTTCAGGACAGGTGAGTAGAACCCTCTTTTCTGAATTTTAGTGAGTTGCTTCAGTCTGGAAATGAGCATCTATACTTTTTGTGGGTTATTTTTCAAACCACTAAATCATTAAATTCTTTTCATGTCAGCCATGGATCTGTCTTGCTCATGGGCACAATAGGATACTGCCCCTAGACTAATTGCAGTGATTTACATAAAAGAAAATGAATTTAAGGTTGATATGCACAGTGTATTCTACCTTGCATTGGTTCATTTTCACATCCTGGCTGTTGTGAAAGCTATTTTAACATTAAGGGTTTCTGCTGGACATAAAGGTTTCAGGTTCATACTAGAGTTTAGGAAAAGAGTTGGTTGCATTATACCTGATGTGGAGAAAGAATTCACTGAAGCAGAAATGGTTTGAATCTTGTTTCTATAACAATTAGAACTTTTGCAAAACACCTAGGAAAATTGACGTCTTTTGAATGTCTTGTGTATCTCTTCCTGTCTTAAACTACAGAGAACAGACAGCCCTAATATTCTTGATACTGAATTGATCTCACTTTAATTTTGGATGTCTTACAGGATTCAAAAGCCACAAGACCACTATCTAAACCTCAGCCCACTTTGGAACTGCATCATGTTAATCAAGATCAACGAAATCCATTCAAAGTACCAGCTAAGAATCATGAAACCTTGTCAGTGGAACCAATGAATGGTGGCAGGGACAACCATGCAGGAGAAAAAGATTCTGAGAAAAGAGAAGGGGAAGACTCTGCCAAAAAGGATCAGCTGGTTTCTGTTAGCAGTGAGCTTCCCGCAGCCCTGAAGATCAAGAACAAACAGCCTGAAGAAAAAAATGAAAGGTCACGTAGGGAAGCAGTAGAAACCCAAACAAAATTGAGCAAAGCAACAACTGAAAAGCAAAATAACCCATCATTGGATGCATGCAAATACAGCTTTAGCAAAAAGCCTGAGAGACCTTTAAATCACACAGGACAGGATTCAGCCATGAGATCTACAGAAGCAGGTTTGCCAAAAGCAGAGGAACCAAAGCAATTATTGCCAGGTGTCAGTAGCCAGGCATCAAACACAAGGCCAATTAATGAGGAGCAACACCAAAAGGGAGGATCTGGAGCCCACAATGACAAAACAGCAACTGTGAAAACCAGTGGCAGTAAGGGAGCAGACGAAAAGGGGCTCATCCCGAAAGAAAGTGTGACAATTCCTGACTTAAAGAGTTTCCCAAAAGCACAACCTAAAGGAAACCTGGAGAAACCATTAACAGTATTGCAGACGGGAATAGCTCCAAAAGAGAAGAACTGTACCAATAAGAATGTTAGTGGTGAAGAGCACAGAGTATTTGTGCCCTCTAAATTTGGGCAGAAATTACATTTCCATCAAGGAAAGGATCACCATCAAATGAATTTGGCATCAGTGCCTCCGGAAATGACCTCTATGCAGATAGCAGAAAGTATGGATTCCCAAGTTCTTCACAGACAACTTTCAGCACAGCTGAGAGAGAAACAGGTCTGTTGCTTGCTTGCTCCTCATGTATCTCTGAGTATCCCTTTTTAATTGAGGCTAAAATGTTTCTTGTTTCAAAATAGCAACCTCTAGAGCCTTTGCAAATAAACCATTAACTTACTGTAGTCCCCAGTTTATCCTTTACAAGCCCAACATTTTCCAGGTATGTTGGGCTACAACACCATCCTTCTGCAGACTGAAAAAGGTTCAACACTCCTGTCCTAAATAAAACACAGCAAAGGGGTGGTGGGATTAGAAATGTGCGTTTGTGTGCACATTAATTAGCAACTGTTGTAAAACACAGTCCAATTCTTAGTATGCTTGCTGCAGATGCTTCTAGTTAATCTAGTGTAACTCTTAAATATTTCAGAGCTTGTGCAACATATGTTAAGTAAAGAAAGCAAGCATGTCTGTAAACAATAACATCTTTCTTCCTTGCACTCTAGAGAACTTTGAAACTTGTGAATGTACAGGCTCTACCAGATAAAGGTGAGCGATTATTAAAACAGGTGCACGAGCTGGAAACTGCGCTTGGCTCTCTGAACCTGGAAGCAGAAGGAAGTGTAAAGGAAGGTAAGCCTATTCACCAAAGTTTGGAAGGAATGCAACATCAAGGAAGGAAACTTTTTGCTTTGTCACGAAGTACATTTCATTGTATTCTACATAAAAATCAGATAAGCTTTTTCTTTCTCAGAACTACTGAGTGTGTCCCTTCAACTGCCTAAAATTTCATAATTTAAGTTATGCAGCCCTTGTTTTAAAATCTCTTCCACATTGTGCAGCATCAGTCATTCTGTGTCCCAATTTCCATTTCCTCTCATTGCAAACATGATGGCGGGAGTGCAGACCCCATGCCCAGCTGTTTTACTGGGGGAGGGGTTTATTTGTTTGTTCAAGCATTTATATCTGATCCTTCTTGCAAGCTCACCACTCAGGGCAGCTTCCAACAGTTTAAAATCACAATTTCATCAGAGTGTAAAAGTGACGGGGTTAGCAGTTCAACCAAACCCGAGCGAACATTGTTTGCAGGGCTGGCATCAAAGAAAGGCATGGCTGGGCACCTGTTGAGGGCCCACTTCCCAGCATGGTCCCACTGATCAGAGACCCTTAGACTCAGTGGACCCTTCGATCACTGCAGTCTGCTTGTTCACCTGCCTCTTTCTCTGGCCCAGAAAATGATGCTGGCAAGGATAAGGGGCAGCAGATGCCCATGCTTTCTTGCTCACCTGTCAAGCAAGCAGGCAGTAGCAATGAGAAGAAAGAGAATGAGGAACAATAGCAGCTGGTGGCAGTGGTGGAGAAAAGCTAGATTCACGGAGGGAAGAGGCCCATGTAGGGTGGCTTGCCCAAGTCCCCTTTAAACCCTGGGACTAGCTCTGACTGTCTGCCATGCAAAATAGAAAGCTTCCAGAAAAGGTCTTCAGTAACTGGAGAACAACTCCAGAGGAGGGAACAGCAGGACATCACAGGGCAAGGTGAACTATAATCAGCATGTGGCCCCTGCAAAAGTCTTTCTTGTCCTGTGTAGCCGCGCTTCTGCAATAGGCAGGTATACAAAGAAAGGGCTCTGTTCAGATTCTAGGGAAAAGGCAAAATCATATGGGAGGATATGCTCATTAAGGTATCCTGGACCTAAGCCACTGGGGCTTTTAAGGTCATCACCAATACTTTGAATTGTGCCTGGTTGCAATATTATAATTAAGTTGGGTGGAAAAATGCATGGCCCTCAAGGTATTGAAGAATGACACCTTCCATTATCCCTCATCATTAGCGCGGCTGGCTAGGACTGGTGGAAGTTGCAGTCAACCAGCATCTGGAGAGCTACACATTCCCTACCTCTGCCCTAAACCATGTTGCAGAAGAGGGACATGGTGGAGAACCTGAGCTGCAAGGCAATAGCCCTGTTCAGTGTTACAGCTCAATATGGTGCAGAAACCTGTGCAAAAGATATGGGGCTGCACACACTAGAACCAGCCTCCACATCCTTGCATGCGTTGGTGGTGCATTCTTAAGTCTCTGCCTTCCACACCTTGAGTGGGGTGGTGTCTGCAGCGGGCCCCATTTGAACTCAAGTAGAGCTATTGATGTCATTGGGAGTCCGGACGAAACAGGATTCCCAGTCACATGGAGCCTTATTCTTACCTTCAGGTAGAAGACCTGGCAGGCCCCTCTTGCTAAACATGGGGACACTGGGGCAGCACTGAAGTGTACAGCCCTGTTCCCTTTACCCATGCCCATATATCCCAGCCTTCCCCAACCTGGTGCCCTTCATGTTTTGGAATACTGCTGCCAGCATTCTTGACCATTGGCCATGCTGGCAAGGGCTGATGGAAATTGAGTTCACAACATCTGGAGGACACCAGGCTGCAGGAGGCTGATGTACTATCATTTGCCCTAACAAATGAACAGCACAATTTCTGCTGCTCTAACTACAAGAGTGCAACCTGTAGTGAAACTTGAGATACTCATCAGTAGGGAATTTTTGCTCCTTTTGAAAGCTTTTTCTGAAGAACAACATAACAGTTTGGTTTTTCCCACAGTGGTACTTCAGCATGCGAGCCTCTGTTAATAAGCAGTTGGTCCTGTTCTGTAGCCCTAAAGGATGAGCATGTTGACTACAGCCCATAGTAAGGGCAACTTGTCATCTTACTGGACTCAAAAACTTGAAAAGAACAGGCACTTTCCCCTTGCTGGGGCTTGGCAGCCTGATTTCCACCCAGCTATTTGTTCCCTGTTTGAACTGCTGTGGTCCATGCTGTGGCCTTTGGAAACTGGGCAGACTGGTAAGTCCAGTTGCTGCAGGCCTGTCCAAAATCGGTTCTAAACCATGACATTCTTCTGTCTCCTTCTGAAACATAGAAGTGTCTTTGTTACCTCTCCTTGGAACTGCAAGCTGAAATGACATGATACAGTCCTTCCCCACCTACACTGCTTTAGACAGCTGTTTGGGGATCACATCGTTGCTTCCCAGTGTAAAAATTAGAAAACACTGAAAAGGAGAAGAGAGGTTTAAGGAAATTACCATGTTGTCAGAGTGCCCCTCTCCGTCACTTGAGAGCTTTCCACATGCAGAATTTTAAGAAACATGATGAGGCCTGCCCTCTCGCTTGCAGTCTGAACTTGGGCTATCACAGAAGGAAAGGTACCAAATCTGTCTTTTCTGCATATTTCAGCTGGTGTTTGCATGGCAGGAAGTTTGAACAGTATGAAAAATGAAAAGATGCAGCATGACCCTTTCAACAAGGTCACCATAGAAGAGCCCCATCATTTGACAGGGAAGGGGCCACAGCCATTCCGCGAGCATCATAAAACCAGCTCCTTGGAAATTTCTCCTCCTCTGAGCCTTAGGCAGAACTGCAGTAGCACTTCTAAAGGTAAGAAGGGGGGAGCCATAATGAAATTAGAAACTAGTGAGGCTGATGTGCTTAGTAATGAAATTAGTTAAAACAGTGTGATTTTGTTAGCTCTCTCAGATGATGTTATGATTTCTGCTGTTTGCTAATGAAAAGTAAGAAGATAGCATCCCAAAAAATAAAGTGGATATTTAGCTGTACTCTCATGTCTTAGTGAAAATAATCCCTCAGATGCATAGCTTGATTCACTCAGTGACCATTCTGCTTTAAACATGACACTCAATTCCAGATACTTAACCTAAAATCAGTGGACTATATGGATTTTATCTGTGATTTAGTTATCAGAGCTTTGTTACACTAAAATCAGTGCTATCAGAGAGCCAGTATCACATAAGCTTAGTGTGTTGGGCTGGGACTCAGTGATCCAGGTTCTAGTCCGCACTTGGCCATCAAGCCCATGGGGTGATTTTGGTTCAATCACAGACTCTCTAACCTCCCTCATGGGGTTGTTATGAGTATCAGGTGGAGATGAGGAAGATCATGTGAACCGTCTTGTGATCCTTGTAGGAAAAAAGACTAGATATTAACATAATACAATAGCTGCTTATATAATTGCCTTTCTTGCTTCATTCTTTTAGAGTACTCCCATAAGCAGGCCCTTTGTGCAGGCCAAATAATGGAAGATAATTTTCAGGCAGTATACAATGCCACAACAGATGTGATTAACCAGCTCCACAAAGCCCTTGAGTCCTGCCCCACAGAGAAGACAGTGGTTCAGGATCCACCTGGGTTGAAGGTGAGCTGAATCAAAACCCATCCTGCAGCATGGTTTCTTTATCATCTGGCCTTTTGCTCACTTCACATGAGCTAAGAAGTCTGTCAATCAGAGTGCCTTTAAACGCTGAATGATGTTTGCAAGCAGGAAGTGGTGTGGTGGGAAGGGCTGGAATAGTTCGTCTGCAATCTTCTGGATTTAGCAAATAAAAAATAAAAGGTGCTTTTTCAGCTCTAAAATATTTTGTCACATCTTCACATTAGAGAAGACTAATCTACAATGCAGCATCTGATTTGCACTCTCTGCAACTCCTATTCATTTTAGTAGGTTAGCTCAGGAGAAATTCCCAATGGGCTGTCTCAGGAGTCTTGAATCTCAGGTCTCAGGTGAAATTTCCAGCTATTCCTCAGGTGGCCATGCTGTTTTCCAGCAACATCCTCTTTACCCTGTTTCCCTTTTTCCCTTGTATTGTGCTTATATTTTTCTTTTCTAAAAGTTTGAAAAGTCCTGAAGGCTTAGTTAGTGGCCATGCGTGTCAAGATTAACTGTGCTGGTGGTGTTGGTATTTTGGCCTGCCCCTTTTGCTCTGTGTGCTGCTGGACTGCAGCCCCAAAAGCTTCCCTGAAACTCGCTTGGCCTTCTGGCTGAAAGATGGTCTACATCCCTGGCTTTACCCTTTATAAAATGGGGTGCCTGGTGTTACTGAAAATTGTCTAAGAGCCATAGAAGCAAAGGCCCTGAGATTACTTGAAGCGAAGGCAGAAAATCTTTCCCAATCAACTCTCCAATTGGCTCTCTCTGTATGAGCAAATTTGAGTGCAACTGTCTATTTCCATATTAGGACTGTCCATTCCTAAAAGACAAGGCATAGACAGCTGCAATTCAATTGAGAATAGATTCATTTAGGTGCACTTTCAAGCAAACAAGCAATTTATCGCACGCAGGCTGACTGGATTACCCCAGTTCTAATGATCTGGGAACATCCAGCACAACATCATTGTTGAAGCAAATCTGACCAGTGCCTGGATGGGAAACTAGAGGTATACCTGTCAGTGGTTCCAGGCTCTCCTGGATGTATCACAGGGCCTCCTGGCAGCAAGCAGGAAAAAGGCATTTCCTTCTGTGACACCTCCAGAGATAAAATATTCCCCAGCATTGATGCAGTTCAGGTGTATGTAAAAGGCTTATTTACCTGGATGCTTGATCATGTGTGATGAAAGTTGTTCAGAGTCATCGCCTCCATTTTTAATGGCTTTAGTTGTATTGCACATTTCAGTACTACGTTACAGTATATTTCTGTATAGTGCCTGAATATAATATCACCCATAGCGTAAAGATTGTTTACACACATGCATAAAGATTGTTTATACATTACGTTTATGAATCAATGCAATGACATACTGAGCCAAACTAGGCTTTACTGAGACCAGAATGTGCAAGTAAATGTGGTTTGCTGCAAATAGCAGTTAGGTATCTGAAGGATGCATGCCTGTCCTGCTTACCCTGTAGACTTTGTGTAATTGTTCTTCAGACTAGATACACGTAATAAAATTAATTCCACACCTTGTGGCTGACTTTCTTAGGTGTCTCTGCTGCCACATCAGAAGCAGGCCCTTGCATGGCTGCTGTGGAGGGAGAGTCAGAAACCATGTGGAGGAATTCTGGGTAAGGAATTTTTAGGCAATATGAGACTCGTGTGTGTGTGTGTGTGTGTTTAAAGCAATTGTAATGAAAATAGTTTTTTGTGTAGTGTTCAGGTGAGAGAATAGTTCACAGTATCACTCCGTATTTTTGCTCTATATTGGGCAAAAACATGATATTAATCCTGAGAAGTGATCTTGGATTCAGTGCTCTAGCTGGACACTGCACCATGAGACTGGTGAGGGGGCTGCGGAACTGCTGGGGAAGGGGACGACCGCACTTTCAGATCTGTTGCAAGCTGCATCCTGATCTGCCTTTCTAGCAAGCTTAGCCATCTCTGCTGATCCCATCAGTGCAGAATGGGACCAGCTGGCCTAACCATCCAGCAGCTTCCAGAGCGCTTAAGCTGCCGCGTGACAGGCTGCCACCAACAGGCTGGCCCAGCAGGGTTGTCCCCAAACGAGGGGGCACCAAAGAGGCTGTGACACTTCAGTCTTCAGGGTGCCACAAAGACAAGGATGCTGCTCAGCTTCTCCCTTACTAGCCCCCTGTTCAGGTGGGCTCTGCAGGATTTCCCGACTGATATGGCTGGCGCTTCTGTCAAAGCCCTGGTTGCACTGAAGAACAAAGAAATGACCCAGGTGGTTGATATGGTCACTCTGTTGTAGAGGTTGTACAGCTCCACAGAATAGCCCAGAGCCGAGAGCAGTGAAACTGCTTAGGAGGTAGCTTGAGTGCAGACTGAGAGTACTCCCAGTGGATGCAATCAACCCCTGGGTGTACTTGGTGGCAATGAGGGTAGCAAAGAAACAGTATCTCACTACCGCTATTCATTTTTCCCTTTGCTGCCCAGCAGAGCTTTTCAGAGTTGTCTGGAGCTTATTGCATACTGGCCCCAAGGACATCTTAGATGTCCATCTGAGGCCTGAACCGACTGAGGCCTGTTGAAGTGTATTCACTGCACACTTCCAGGAGAAAGCTCTTGCATGCACTAGGACATGGGCTTCAGAGTCGATACAGGCGAATCTGTGGAGACATCCAGAGTGCAGTCTGTTCCAGCTTCATTGGATGCGTTTCAGTCAGTCCAGCTTGAGCCTGTTGACAAGGTGCTTGGCCAGATTTGTGCAACCACCTCTGGACTGGATCCTTCCCCTTCTTGGCTTATAAAGGCAGCAATGAAGGAATGACCAGCAGGCCAGAGAGGTGATGAATGCCTCCTGGTCAGAGGCACTTGGCAAAATCTTTTATGTGAGAGAGGAAGATAAGATGGAGGGTGTATGTATACGATATTGTCCATCTCCTAATTTTTTCTATGCTTTCTTTTTCTTCCCAGCGGATGATATGGGCTTAGGGAAAACGTTAACCATGATTTCTCTTATCCTGGTCCAGAAGCCTATACAGAAAGAGAAGAAACAAGATATTTGGATGTCAAGAAAAGGTATAGAGTGGACAAGCTCCTGGCTAGTTTATAGCCACTGTCTATTGCCTTTTTATGCCATCCAATACAAGTGGATTTTCTTTCACTGGTTGTGTTGAAAGGAAATGTGATGGGCAAGGAAGTTGCCTACAGTACTGTCATCTTTTTATGTTTGTTTTTGGTTAACTGAGGCATTACTGTGAATTGTCATTTTGTATATTATCTATTAATAACGAAGTGCAAGTGAGGTTCCTTAAATGGCCAGAGCAGCACTGTCCCAGCATACAAAGAAGGTATTGGTGGGTGTATTCTGAGATTTGCAGAAGTACCAAAAAACAAAACCTTGCAACGAACCCTAAAAGGGGGAAATACCGAAACAGGCTAAGGAGGACTGGGCATTCCCAGTGGGGTATGAAATGGTGAGTCACTCCTGCGGAATGAACATGGGAGCGAGGAATGGAAGGGAGTGGCCAGTGGTCTGAACAGACACTGTCCATGCCGCAACACTGTGTTGCAAGTGCCAGTTATACTTTATAAACAAGCACATTACCAACCTTTCATGACAAAAGAATCTCACAATGTGTACAGTACCAATAAAACTCTATATGGGAGAGTATATACACTTTAAAGCACAGCAGCACAAACTTAATGAAATCCTTGCTGCAGAAAGCTTAGAAGTCTTTGAGTAGAGTGTGAATTCTATAGTCAGTCTGCCTGTGGTGAGAATGCCCTCTAAGGTTGCTACATATATCACATCGCTGGTAAATACAGCACCATCAAGATATCCTCACTAAATCTTAATGTCCAAGCAGGTACATAAGGGAGGAGGGGCTCCATCAGGTATCCAGGCCCTAAGCAGTGTCAACACAAGCACCTTGAATCAGCTCTGCAGCATAATGGTAGCCAATGAACTGGTGTAATATGTTGCCCGTGTGTTTTCCCACTTAGCAGCCTAGCCATGGTACCTTGCCCTAGCTGTAGCTCCCAGGCCACCCTCAAAGGTAGCTCCACATAAAGTGTTTTGCAACAAGCTGATCTTGCACTTGTATTCACCTGCTCACATTTGCATTTAAAGATTCCCCTGTTATCCTTTCTGATGCTACTCTGATTGTCTGCCCTGCATCTCTCATCCATCACTGGGAAAAGGAGGTTGAAAGACATGTGGCAACAGGCAAGCTGAAAGTCTGTCTTTATCATGGACCCAACCGAATTAAGAATACTACAGTGTAAGTACAAAAACTGAAAACAGCACATCCAGAGCAAGTTAAGGAAATTCTTGACTGGCACTTAGGTGTAAACAATTACTAGGATACTAAAGGAGAGGTACAGAAAGCTGATGCAGTACACACATTTAATAGTCAAGTTGGAGATTTAAGTCTGCAGTTCACATCACACCCTGTCTATCACTTCTGAAGTTATCCCTACTTTTATTTGTGATATGGTGAAAATTCTAGTCCTACCTTACAGGACAGTTATAAGAATTACTCAGTATGAATAGATGATACTGTCTTGTCGTCCCACATAATGCCCTTGGAAAATTATGAAATGTCCTAGCCTATATTTGTTACATGGATATATCTGTTGTCTGCTCCTATCTTCCTTGTTGCTGTTGGCAACTGCTGCACATCTTTATGAAGCTGATGAAAGCTAAGATGATTCTGCTGATCGGATTTGGAGTCAAGATACAGCTGCTGTGCTGATTCCCCATCCCATTCTCCATCTCCCGGGAGCAGAGAGGGAAGGTTGAATGTCTGGGTGGAAACGGGCATGCATTTTACAGAAGTGAATACTGCCATTTGTCACTTCCTTTCTGTTCCTTTTAAGAAAATTCAGTGCTGGCTTTTTCAGAGGCTGGAATCCAGTAAATATACCTCTTTCGATCTGCCCCAATGGAACATATATGTTGGTGGAAACGTTCCACTTTAGTTGGCCCTTTGGAAAGCAGTCGCAATGATTCCACACCAAGATTTTTAAAAAAAAACCTGAAGTGGTAGTTTTGAGATAGCATTTGGTTTATCAGCTTGCTCTCCTCTTTGCAGCCTTGCTGACTATGACGTAGTTGTCACTACATACAGTATTTTAGCCAAGGAAATTCCTACACAGAAAGAAGATGCAGACATGGCTGCCAAAGAACACACAGAAGAGGTAATGGAAATGTGTAGACCTGCTTTCAGAACCGTGGATATAAAGACTGTATTTGCCTTCTAAGACACTGTGTGTGTGTGTGTGTGAGTGAGTGAGTGTGAGAGAGAGAGAGAGTGTGTGTGTGTGAGAGAGAGAGAGAGAGAGTGTGTGTGTGAGGGTCAGAGTGGCCTTTGCCAAGGTTGCTACAAGGACATCAAAGACAGAAGCTTGTCACACTGTGCCAGTTTTGACTTGGCATTTCATTACAATTGTAGTGCACAATGGCTTGAAAGTGGATTTAAGTGTGTGCAACTTCTCTGTGCCACCTTCCCAAGGCAGATTCCAGGCCCCTGGAAATGCTGCACAGATGGTCAAGTGACCTTGTCGGGGACTTCCAAAAATGGGAAGGAGAAGCCTTCCACAAGCAGAGCACTTCCATCCTGCATCTAACCCTATGCCCTGTTTAGCCCCGTGTGGCAGTATAAAGTGTCAGGGTAGCCTTAACTCTGTATTGCTGCCTTTCCCAATTTGGTGCTGTCTAGGTGTACTGAACTACAACTCCCAGCAGTCCCCATTAGTCCAAGGCATTTGAAGGGTACCAAGTTGAGGAAAGCTGCTGTATTGTGATACAAAACAGTATGGAATGTTTTCTATTCATTAATTACATACATTTGTAATTCTTAAATATCATGCCTATAGAAATGACAAGTTAATGTTGTGATTATGCGGTTTTTATATTGGATTTGTTTGCTTGTTTATTTTTAACTGGTGTACACCACCTAGGAACTCTTATAGGCTCTCTTAAGAATAGCTAAAACAATTTTAAATGCTGCAGCAGCAGCAGCAGCAATGTCCTCTTCCTATTTAACTTCATGGATTTTAATGCAGCAAGAGAAACATTATATTTGTATTTCTCATAGGATGTTTGAAGAATCTGATACAAACTGACCTGTTCTGCACCTTCTGGACTAATATGGTGTGGTTAAGCGTGTGGGACTAGGACTCCAGATATCTGGGTTCTAGTTATTATTAAGCCATGGTGCTACCTGGGTAACCTTGGGACAGTCACAGACTCTAAGCCCAGCCTACGTCACAGGGTTGTTGTTGTGAGGATAAGATTGAGAATAGGAGGACAACTATGTAAGCCGCCTTAAATTCCTAAAAAGGAAAAAGGCAGGCTATAAATAAATTAATAGACGAAGAGAGAGCTTGTGGACCAGAACCTAACTATTCCTTGGCTTGTATGCTTGTACGAATGTTTAGACACAGTTCTTTGCTCACAAGATTATCCAATAAGTTCAGAAATGTTTATTTTGAGAGAGTACATGTTTAGAAATCTGTTTTAAGAGTGTGTGTGTGTATATATTAATTGCATATTTGAGCAGGCTAAAGGACCCCCCCCCAGTATATTCATGTAGAAATTGGACACATTGGACATACAAGTGAATGCATGTGAAAGTGCCACTGAATGAATATCCCTGATTTCATATGATCAGGTCAACAGTCAGAAGGCAGACAGAGATCTCCAAAAATTAATTGCTTATTTTTGCAACAAAGAAAATAAGTCAGGTGGGAGAAAATTTTAGGGACATTCTTCAATTAATGCCTTGTTTCATACTGATTCCCTTCCCTGTTGAACTTCCAAATGCTGGATGTGTTTGCACCTTATCCCTTCCCCGAATCAAAAAGAGCAGTCACATATGTATGTTAGCTGTGTGTATCTGTGCTCTCCAGTTCTGTTAATTCCTTTTGCACTAGCTGTTGTATGACTGCATAGCTGGGGAGAATTTGGCTCCCCAGAACAGACAGAAAGAATTTCAGTCTCCCTAAAGTTGGAATGTGAAATATGTGTTCTTTGTTCTTTTATCTTTTTAACAGAATGCAAGAACTCATTCTGAGGGATGGTTTTTTCCACTTTCCTGACTAAATAAAAGTCAATTTGTAGCTGTATGTGTACTATATGTCAGGCATCTTTAATTAAGATTCTAAATGCTAAATCTACCTTCTATCACAGGATAAATCATTTCCCTTCTCTCCCTTGCGTTGGATACATTGGACCCGAATTATACTGGATGAAGCCCACAACATCAAAAATCCCAAAGTGCAGACTTCATTAGCAGCTTGTAAACTAAGAGCTACAGCAAGGTGGGCTGTCACCGGCACACCCATCCAGAACAACCTCTTAGATATGTATTCTCTGCTAAGGTAAGTCAATTTCATGGGGGAACACGCAAGAGCGTACACAGATTTTGTTAAGCTTGATTTGCAAGTATCTTTCTTTTTTTCTTTTTTAATTTTTAAAAATTTTCTTAACATATACAGATACATAGAAGAAAATGTAGAATAGGAAAAAAAGCTAATATAAACAGAACAAAGTAAAATAAACAAAGTGAGCAAAGTTGCCAAAGGAATTTTAAATAACCCTTTTATTCTTTAATCCACCCAGCCTTGGAATGTGGCCTCTTCCACAAAATAGATTCCACACTCAGGTTAAAAGAATTTTTGCACCCCTGCCCTACAGGAAAAGCAAATTTCTTTTAGCCTGGTGTCCATTGCCAACATTTGTGGAAAAAAGATGTTGTTCCAACATTTGTGGAAAAAACATATGCACCTATATACACATAGGTGTATATGTGTATACACCTAATATAGTGTATACACATATACAAAATAGGATTTAACTGGTAATAATTGCTTGACTGAATTAGATAGAAAATAATTTGTCCTAGGAAACGTGGTGGTGGTCTTCATTTGTCACTGCTTTCTTCCTCTTCCTGTGTTTTGTCCACATAGGTTCCTTCAGTGCAATCCTTTTGATCAGTTTAAGGTGTGGAAGAGTCAGGTGGATAACAACACAAGAAAAGGGGGAGAGAGGTTGGCCATTTTAACCAGGAGTCTCTTACTGCGAAGAATGAAGAACCAGCTGGACTCATCTGGAAAGCCCCTCGTAATGACTGGCTCTTTTCTTTGTCTTCTGGGTAGAAAAAGAAACTCCGTTGTTCCTTTTCATTCATGGATGGTTATGTCTGATCTATACATGCACACAAAAGAAGTGGGAAAGTCTCACAGCTGTAGAACAGACTGCAGGTGGAAAAAAGATGGAACATCTTTTGATGTTCTCTTGTGCAGTGTAAGGTCTGTAATTTGTTAAAAGAACAAATGAACAGCTACAGCTGGGAGTTGGGGTGAGAGAGAGCCTTTCTTCTTGATGTGCTATAGTTTTTTACATACAGGAACGTACCTTTAGAAATGAGAGAGCACTAAAAATGCCACTTTCTCTTTGTGGTCTAAATTGGCACAGTTTGCTCTCCCCATGTCTTTTGCTGTATATATATGCCAGGTCTTATTTATTTCAGTCTGAAAAATGGAGAGGTTGCTTAAAGTAAGGAAAAAATGGGAAAACTCTAACATTGGATACAAAATGTGAGCACTGCCACTTTTGATTTGTAATCTATTTCTTAAGAGAGACATCTAATCTTCTATGCACAAAACTGGTTTGTTTCATGCATAGACATACTAAGGGAGGGCATTCTAAACCCTGGGATTCTAAATATCAAAGAGAAGTTGCTGATTTGATCTTAACTAAGGTTGAGTCTGAAAGTTCAATTTGATGTTGGCCTTTAGGATCCCTAGAATCTTAGACCAGATCCTCCAGATGTTGAACTACAGCTCCCATCAGCCCTTGCTAATAGTGGGAGCTGATGTGAATTTCAGTCTTAAAGCATTTGGAGGGCCACGTTTTCCCAATTTCTGTTCTTGGCATTATTCCAGTAGTTCATTCACAAATCCAAAGCAGCATGAGAAGTGCCAATTATCCATCTGCAGAGTTTCCCCAGATGAAGAAGCTCTGGCTGTGGGAGCAGAAAGTGCCACCAGGCGCCTTCACAGGAGATGCACCCCTCCCATTGATTTTGACCAGCTGTATTATAGCCAGTTGTGAAGACAAACTTTCCTTCTGGTTCTTCTGTCCAGGTATTGCTGCCTCAGCGTCTCACTCGACTGCACACTTTAAAACTGTCACAAGATGAACGGTCGGTGTATGATGTGCTATTCACAAGGTCACGGTATGTTTGTGAAAACATGAAAAATAAATTCATTTCGGTGGTTGCCCCTGAGTTAGCATTCTTTAATGTTTCGTTCTTTGGCATAGCCTTTAAAGACTGGAATTACAAGACTTTCTGCATCCTTCCTGATACAAACATGTTCTCTTACTATCCCTTTCCCTCAAATACTAACAATTCACCTCTCTGTGTGGTGGAAGCTGCCATCTTGGTGAGTACACCAGCTTTGGTAAATCATATTTTTCTAGGACCTTGTATTCAATTGCTGTGCCTTTTGCTTTCTCAGGGTACTACATCCAATAGTTCCTTGATAGCTTAAATGATGGGGTTTGAGTTTGAGGAATAGGTGGTTTGGTTGGTGCATCTCCCATGCTACCATTATCATTCTAGTAATGGAAACAGAAAGGTTTGGCCTAATTTCAAAAGCACTCTGTAAGCGAAGACTTCAGACTTCTGGCAAAAGTGATTGATCCCTGCTGGGTGCAGAGGAAGAAGGTATGTGTGAGACAGAGACAGAAACAGAAGTGGTGGTTGTAGTAGGAATAGATAAAAGGGAATAAAACCACTCAGCATTGACCCTTGGCCTGCCCATTGCCAGCATTCTGCCTGAGACAGACTGCTACCAAGAGGGAAAAAAGTATTCCCCAGTTAGACATGCTTAACTGGCTTCTGCTTGTCTGAAATGTTTTCATCTGCTATCCATGTTTTTCTCCCTTCAAAAATTGGATGGGTGAATAGGCAGATAATTGCTGTATTTCTTTGGTGTCATTTTCAAGCCAGACTTTGACCAAGTCTAAATTGCTTTCCTGCACTGAAGAAATCCCTGTATAGTTTAAGCCATTTTCGCTTGCTGCATAAGGAAGGGTGTTATCCTTTCTCTGGGTGGAACTAGACCTTTCTCATTAGAATAATAGTCTCCTTGTAGTTGCTTTGGTGGTCATTGGTTTATTTTAGTGATTATTTTGGGATCAGTCTCTTTTATAAACTGTATTCAATTTCTGCAGCTCTCTTCTGGTTAGGGTTTGGATTACATTCTGGTGGGATGATGAGGCCCAATCCTTTTCCCCTTGCTGAAACTGTCCCCAGCAATCTAGCAAAATGACTGAATGTTCTTTCTTGTCTTCACTGTGCTTACTTGTCCTCCACCAGGTCAACACTACAGTCCTACCTGAAGCGGCAGGAAGCCCAGCATACTGCAGATTCTGGGAAGAATCCATTTGACAAAAGTAAGACTTCAACTTGCCCTCCTTCTCCCTGTAGAAACATATTGAGAGGAATCTGATGAAAATGGCCACAACCCCAGAGCTGAACATCCCCCAGGCTGTTGCTGTGCTTGCTCTCTGGTGGTTTCAACCATACTGCTAGTTGTTACCTACATTGAGGAGCTGTAGGGTTGCCTTCTTTTTGGTCACCAGGTTGAGGAAGACTCTCTGGACTTTCTGATTGTTCTTAAATCAATCAGTGACTGGCTGCTGTTGATTCTGACATGTACACTATTCTGTGTCTCTATAGGAATGCAGCAGTTTACACCTGGCCAACTGAACTCCTTCGAAAAGACTGCCAAAGATCCCCCTCCCACCTCTACAACCATTCACATCTTGTCCTTGTTGCTGAGACTCCGTCAGTGCTGCTGCCATCTTTCCTTACTAAAAGTGGTAACTAGGCAACATTTGCATACAAGCACTGACCACTCCCTCTGAGTAGTGTGTCCAGGTTCAATAGTTACTAGGCCTCAACTAGACTGATTATTTTCATTGCAGGCTCTTGAACAGGCTAACCTTAACAGCGAAGGCATCTCTCTCACACTGGAGGAGCAGCTCTGTGCCTTAACCTTGTCTGAATCTGATAGCAGTGATCCTCAGTCTGTGGTGTACCTCTTCGGTACAGCTTTCAGTACGGATCTCTTCGAAACTACCAGACAGAGCACCAAGGTAAGAAGGCTTTGGCAGCCCTTTCTAGGAAAGTCTGGTGATGGGACTGGTTTTTTTTCCTCTTTTTAATTTTAGTTTTAGAACCTAAATTCAGGTTCATTTACTTAGCTGATTTAAGTTACCTTTTAACAAGTACAGTAAAACCCCTTGACCCGGTTCAATAATCACAGTGACAAATCATGAATTACAAGTTATCTCACTCATGGTTTGAGAGGACTCAGCTCTGTGTATGCTGTTTCCACTTTCTGTAAACAACCTCCAGTTGGCATGATTGGCAGATGTGTGCTTGATTTATAGACCCATACCACTGGCTAAACAAAACTCATGAATAACCCATAGCTTCTTGTTGGGTTAACCCCTGGGTTGTTCAGTCCCTGAACAACCTATAATCCAGGTCCTCATATCAAACTCACAAGCTAAAGTAATAATTCTGTATTTAAGACTATAGTTCTTTGTGCAGTTATTCAGAACATCTGCACAATTCCCCAGCCCATCTTAGATTTGGTCAGACATTATCCTGCCTAAAATCTGTATGACAAAAGTTAGGTAGACCTCGTGTCTCTCATAATGACAAGAGAGAGCCTAAGGCTGGTTGCAGTATAGGGAGAGGGGGCAGAAGGGCCTGCTCCATTCTGCCAAGGAACCAACCAGCTCTGTTTGACTGCTCCAGTCCCTGATGTTCTCCTCTCCCAGTTCTTACTGTTACCTAATGGATCTTATAATGGCCACTCAAGTGACCATTTGAAGAACAATTATGTCATATTAAGAACTGGTGCCTGAGTTTGCTTGTGTTCCTCTTCCCTCTTGCTCCTTCCTGTCTTCTGTGTCTTTTTAGGTTGTGAGCCTGGGGGTGGGATTGATCCTATTGTTGTTGATCTTATGCAAGCTGCAGTAGAGCAGGGTAAAAATGAATTGCATAAGTAACATTCCAGTTATAGGCAGCTTTTTCTGAAAATAAGTCATTTAACCTTTTGGGACTCTTTTTCTAGGGGAAGGGATGCTTGGGATTGGGCTGTAAGTGCTGTTTCCCCCATGCTTTTAGCTGTCACATCTTTTGGAAGAACTGAAGGTGATCCACAGTCATTCCCAGAAAAGGTAAGTATGGGCATGCGTCTGAGGGGGAGTTGTGGATTTGCAATGCTATCTAATACAGCAGCATAGCACATGGTTGGAGGGACTTGCAAAAATGGTCTCTTCTGCAGTAAAAGACTAGGTCAGTATCTGGAAAGGAGGCTATACAGGGACACCATATATAATGATGTGAATACTTTGGAGGAAGACTGAAATACAAAGTTTCCATAAGATGGTGCAGTACCAGAACACTGGAATCCCAACCTGGAGATTCCAAGGAACAGTGGAATACAGGTTTATCCATACAGAAAATAGAAGTGAGAAGAATAAAGGTTGTGGCTTGTGTTTGTGTCTTCATTGCTTGAATACTTAAGGACAGAGGAAAAGCCATGGCTAAAAATATGAAAATATGTAGTACTGTTTGAGAAGAGCCATGTCCAGTCACTTAATATACAGAAGTATATTTGCCTTAAGATTTTTCTGTATTGTAATCTAGTCATTTTAGAAGACTACCACAAGTCGGCCTTCTAAAATGTAGTGGTGGGTGGGGGTTAAGGCTGGGTAACTAGTCACCACCCTTCAGCCCCTGGTGAATTTGTAGCTGAGGTGAGATTTGTACTGCTTGGCCTGTCATTCCAGTGTCATTGTGTCTCAATGGACAAGTATGTTGAAGGTTGTGGCAAAACACCTTGAGAGGCTTGGCCTGAGATATGCCACCGTGGATGGTTCTGTGAATCCTAAACAGAGGATGGATGTAGTTGAGGCATTCAACAGTACTACTAGAGGACCTGAGGTATGGAAATGTCCAATGAAAAAGTTTTCTAGCTGTTGTCAGTAACTACTAGCACTATGCCAGATCCTTAATTGCTATTAGGCCACTCATAATATGGCTTGATAAACTTGTCTGAGTCCAAAACACTATGAATTGTAATCAGGGAGTGAGAAAAGCCGGATTTCAGAACATCTAGCTTTCATAATTTGGCAAAGACAGATAGGCAGCCTTTTTGACTCCGTGAGCACATTTAGTCATTTATAAAACTGTCCTGGACACACCAAAGAATGGTTGCCTTTGAAGTGGTTTACCAGAGAGAAGTGAGAGAAACCCCTTCTTTTCCTATTTCTTTGCAACTGAACACTCCAATGGGACACATTGGCCTGCAGCCAATTCATTTCTTAAGAATGCCTCAGCGCTCACATGTGGCCCAAAGGGAAATGAAGGTGGCAGGAAAGGCCTGCTCTTCGCTGTGAAATGGTCTTAGCGGCCACCAATTAATTGTCTTTAAAAAAAAAAATCTGTACTCGAATATTATCCACTGTGGACACTTTAACTATCCTCTCTCTATGTGAGAGAACTGTCTGATTTTATCCCAGAGTAACTCAATTCAAAGGTTTCATGCACTCAAAGGTTCCATGCACTCAAAAAAATCTGAACCAAATTTAGATTCTAATGCCATGAGCTTAGTGGGTTAGAATTGCCAGAAGAAATAGTTTTGAACTGCAAATAAAGAAAAGGAGAGAGATAAAACTAGGGTTGATCCTGATCCTGGTCATGACTTTGTAAATACCAGTTAAGTGTTCAAGAGATCTCTCTTTTTTTAAAACAAAACCAATTAAAACCCTATGTTTCTAGCTGCTATAATTCAAAAGAATATAAATTGTGCAGGCAATATAAGATGGAAATAACAGACACTGAAGTTGGTGGCCAATCATATTTATCAGGGGTAGAGGCCAGAGCTTTGGTGTTCTGCATAGTCCTTTTGACTGCCCTGACCTGCTAATGACCAGTAAAGCAGCAAATTATGTAAAGGCAACATATCCACATCTCATTTAAATAGGTAATGAATATCAAGGTTTCCCCTGACTGATGATGTGCAAAGGAGGGAGAGTGTCTGTACCTTGATAGCGCAATCCTATGCATGTTCATGCAGAAATCTCACTGAGTTGGGTGGGGTGTAACTCCCAACTAAGTGTGGATAGGGTTGCAGCTGTAGTAGCTGGATACAGTGACGATGCCTCAGCTTGACAGCCTGTTCCTGTTCAGATGTCTTAACTGTTAAAGGCATAAGGAGTCCTGTCCTTTTGTGTGTGATCATCTGAAATGGGATGTAAAGTCGCTGTCTTGATGAATGCCTTTGGGCAGAGGCCAAGGGACTATGGGAGTTGACTTCTTTGTGTGTGAAATCGATCATACTCCTATATGGAAGGGTGTCTCATCCTTGGAGGGTGTGTTTTGGAAGTACCCTGAAAATAACTAAGAATCTCATTGTATGTGCTTCCTCTTACACCATTTCTTCTAGGTTTAGTTTATCAGGGCCTTGTGATGCTTTTGCCTGTATTCCTACATTGAGCAGGGAGTTGGATCCAATGGCCTTATTAGCTCTACAACTCTGCTGTTCCATGATTTGATGAAACAAAGCCTTTCTCTTGTTTCCTTCTCACAGGTGATGCTGATCTCACTCCTGGCTGGAGGTGTGGGCCTTAATCTGGTAGGAGGAAACCATCTCTTCCTCCTTGACATGCATTGGTAAAAATGTGATAACTTTTACATCGATGTTTCTATCCATATCAGAGTCATTTTTTCAGTTGCAAGAATCAGATGTCTTGATTAAAGGATCTGTTCCTGAATTAGTATGTCCAAATTATATAGTTGGCTCTTAACAAATATTGCGATTTAAAATATGTCTGCTAACCCTAACCCTCTCCTAGATTAGTACTTTGCTTAGGTGGATAAACTGGTGCTTGGGAGCACAATAGGACTTCCAAGGCAGAGATGGGTTTAACCAGGGGTGAAGAACAGATATCAGCTCAAAATCAAAAGTAGAGAGGCTCTTGGATGCAAATTCCAGTGGTTGGTGGAAGCAAAGGGAAAGGGGCAGAGCCAAAAATACTAATAAGGGCCAACAAATTGTAGCCTAAAGCACTTGCAGCCAGTAAAAAAGCCTGAGAAGAGGCATTTGAACTTTTAAAATAGTGGAAGGGGGATGCACAAAAGCAAGGAAGCCACCCCACAATTGTGGAAAGAGATCTGTCCATCTGTGGAATTCCAGAGGGATGGATTGTGAAGCTCCAGGAGCTATGGATAAATAGCCCCCCCCACCCCCTGGCCTGGGGCTCCCACCCAATTTAAATCCGTAGGGGACTTCTGCAGCCTGCAACTTGGCAATTCTATGCATTGAACTAAATACGTGGACTTAAAGTATCTTCTCTTAGCTCAATTCAAAACAATTAAAAAGAGCAGAATGCTAAAGCAGTTTTCTTACATTCTAGGAATCCAGCCCTGGAAGACCAAGCCTGTGACCGCATTTATCGTGTGGGGCAGCAAAACAATGTCACAATCCACAGGTCAAGTTTTGCTAAATGTCTTGTCTCAAATTCTAAGCCTTGTGATATCACTGTAAATATTGGACTGAAGGGGGCTGAAGATGTGCTTGTGAAATTCTTCCAGCATTTCCAACATCACTGCCTGTGGTGCTTTAAAAATGACTGCAGCTAGTTTTGCTGAAATATTCTTAAGAGCTTGAAGATGTGCAAAAACTGTACTGAACATCTGTGTGCTTGGTTTTAGGTTTGTTTGCGAAGATACAGTAGAGGAAAAGATCTCAGAGCTGCAAACCAAGAAAAAAGAGCTGGCCCAGAAAGTGCTCTCGGGGCAAGGAGACTCTTTCACAAAGCTCACCCTGGCAGACCTCAAGCTCCTTTTTGGCATTTAACTATTGCTCCCACCCAGCACTTCAATGGGCAGATGTCACCCATGTGCCTTTTAAAAATTGGACTCTTGTATATTAGTATCTAGTGGTCAGTGCTGCTGGGCAAGTTGCTTTGCCTTGTTCTTTATTCTCTGTAAAGGGTGAGGAGAAAGGCCTCACCCTACCTGCAATCCAGTGAAGAATGGGGAGAGACAGTGCAATTTAGGAAGATATTCCACTTACATTTGATACTGTATAATTGCTAGCATTGCGGCGGGTTTTGTTTTTCCAACCCAGTGTGTTTCCACCAATCCAATATAATCTGTTCTAAGATAATACTCATGTCTGCATCATATGGCTGTTTTATTTATAATCATATGGCTGATTTATTGTTTGGGATTTTTATCTAAATGAGCATCACTAAATAGGAAACCACCCTGCTGATTTTCAGAATTTTGAACACATAGCTCAAAATGATAGTTAAAAGTTTGAAAGTCAGAGCTTGGGTGTGTTACACCAACAGTATCCTGGACAACAACTATTATTTCCCTTTGCATATAATCATATTGTGCAACATCCTGTGAATAGAAATGCAGAAGAACATACAAGTACATGAGAGAAGATGGGTGCATCCTCCATGCCTTTCCATCATAATGTCTGGGCTTCCTTCTGATACTTGCTGTTGTGTTTTTGAAAATTTTTGAAAAAGCAGCTTCATCTGTACATTTCCAGATGACCAATATTTCCCTATAGCCTGATGATTTATTTTAACTTCCCAATAGATTGCCTTTTTAAAAAAGAAAACTAAGTGTTGTTATTGTGCTTCAGTGATTTCACTATTGTTTTCTAACTTTAGGAATCATTTTGGGGTTTTCTTTTAAATATAAGCAACATAAAAAAAACAAATGGTATAAATAAAATCATTTGAAGCCATGGCAGAAGCTGCAACTTCTTTTGTACTGTGCTTCCAACATTGTCGGTCTCTCTGTAACAATGAAATGCACTTCCTACATACAGTGCGGCTCATGTATTCTTAAGTGGCCTTTTAAATTGCATGGATGGTATAGCCACTCCTTTGGCAGTACTGGCTACTTACCCTATTCACCATGTAGGGTCTGTGGCCCCAACTTCATAGACTGAATGATCCCAAAGGTACCAACCAGAGATAATGGAGCCTGACCTTGGAATAAATATGTTGACTTCCAAAAATGTTTGCTGCATTTCTTACCCAAGTTTGTTTTACAGTATAATCCGCCATGATTGCATTATTGATGTCTCTGTAAATGTGTTTCATTAATTGTGCTGTTTCTGGAAAGGAAGTATTTTATCTATGAAAGAAGCAAGGCAGTTATACTAGCCTTATTTGATCCTCAGAAAGTATTATTTTGGACCATTTTTGTTTCATTTTATGATCAGACCTACAGTGTTCATTTACAGTGTACGAAATAAATAGCCAGATTCTAGTCGTTTATATGATTTTGGGGGCTCCTGAAGCATAGCTGCAGGAAGCATTCTAGTCATACCCTTAAAAACAATCAGCCTTGCAAAATTAAAGATTAGGTCTAGCTTTTCTAAACTACCTAAGTGATGTTATTTGACATTCTCTTCAGTCGTATATAGGAATATATTTCAACAGAAAAATTCTAATGCCAGATGGGTATATTTCAATTATCTTAAAGTAAGCTATTGGTGAGATGTGTGTGCAACAAATAGTAATGATTTGTTAAAAGGCAAGTTGAATAGAATTATCTGTGGGGGGGGGGGTAGATGAAGGTTTTACGTAGTATTTGATGACTAGTATTTAGTTGAGAATATATTTATGTATCTGTCAGGATGGCCGAGCGGTCTAAGGCGCTGCGTTCAGGTCGCAGTCTCCCCTGGAGGCGTGGGTTCGAATCCCACTTCTGACAATCACCTTTTCTTCATTTCCAAAGTACCCCGAAGTATAGATTTCCTTTTGAAAGTTGACTTGGCTTGACTAAAAGAAGGTCCCACGTTAGAAAAAACCTTCAGTTTTGTTTGCATTTTCTTTTTACTTTCACGTAGTGTTTGCAGTCTGGTATGGTGGGGCTCCTGAAAGGGAAGAGAGGAACGCTGCCTCGGGTGCAGCAAGCCCAGCGTCGAACTCAGAAGCTCGAAGGAGGTTCCCACGTGCAGGGACTCGCGTTCCGGGGGCTCCTTTAGGGAGGGCAGCGGAGCAGCGCCCCGAACAGCCTAGGGAAGGCCACCCCAAAGCGTCGAGTCTTACAGAAACAGTTGCTCCTTCGGAGTTTCCCCGACACATTTGTCGGAAACGGTCGGTTGAAGGCTGTTTCGAGCCTCCAATGACCTCTCAGCTCGGAAAGCAGGCCCAGTTGAGCGAATGAGGTGCTGGAAGACCGGAGCGAATTCCTTCCACGTCCCCGCAATGTGCTTGGCTCAGCTGAAATCGTGCTGCGTATATTGCAGGCGATGGTTTATGTGGTACCGTCTTCATTTGCAGCCCAAATGAACTAGCCTCAGCTAAACGCCACCAAGCAAAAAGCACAGCGTAAGTAGCGTAACAGCAGACGGTCTGGCGGTCTCCCTGATTTTCAATCGTGAACTTCAGAAACGAAAACGGATCAAGAAAGCTAACCGAGGCACCGCTGGGATTCGAACCCAGGATCTCCTGTTTACTAGACAGGCGCTTTAACCAGCTAAGCCACGGCGCCCGACGTTGCGTCATCTTTCACTGAAGGCACCCTCTGAAGAATCAATCTACTTTTGTGCCATTTTTTGACTGCTCCTCCCAGAATCAAAACAGTTCTGAGTTACTTTCCAACGGAGTTTTTTATGACTTTACCTTTGAGGTCCATGAAACGTACCAATGGGTGATTCTAGTCGTTTATGAATATCTGATTTTCGGGGCCTCCTGAAGCGTAGCTGTAGCAAAAACAATAACAGTTGGTCATATCGTTAAAAAAATCAGCTTTGTTGCAGAAGTCTAGAGTTCTTTTGATAGTAGAAGTATTCTCTGGAAGCCAAGGATCTGCAAACCTCAACCACTGATGCCTACTCACGGTTACTCCTGAAACAACCCCAGCAAAAAGCGCTGGGCTGGCTGCTGTTTTAATTTTCCGCAATGCCCCAGAAAAGCACTATGCTTGGGGATTATGGGAAATTAAAATAGTGCCTTCTAGACTCACCCTATCAATCGTGTTTACCCAGGAAGCACTGCTTCTGCTGTCTTGCAAGTCCTCCCAGGGCCCACGAATGCAAAAGGTCCTCCTTTCCACGAGGCCTTCAGAACAGTCCCGGAGCTTTGGCTGAAGAGAACAGATACCTTTCTCAAATACTTCCAATTTCTCGCTTTTTGATGCTGCCTTGAACAGTCCGGCTTTTTTTTTTCAGTTGCCAGACTAGTCCTGTAAATTATGTTAAAATACCCTAGTTTCAGTATATTAGCTTATGCTTTCTAATGGCCACTGTCGGTGCTTCTTGGTTTGTATTTTGAACGTGCTCCCACACAAACCCATATCCCTATCTTTAGGGAAAACAATGTCCAGATGAAAGGGGATGAATTTCAACCCAGAATTTTTCCAGCACAGCCTGTGACTGCCATGCCAGGTATCACTTTGATCTTTCTTGAGAAAGAGCTTCTTTAACAAAAGCGTCTGGAAGTGGCAATGCAAAATCCATTCATGCTCGTTTCTTCCCCTTTGCTTTGCTTTGCACCGTTACCGCGTGTGAAAACAACCCCAAGTTTTCTTGCAGTGGGGAAAACAATTTTTTCTTCCTTTTTCTTTTAGTAAATTGGAGACAGTCGAAATTACATGAATACTAGACCTGAAAATATAAATCCCGCTGCAGTATTGATTTTCTGGAAGAGGAAACATCTCAAGCGTGTTTGCAGAAGCGGCCGGTTAGCTCAGTTGGTTAGAGCGTGGTGCTAATAACGCCAAGGTCGCGGGTTCGATCCCCGTACGGGCCAGTTACCGTTTTGATCATTCTATTTTACCTCGTAGGAGCAAAACTTCTCATCAGGATACTTTTTGCTCCTCAATGGGAATTTTTGTTGGGCACTGTAAAGTTGTCCTCATCGCTGTCCCCTAGGATTTCTGCTCTTTCTATATAATTGCGACATGAAGCGTATAATTTTTTTAAAGAATCGTGTCATGTCTCAAATGTTCTACAGGATTTGTTTTAGTGGTGTATATTTTCCATCTCCAAGTTTTGTTAATCGTACCTAAAAGGTTGATTTGATTCCTATATCTATTGAGGATGGGAATCCTACTTTTAAAAAAGTACCGATAAAATGTAATACAACGGTTTTCCTTTTGTTTCAAATTACCCCCAAAACATTGGGTAAAAGTTTGCCGTGACTCGGATTCGAACCGAGGTTGCTGCGGCCACAACGCAGAGTACTAACCACTATACGATCACGGCGCGCCACCGCGGAGCTGCCATTATTTTTCTGCAAATAGCTATATCATAGTCTACTGGGAAAAAAGTAGCACTGCATTAATGTTTATCTCTATATGTGCATTTTTCTGGAGAAAAAACCATCAGCTGGGCAGCCGTTCGGCAAAGTTGTAAAGCTTTCTGGAGCTAAATATAATTGACATGCTAAATAACCTCTTTTTCTGTGCTTCCATGACATTTAGGTTGCTCGCCCCTGGAAGTAACTTTCCACTGAATTAAGTAGAGTTTAATTCTAAGTAGACAAAAATAGGATTGTGCTGCATGTCTTTGTGTTTGTCTGTGCTGAGTTTCTTTGGGAAAATAGAAAACAGAACGGCTTTAAAGGCATAAGGCATGTCCTAATTTCCTTTTAGACAGACAAAAGTTCCACAGTGCTCAGCCAGTTATAGTGGGAGTTGAAGGATTTCTATCTTTCTGCATAGAATTGCCCTCTCAAAGGGACTTTCCTTCTGTGCGTTACTAGAAGCAAAACTGCTCATCTTTCTCATACCCTATAGGTTCACTAAAAAGGCACTGTTCTTGAGTTTTGCTTCAAATTTAAGACAAACCAGGCATATTCATTTCAAAACAGTTTACTAGGGTAACAGTCTAATAATTTACTTACAATATGCAGGAGGCTTGAAGTGTCTCTCCGATCTAGGCCTTGCACTGTGCGGTAAAGCCCCTATGTGTGATGCACAGAGACCACGACCAAGAACAAGCCTGCCATTCTTTTGGTACTAGAAAGAAGAAAGCCTTCTAAGCTGAGGCACTTAAAGACATTATTTACTGATTCAGTGAGGAGGGCACCCAAGTCAGCTGTTCTAAATTTCATTATGTATTAGGTATTGCTTCAGTTGTAATATATTTAAATTTTAAATTTTCTTCTTTGGAGTAATTTTAGGATCTTATTGTATTATGGTCCTGTTTTAAGAATTGTTGTAGATCACCCAGAGAGCTTGAGGTACTGCATTGCATAGAAATAGAACAATAATGGGTTTGGGTGCACTGGCACCTTGATTCCTCCAAAAGAAAAGAGTCAGAGTCTACCTAACCTTCTGTTGTATGTACTGACAACTACTTCCCTCTTCAGGCAAAGAAACTGGATGACACAATTGGGTAAAGTATTTTAAATATTTCTGTGAATGATTTTTACTTCTTCACTCTTCCTTAAGTCAAAGTTGCCATGGAGAACTGCTTCTCACATTGCTTTTCATAATCCCATGATACTCATGGTCCAGATGAGGAACATTACGCCTGGTGCAAACTCGCTCAATGCCTGTAGCAAAAGAACGTGTGCTGCCAAAGAACCCCCATCTTCCCTGCTGCAACCACCTCCTTCCCTGCCACTGCTAACCCAGCCTGGAGCACTGCAGGGTAGGGCAATCGCATTTTCAGTGGTGCTGAGTTCTTGTGAAATCTTGGGACATGGATGAAATATAACAAGTGTGGGCCTTGTGCCAGAAACTCACCCAATTTCTAAAGCCAGGACAGGAAGAGGGCCAGCAGTTGTTCTGAACAGCCCCACCAGCCCCTTTCTCATGGCTTGGTAGGAAAGTGACTGGTTGGATTCTGTAGAGTGCCCAGTGGGAGTGCCGGTGGACTCTCAGGCGAGGGAACAGTAGAATGACTGCCTTTCTAGCTCCATGCATCTGGTCCACCCTGCTTCATGGGTGAGCCAGCCCTGCTCCACATGTTTGTTGGACTGCAACTGCTAGCACAGCCAATGGCGAGGAATATTGAGCTGGAGGTCCACTGTGTACTTGGAGCTGAATTTCCACCATCTCTGGCCATTAGCTGCGATAATTGAGAGCTGTAGTCCAACTTCATCTGGGGACCCAAGATGTCTTGAATCCAGAAGTCTAGAACAAGTCACATCCTTCTAGATTTGAGCCATGACAGTGTGTGAACAAAATGAATCTTTTCCCCATTCCTTGTATGAAAAAGCTAGTGTGGAAGTTATCAGCACTGTGAGCTTGCTCCCCCCTTTCTCCATTGAACTCTCCTGTTTCTTATACAGTTCTGTCATTTGCGAAAACTGAAAGTGAAACCAAGTAAGGTATAGTAGCTCATAATTTGCAAGTCAGAGAAGAGATCTAAGGCTTTAGGCTATAGGTTCAAAAGCAAGGATGGATTTCTTGGGTGTTCTCTCTTCTTCAACTTATTAACAGTCCAAGGATTTTTGACAACATTGTAATATTTAATAGATCAAAAAAGTTATTTTTAAATAACTAAAAATTAATTAGGCCATTTGTTCAAGGTACTGCGACTGAGCACAGTGTTCTTGTCCTGACTGATGGCCATCCTGATTGTGAAGGCGGCAGGAGTTGAGGGCGGGAGACAATAAAGTTTGCAAAAGAAATGTTCAGCATGGTTTCCAGAATATTTATGGTAGCAGGGTCAAATTGCAGCCCCATACATCATTTGTGTAATCACTTTACTAAATAAACTTTTAGGGTAGGTTCAATCAGATGCCCACCTTTGTTGCAATAAAACTTCTTTTAGCTGAAGACATCATTCATTACATGTTAAGCTGTGCTCTATATACTGACCCAGAGAATTTTGAGATCTTTGATATCACATGGATACAGGAATGCCTTGGCAGAAAGTTTTTTTCCCTTTTAAGTGATAGTGACAGCTATGTGACACCCAAAGTTGCTTTGTTTACTTTGGGAGCAAAACAGATCAGGGAGAACTAGACAAAATTGCTATAAACTGCACTGGAGATTTAGTGTTAAAGATTAATTTCTGTTCTTGGCTTAATTAGGCAGGGTTTTTTTTTAAAAAAAGATGTTTTTAGTACAAGAGCATTACCGAAAAGCAAAACAAAACCCTGCAGATGGCAAATACTATCCCCAGAAAAGAGGAAATCTCTCTCTTAACATACAGGAATGTCTTTTCTGGGATGTCTCCTATTATTAAAAATCTTAGATTAAGATTTACACTAGATAAATTGTATTGGTGGAGGTGGACTTTCCCAATCCAGCCTTCTCTCAAAAAACCTGGAGCCCCTAGAAAATATCAATCAAGAAATACTGTTGAATGGGGTTAACTGTGGCATTACAGTACACCCCAATATGAATAGGCACCAATATGGATAGTAGTACCCTTCCTTTTACTAAAGGCAGATTCTGTATTCAACTCAAACAAAATACTTGTTCTAAGTTTTAGCCCATTTGCAAACTACTATTCATAGAAATGATTCAGATAAACTATCTTAAGTTCATTTACAGATCCATCTTTACTTTAAGACCAAACCAGTAAGCTGGGTTTCTGGGGTTAAGGAAAATCAGGAAGAGAAGTATGGCTGCAACTTAAGTAGAAACGATAAACATAAATTTGTATGCCTTGAAAAACCTGAAATTACAAGGGTAATTAATCAAAATGTTTGATATTCAGCAGCTGCAAAGAAAAAACATATTGACAGATGGAAAACAATTCTCATCACTGCCATTTCAACATCTCCCTCTCCAAAAGTATTTGTTCACATTAGAAAATGAGTGTAGAGTGTTCCTTATAAAACGGTCTACAAAAATCTCATATACTCATTATGCTTATATTGCCTTAATATCCAGGGAAGATTGGCTTCTAGTGAAATTATTACTTCTGACTTTTCATACAAACTTGTAATGATTATCAGCAGTGCTTGCTCCCCAAGATCTACAACAGAAATAAATACCACATAGATTTGCTTGTAGTCCAGCTGCTTTATTCACAGTTTTGGTTTTACAGTACAGAACTCAAAGTCCCGCTTTCCCCAGAAATGAATGTCAAAAGTGTTTTAACAACAGCATCATTTTCTGATGGCCCAGAAAAAAGCGTTAGTTTTACCAATTCCTAGGTAGAGATGGAAGGTTGCTCTGAAAAGAATAAAATTGGGGGTTAGGGGAAGAAGCAAGGGAGAAATATACCCTTATCTTTCAAGATAAAGAGATAATATTGAAAACTGAAAATCCCAAGGAAATTGCCAACAAACACAAACAATATTCTTTGAATTTATCAGCATTGTCTTAAAACATTTTTTTGCAAATTAATGCTATTACAAATTTCAGAGATCTAAAAAACAAAAGCTAGTAACATTAGTAATGACATTCCTCTTGAATTTAACTAGAAAACTCAACAGGAGAGTGGTAAATGTAATTTCGAATATTACAAAATGGTTTTTGTAGGTTTTCTGCATAAGGCTGTTACACTGCTTTACCTACTTTCAGTTTCTCTGCAGAACTAAGATCAGATTTTTAGACATAGCTTTTTCTTTTCTGCTTTTCTGTTTCATATCTTCTAGGCAGTGTTCTGTTATGGCAGAATATTGCAATTGTGCAAGTAGAAAATATGTTATTTTTCATCTTAACCAATAATATTCCATTTTCTCTCTCCAATCCCCCCCACCCCAGACTGAAAGATGTCTTAAAAAGCCAAAGTAAAACTGGAGGTCACGCATAAACAAGCACGAGTAAAGAATGACAAGTGTACAATGAATGCCCTGTGTATAAAACGTTTAGGCATATAAACAGATTTATTTATTTATTTGTTTACAGCATTTTTATACCATTCCTATGGTCAAATTACGCTTAGGATGGTTTATATGATGGTTTAATCACTTTAATGTTCTAATCTGGAAAGCTACTAAACATTATACAACACAATCTCTGAATCTATTTACTTCTCTCATGCTCTAGATTGCTGCATCTTCTGTATCGACTGTGAACTGAGAAATGCTTGAAGATACACATAATGAAAGAAGAAACATATAAAAAGTTGAGAAGCTTATCTCAATTCATACAAATCTTCAATTTTCTGAAACCCATAAAGATCAAAGCAAAACATCCTCTGCCTATTTATTCAGAAGTGTCTTAGAGTTCCAACAGTTTACTCTTAAGTGAGTATGCACAGAATTTCACCTTTCCAGTGTATGATTTACTGTTTTTAAAAAACAGTCTAATGAATATCCAAATTTATTGCTATTCTTAACATAATAGAGATGTCTTTTCTCTCTCAAAAATAGAGTTGCCTTAGTTTCTGCATAATATCCAAGTCTGTGTATAGGGGTACTGAAAACCTTGTGCATCCCTAGGTTGATTGTTTAATATCCTAATACCACATCACAGTCAACTTATAGAATTGGAGCCAAGTTTTTTTTAAAAATGCTATGGAAAGCTAGGGCCCACAGAAACCCATAGCCTCCTTGGGTGTATGGAATTTGTTGCATTGGCCTTTGAATTTAGGCCAGTCCACTCAAGCCCAGGCACTGTCATATCTATTCCTCAATATTGGTGATTTTCTTCAACTGTCCTTTCATTCTTATTGTTCCAACTGACAAAAACTGAGTGATGTTTAGAAAGATAATTAGGCTTGAATCTGGAGATGCATTGCATGACTGAAAAGGCACTTCTGCTTGTGCAAATGAGCCATGCTAAATTCTATCCATTTCCCCATTTCACTGCAGCCCCTAATATCCACCATAGACCATTGCAAGGGGTTCCTTATCCCTCAGAAGCAGCTAGGCAGGGGGCCATGTGGAAGAGAAGCAGCTACACACAGAGTTCTGCTGATCTTGCTGGATCCTGCCCACTGTACAAGTTGAGGGACCGACTGCATTAAATTAATACATGTATACATTTAAATTTCCTAAATACACCAATCATTAACTAAATTCTATTGATTTCAATGGAACTGAGGTCCAATTAGTATGGATCCAACTCAGTATATTTCATGCTCCTCAAACAGTAAAGCAAGGTGCAGTTTGGTACAATAGTAAGTAATGTATACATTTCAGTTTTCCAAACATTTCTGGTTCATTCTAAAAATCAAGAGAACATGATCAGTTTCTTACATCCAAATCTTGGTTTCCATATTTCCAGAGATTTTACATCTGTGCTGTAGGTATCTAAGACTGGTCCATTATTCTTAACAACTTTGAACAATTCAGACAGAAAAAAACAGATTCTGTCATCACAAAAAAGTATGATCTCCACTGCAACCTAAGAAGTACTGAAACACAGGTACCTATTCAATACCCTCCAGATGTGCTAGAAGACATCTTCTATCACTCTAGTCCAGATCCAGAGTCACATGATTGGGAAAGGTGGCCGTAGAATATTTTCATCTATAACCACTTAATGCTTCATACAAAGCATTCATGATGACAGGTGCAATTTTCTAAGTTTGGTAAGATTGATCAACCTGGGATAAGATCAAAATATCCTTTGTTATAAACTTGCTGTGTAAGAGGTCTGTTTCAGTTTTACCCTAGACATTACCAGATTCTTTAACAACATTAAACAGATGTTCAGTATCTTTCTCCATATCCACAGATGAAGTTAAACTATATATTGTTATAGTGAATTCTGCCAACCCCTACAGGATGAATTGATACTTTTATTTTCATTTTAATTCTTTGAGGCCTGCTTCTAGCTGAAAAGCAGTACAATTTTCAAAGTGACATTAGGAATATCTTTTGATAAGGAAAGAGTAAATTATGAACGTTACTGATGGGAGTCAGAAATCTTAAAACAGAATTCATACATTCTAATCACTGAAGCTTTTCTTCTTGGACTATCTAGCACTTGGCTTACCAAAGCTTCATTATTAAGTGAATGTATAAGCAAACACCAAATACTTGTGCATGTATGATATATAAACATTAATCAGTAGTGGTGGTGGTAGCAGCAGTTAACTTATTTTACAGGAACTTGAACTTTTCATGTTTTCACGTACGTTTTGCATATAGGCAACAGCAAAATGGTGAACAATGGTTGACATTCTGATGGTACAACTTAACTTTGGCCATCATTTCCATGAATATTCAGTTTTATTTCAGTTTCAGAACCTGTGTAGGCCTGAGACTCACACTCATCTGGGTTCTACACCCTTCTTAGTTACAAAGTTTACCAGGTGATTTGAGCCTGTCACTAATAATCAGCCTAACCTACCTCAAAAGATTCTTCTGAAGATAAAATTGAGAGCAGGAGAATCAAGTAAGCCACTTGGGGTTCTTTGCAAGAGGGAAAAAGTTGGGATAGATCAATTTAATCAATAAAACTCTTAACAGATTTGCATTTCCAGGCTTTGCATTTACAAAGCCATTTCTAATGAAACATAATTATGTTTGGTTAAAACAAGATCTGTGCCAGAAACAAAGCATACTAATTTCCCTTCAAAAATGCTGTGTTGCAAACATATAGGCTGGATACCTCCTGGACAGCAACAGATCCTTCTCCTAAGCTTTCTGAACTGTATGGCCATAGTTCACCAAGATCATTTAACCAGTGACAGGAAACTACTGTATTACACATGTTTTTTCTTCACAAACTTGCTCTAGTTTTCTCCTAACTGCATAGTTTCCTGCCATAGTACACATTTGACAAATTATAACAGGTTGCAGGGATGAACATCTGACTTCAAAATAAATTACTCAACACAGCAGAAACTGACTTCAGAGTTGTAGCAAACACTAGCGGCAACTCTTAAGTAAAATAGGCTAGAGAGAATTCTGTAAATAAATGTTTCAATTAGCAAGGTAAATAACTGCCTGCTTGGCCTCAGAGAGCAGCTTGCAGTCTAAACCTTAAGCAGTGTGCAACATTACAAGTTATGCTGATCACATTTTCAGTGCACCTCATCATACCATATTTTCCCCAAGTTATCTGCATTTGCAGTAATATTACACAACATCAGGGAATCATACACAAGAAACTGCAAATGGAGCAGCCCGTAGCTTTTAAAAAGAACACATGTATATAGTAAAATTTAACAGTATTTCTAAGGCACATGGTAAGAAAATAAGTAGACAAAAATTAACTGCCACACAATGACAGTTTGAACAGCATGTGGGAAGTGTTCATGTCCTTTCTCTCATGGCTGTTTATATACATCTAATACCAGCTGTCAGTGAACCCAGTCTTTGGGATAGCGCAAAACTTCTAAGATTTCTGCTTCCCTGGAATCCTGTGGAGGTGAATGCATATATTCCCACCTGTAAAAAAGAAGAGGAAAAAGGAAAAAAAAATTAAGTTCTTCTTGTCCCCCTCAATATTTTAAATCACTAATGTTAACACTAAGTTTTACATTCCATGTAGGGAATATGATCTAGAACAGGTAAAGGCTACTTGGTGCCCTCCAGATGTCTTAGACTACAACATCCATAAGCATAAACTAGCACAGGTAATGGTCACAGATTATGGGAGTAGTAGGCCAAAACATCTCGAGGGCACCAGGTTGCTTAACTGAGATAGGCATTTAATGGTACTGCCTATTTTGATCCGTACAAACTTTTACCAGGGTTCTGTTTGCATTCTGTATTCTACAGCTCAACAAATACACCCATTTTTCAGATGAAGAATTTCTCATATTTGCTTTCTTCTACCGAAATATTTAATTTAGTGATACTTTACAGAACTAACCTATTCCCAAGATATACCTGCTTGGCAGGATAAAATCACTATTAAATTCCCTTGCACAGGTAGACCAAAATCAGATGCTGGCATTTCATCTGTGAGTGGAGCCATGGCAGTATGCACACACAACACAATGGGAAGAGTGAAGGCTATGGCAGGGATGAGAGGCTTTATTCAGAACTTTGCATGTTCAGGAATTGCTCATGCCCCCTGTGATAGCAATGCTAAACCTACTAAAAAGACTAATACAAGTAAACATTGGAAAGCAAGTAGCAGATCTCTTTTTGAATAAAAGAGGTTGTGCTGTGGGCTGTAAATCCAGGTAAGCTCCCACCATGCACTGAGGCAGAGGAGGAGAAGCACAGCTGCTGCAGCTGGCCAAACAAACAGGAATTAGATGCAGAGTTCCAATGAAAGCAAGTCTTACCTTAATGGCAACTTTATCAACTACACCCTCAATGATTCCTCCACAAATGTAAGCACTGAGCAAACTACTAAGCAAATGTGTACTCACTAAATACAGCTTGGCTCCCTCTCTCTATTGCCTGTTCACCTAACAACAGCCAATGTCTCCTGCAGCTGTTTCCTTTTGTATACTACTATCTTCATGTCTCTGGTTTCTCTTCATGTTGGAAAGAACTTCCCTCACCTACTGACCTTCACTCTACAAGTAAAATTCGGCAAAGCAAGTCATTCCTCTCTAGCAGCTCTTAATTGTTATGAACCGTCCAGAAAGCTTTGGCTATTGGATATTATAGAAATGAAATGAAATAAATAAATTCCTCTATTCTGTATCCAAAGTTTTGTTAACACCAGGCTTGCTACAACAATAAAAAATTCTCCTTTTCTGAAAAATGATGCATTTGATATTAGCAGAAAACCTTCAAGTCTAAAGCAATACTTTGTAGGCACCAATCCAGTAAAAGAGGCCTACCCTGAACTCATCAAACCCCTTTGATCAGGACCCTGGGTGCATTGCTTCAGGCAGATGGAAACCTGTATCCATCAAGCTACTACTCCTATGCACACATTTGAAGCTGGGCCAGACACCTGACTTTAGCCCTAGTACAATGCACCTTGTTACAATTAAAAGTAAAAGAACTTGTTAGTTTCCTATCAAAGGAGTACCTGTTTGGCTGGTTATATTTATATTCTTACCTGGCAGTGAGTGGCAAAGACATAAGAATACTTTCAATTCGTGATCCTGGTGTTGCAAGACCAAACTTTGTTCCTCTGTCATAAACAAGATTGAATTCCACATATCTGTAGAATAACACAGGGTAAAAAAGCTGGTGAGACAGTGTTAGTTTGTTGCAGGAAAAACATAAAGAGTTTTCTGGGACTAACAAAATTATTCTAGCATAAACTTTCATGGACACAGTCCTCTAATCATTCATGAAACATTTATCTCAAACTGGCAGATGCTGGTGGTGGCCATGTAAACCACCAGAAGGAATTGAAATGCAGAAAGTATAGTGATAATGAACAGTTGCCACTCACAAAATGCTGTTGGGTGATAATATAGACTTATTCCCAATGGTGAGTTGATTAACATGTGTAGTGTGATGATAAAGAAAATCTTCTAATCTTAAGAAAAAAGTATAGAAGCAAGTAGTGAAGGGATAATGAAAATGCACATGAAAGAGACGATCCTATGGCTTTCTGACACCTAGAGTTCTCTGATGAGCCCCCACCCCTTGCAGCCACTGCCCCCACCCCCCAAAAAACCCCACTGGTTTTTTCTCTAAGGACAGAAATGTGCCTCAGAGAGGGGAAAATGAGCGTGCCAGACAGCAGGGAGAAAAGGAGGCTCTGGCCATCTACTTATTCAGATTCCTGTTGGCACCCCAGCCTCCTCCTCTTCCCCTCCCTGCCACTTTATCTAGACAGCCAAGAATGGCAACATAGATAAAATGCACAGGGTAAGGTGGCGATAGCACTTTTGGCTGCTGGATGTATTTAAGCTTCTAAGTTCAGAAGCATATGTGCATCTAAGGTGGGGTCAATAGAATTGTTTCCCAAGAGTTTCTTCAAAAAGTTAAGGAAAAATACAGTGGTTTCTATGGAACTTTCTCTGGAGGTATAAGAATAGTATAGCTTAAGTTTCTGATAAGGCACAGGAAGAAATGTGAGCATCTACTTGTGCAATTTTACTTGTGCAATTTTAAACTGTAAAACTGCATCCCAAGCCAGCTTTTGCTTTACTGTAATATTTCACGTCAGCTCTAGTTATCTAATAAGAAAACTGAACACCACACGATATAGCAACAGTCTTAGCCACTGCAAACACTGATATTTACATTGCCTCTAAACCCTCATGGCATAGCGCTCCCTATCTTCACCACCAGTCACAATGAGTGAAGACAGAAAGGGGAGGTGCTCTAATATCTTCTTATCGTGGAGCAAAGATAGACAGAACTCAGCAGAGGACCCACAGTTAGCTTAATCCTAAGCTTTACATGGTTTACCAGAAGGCATGAGTGTCACTGATATGCTTCCCCCACACCTCAAGCAATGTTCTAATCTCTCATAAAAGAATATTTGCTCGAACACCCTGCTATCTGAATAGAACTGCTCTCATCAATTAAAGTCCATGCCACTGGAGACAGACACTAAACTTGGAAATTTAGTATTCTTCTCCATGGAACTTCTTCTCTGGTCACTTCTGTGCAAACTTTGTTGCATAGCCAGTCCTTTAAAGAGAATCAGAAATTGTGAACATTTGGAATTTTAAAAAAGTGTAATACAACTGTTGGGAAATTTCAGTTATCTTAAAATACAGCTGCTAGGATGTTGACTGGGTACATTTCTTGCCATTACTGAAAGAACTTCACTGACTTCCAATATAATATGAAGCACAACTCAAAGTGCTGGTGCTTATCTTCAAATCCCTGTACAACTTAGGACACAGGTAGTTAAAGGAATACCTGTACTTACAGCAAACTGGTGGATTGAGATCATGTTCAGAAGCTCTCTTCTTGGGGTCCCTAAAGATAAGACTGGCAACAGCCAAAGCCAGCGTCTTTTTTGTGGTGGCACTTGGTATGTGGAACTTCTTCCCAAAAGAACTTCATCCGATGCTAACATTGTTATGTTTTCAGCACAAATTAAACATTTTTAATCACCAGACCTTTTGCAATTTATATTTTAAAAAACATGGTGTTATTTATTGTATTTTAATCTTGTGGTTATTGATAAGTTTTGTTGAACAGCAGCATACAAGTGTTGTAAATGAAGTAAAATAATTACTTTACTAAAGTAAATTCATTTTACTTAACAAAATATAAACAAGTCAAATATGTAAGTGGATTTTCAACCATAAACCAGTAGCAGAAACACTGTTCTTTGGGACAAGCTCATCTTAATAAAAAAGCTTCTTGGCCAATTCAAAATTATGTTACTTTTGGTTTTGCCTTATTTTTTTAAAGTGCCAAATTATTTTGGATTAGCGGTCAGTGGGTACATCAACTGAAAGCCAGAAAGCTATCTTTCATCCCAAACATAAAACATAAACTCTTTCTCACATACCTTCCTCTACGGATCTGCTGCCACAATTTTTCTTCTGGGGTGAATGTGTCATGGCAGTGTTTCTTCACAATAGGAATGTAACAAGGCACAATGGCTTTGGCACAACTCTGCACAAACTGAAAGGCTTCTTCTTTTGAAGGTGAGTCCAGGTCATCAAAAAATATGCCACCAATCCCTCGTCGTTCTCCACGGTGTTTGATGTAAAAATATTCATCACACCTGTAACCAACAGCAACTCAAATACATCACTGAAGTACAATAGTCTAAAATAGCCAAAATGCACATTACAGCAAAAAATTATGCTAGTTAAATGAAATCAAAATCGTACATTATAAAGTAGCAACTATTTTCCCTTTCAATAAAAATGCTAGATAACAAAAAGCATTATAAAAGCAGACTTCTAAATGTATTGGTAAGAGTGAGCACCAAGCAAACCTTTAAAACAGAAGTTATGGTAGACATATAAACAATATTTTTAAGTTAAAAGGAAGCTAGTTCACTGAATTTCCAATATATCTATCACTGAAAGCTCCAATTGTTCAATAGCACAATCCTCTTTCTATACAGCACTTTTTAAAATTATTGCATTACATTTATATCTCACTCTATTCATTCTTACAAGGAACCAAAGGTGGCTTACATACCCCTCCTCTACTCCATTTTATTCTCACAGCAACCACCCTGTGAGGAAGGATTTAACTGTGAATGAGTGACTAGCTCAAATAGTCTAGTAAGCTTCATGCCCAAGTGGAGGATAGACCCTACATCTCCCTGCTCCACAGTCCAAAACTCTAACCATCATGCCATACTGACTTTTGATTTTTTGGGGCCACTGATATATATTGAAGTCTGGAAGAATACTGATCTTGAACCCAGAAAGGCTGCCTGCTGCTGATCTTCCAGTTATCTCCAAACAGAACAGGTCAGTCTCGGAAAATAAGGTAAACTCCAGTCTGAAGGGTCCTAAAACATTTGTTCAAAGGAAAGGAAGCACTGCCCCAGTGCATATCAAAAGAGAACTGGGTTCAGGTGAATGAGGAGCAACAGTGCTATATTTTATTTAGAAAAGAAATTAAGACATTGAGCAGAGCTTGGCAAAATGTTAAGAATATATGCTTGTTGGTCCTTTTGAGCAACTAATATATGTACTAGACAAGGAAGAGCATCTTCTCCCTCCTTTCAAAGGCTGACGTGTGCAAGGAAGCTTGAATACAAGCATACACTTATTAATTCATAAAGCATGAACTGATCCTTACAAACCTAACTTTAGAATAACTGTTGGAAAATTATTTTCTTCACTGATTTAGACAAGGAGGCTGTTGAAATTCTTGAGAACTTTCATAGGCACATTCATTCAGAAATAACCTCCACAGTACTCATACTACCAGAAGAGATTTGTAAATTAACCCCAGATGCTTTATGACAATCTATTCTTTCCTCGGGAGAAAGGTTGATTAGGATACATACCATTTCTTAAACTTTGGATACAGCTCAGGATTATGTTCATCACAGGCTTCCTTCAGTGTTTTGTGAAAATGAACTGCATCTTCTTTGTTCAAGTAAGTTGGAGTAAGGTCTGTTCCACCACCAAACCACCACTGTTTATTACCTAAGGAAAAAACTCAGCCCAGAGCTTAATGTTTTACCTAGAAGGGCAAGTTACAGACCTTATTCTTGCATTTAGTCACAGGATATGATAATCTCATTCATTCATTCATTCATTCATTCATTCATTCATTCATTCATTCATTCAGGAGGCTTCTATGCTGCCCCATTCGCCGAAGCCTTGGGGCAGCTCACAATAATAAATAAACACAATATAAAAACAATGTAATTTGAGTCGACCTGGCCATTTACTCACTCACTAGTATGTAACAAATTAAAAATAAGATTACTGTGAATTTAAATTTAATTTGTTTAAATTTACATGATTTAATGGATTAAATCATCATGTAATCAAGTGGATTACATGATGCCATTCTGATTTATGTTGCTAAAGAATTAGAAAGAGTACAATCTAAAAACGGTATCACAAAATCAGATATACAGTTCATACATAGAAAGAACAGATTGCTACTTCTATCTTTGTCACACACTTTCTGGCATATGCAAATACACCAAGACATCATGTGGTACTGAGGAATTAAAGTGCAGAATTTAGAACACCCCAAAACAATTCATTGTTGTAGTATGAGGCTACTCCCTTTTGACATTTGTCTCCATCTCTCTCTGTCTCTCTCTCAGACACACACACACTTCATCACTACAGATTACAGGTCTTACCATCTGCTTCCTCAATTTCAAAGTATCTGTAGTTGAAATGTATAGTGGGAACATGTGGGTTCTTCGGATGAATAACAGAACTTACACCCATAGCACAAAAAGGCAACTTTCCTAGATGGCAACACAAAAAAGATGTCTTGATCAATAAGAGCAACAAATTGGGTAAGATTCAACAGTGTGCCAGTGTTAGTGCTAACAGAGTTGTGCTAGCATAAACAAATGCTTACACAACTTAACTACCAGAATGGCAAATTCTCTTTTTACACACTATGCTACATACATCAGACAAGCACTGGTTTATGCTAACAAAATGCCTTTAGCACTACTGGGACACTGCTGGGTTCTATCCCAGGCATTAAAAAATGGAACGAAAAGCTTTCTGTGTTTCCATTTCTATAGTCTTCATCTCAGACTAACTTTTTAAAGGCAGCAATATTTTAGATTTTGAATTAATTATTGTGTCTCATTATTCAAAACACATTTCAGATCTAGAAAAGATTTAAAAAACTATAGCAACATTAACTGCCAGCTTTAGGGGCATTTTCAATACTTTGCTGCAATCCTATACTCAGCTACCTGAAAATAATTGCATTGAATTTTATAATGTATTGTTTTGTATTGTATTCAATTATTTCTGTATTGACATATAGAAACTTGCATTATTTACAACCAAAAGCATGTTTTACAAAAGATTTGTAAACTTCCAGAAGGCTTTGGCTGTGGGAAGCTGGATGCTAGCCTAAACATATCTTTGATCTGATCAGCAGGACTGATCTCATATCCTTCAACAGATTTCAAGTAACCTGCCTCACCATTGTGGTACTTCAGATTTTTCCCCCTGCTTCTCATCTGTTTAGCTGCTTCTTCAGAAAGGTTCCCAAAAACAACTGACACATTGACTCCAGCCTTCTCAAATATTTCACCATCCTGGAGTACACAGCTGATGCCTCCTCCACCTGTTAAATACAAGAATCAGAGCTTTTACTCCCACTATGACCAAATTTCAAAATATTATGAGTATATTACTCAACATGGGCAAAACAGGGATAAAATTACAAGGAAATCAAGGAGTCAAACACCTTTACTGTTTCTTATGCCCCCACTTTTAAGAAGCTCTGTATGAGATGATTTGACTAAAATTGCCTACAGTCAGGTTGTAAATGATGGATTACTTTATTGTTTCTTTAATTTTGTCCCTTAATTCAAGCACTGGAAAAAGGGTGGATAAAGCATTAAATAATCTTATTACATCTTTAAGCATTACAAGTTCACAGCTGGTATTACTTTGTTAATACATTCCAACTTATTTAAAGTTCATCAGTTCATATAAATATGGCCATTGGCAATCTGAAGTTTGCAAAGAATATATTAAATTTTACTACCATTCTGCTCACTGACAAAAGAGCTATTTTTTTTTTACTATAAGCAGAAGGAAATTAAGTGGATGTCTCTTCCTAACCTCTAATAAAGGGGGACACAGCCACTTTCAACCATGTTTCTCAAACAATATATTTATATATGTGATAGGGGTCTGCATTGTTGTTGTTTTTGACAATGTAGCACTCTGATATTTGATAAGAGTAGAGAGAACTTCTGAATAGGATCCTCCTTTCTTATCTTCATCAGCTCACACACCATGTGTGTAGCACAAGATTCAGTCATAAAAAGCCCCCCTACATATTTCAGGATTTTTTACCTCTAAAATGGTTCCAGTGCAAGAGATTATGAAGCCCTAACTTTTCTAAGCCTTCTTTTCTTACTACACAACATTTTGTTATGGGTCTAACAACATCTTTATAGAGCTGCAGAAGAACCAAGCTAATATGTTTAACTGAGAGAGAAGTTTAGATGACATTTCAGTGAACAGAAAGCATGGTCTCAATAAATCAGGGGGACCTGCATACAGGGTCACCAACAGAAGCTGTTTGTTTTATTTATTTACTTCGAGTAGATTAGATTCCATATAGATTCCATCTCATATTAAAAATCATGACTGTATCATGTATCAAGCACATGTGTCCCATATGCCTGACAACAAAGTTTTAAGTCATCTGGACAGGACTTCCATTGGGGACAAAGCATCCTATTGGCTCTTTCATTCATTTGTTGCCACTGGGTTCATTGCCTTAGAATGATTAACAGACTCTCTGTAGTAGGGAATAAACCAACATCTGCACATGGGTTCTTATACAACTTCCCTGTCATCCACAGATATATATATCAGTCTGGATCCTATATATAAGACCTGCCCCTGAGTAGCAAATTATAAGTTATTTAAGCATCCTCTTCCCCTATTTGGGACACAGATAAAGATCATATTCCTATATTCCAAAATAAACTACTATATCTGAGCTAAGCAGTCACAGTCACTAATGAATTCAAATTTATTCATAAGCACACATAGCAAAAAGAAAAGGCTTAGATGGATGACAGAAGAAACACTCCCCCTTCTTAAGGGGAGATGAGATGCAGAAGCAGTAGATGACAGAAATAGGGTAAGAATCCAAAATTCAACTTTTCAGCAACTATCGTGTAGAGAAAACAAACTGTTAAAATGACCAGTGCAAGAAATGGAAGAGAACAACAAAAGAAGAAATGCAAAATATCTTTTCTTTAACACCTTCTCCAAGAAATCAAATATTTCCTAGATTAGGAATGTTAAAACACCAACAAGTGAACATACTATCTGATCAGAATAAAATAAAGAGAAAGTAGAAACAATATATTAGAAAGTGAAGTAGAAGCTGCTATGAAAGCACTTAGCAGGAATAAAGCACCCAGAGTAGATAGGATACCAATAGAACTATTCCAAGCTGCAGACACCGACTTGGTCCAAATCCTAACAAGAATATGCCAACAAATATGGAAAACAAAACAATGGCCCACATTCAATACCCTGCAAAACGTAAGAATACAGATGCAAAAGAGTGGAGCAACTATAGGGTCTTTTTATTAAGAATATTAGAAAATTGTACCTTGCAAGAGAAGTGATGCTTCTGGTATTGCAAAAAAGAATTTAATCCTATATGGAGGCATTCAAACTGGATTCTGGAAGAGGTACTGGCAATACAAAAAGGACAGAATATGGAAACAGAATGGTTTCCCATAAATGAAGGTGCTAGGCAAGGGTATATTTTATCTGTTTAATCTGTATGTAGTACATATCATAAGAAAAGCTGATTTAGGATCAAAGGAAGAAATGAACATTGGAGGAAGATCCATCATTTAATGTAGGAAGATAATACTCAATTTCTAACCAAAAACAGCAATGAACTGAAACAAGTCCTGATAGAGCGAAAGGGGAAAATGCAAAAAGTGGAATTGTAGCTGAATAACAAGGAAACAAAAAAAATCATGAAGAATTGCACAACTTTACAGTTTACAAGAAAGATTCTGAAATTGTGGAAGTGTTTGCATAGCTTGGATCAGTCATCAGTTGATCTGGAGACTACTTCCAAGAATTTAGAAGATTACTGAGACTTGGAAGAGCAGCAATGAAGGCATTAGAAAGGATCATCGTGTGTAAGGAAAGCTCACTGAAGACCAAGGCCAAGATCATCTGCACTATTGTATTCTCAATCAAAGCTGAGAGGAAAGAAAATGATGCATTTGAAACATGGTGCTGGAAGAGAACTTGAAGAGGGCACACCAAATATCTGAGGACTGATTCCAGAAAGGAAGCCATGGCTTTGAGTTTTCAAGAGCTGAGTGGGATGGTCAAGGACAGGAGGGTATTCATGCATAGGGTTGCTGTATGGCAAGACAACTTATAGAATCATAGATTAGTAGAGTCGGAAGGGGCCACGAAGGCCATCGAGTCCAACCCCCTGCTATTGCAGGACACCAAGTTACTTGACAGCATATAAAAGCAACAGCACCCAGTGAAAGGATGGATGAGAATACTCTTTAGCCAAAGTGTAAGTATGACAGGTCGCTTGAAAGGAGTCAGAGTAAAATAATCCTCAGTTTAAAACTTCCCATTCCCACTTAGTTTCCTAGAGCAATCTCAACTCATACTAAACTTTGTGTTGCCTGGCATTTCGAATTATTTTAATTAAGAACATGGGTTATAAATTCAAGATGTTTGTTACAAAACTGTGCACACTCACTAGGAAATAAAAGCCCTGCTGAACTAAGCTTGTGTAAAGAGGAACTATGGGATGAGGTTACTAGTTTAATGGAATTCAGTTCTATTAGTACAGGCACAAATGGTGTCAACTACTCTGGATAAGTTATCCTTAGTTAACAGCAGTATCCAGGGTTAGTCCTCCTTAGAGCAGACCGGCTGAAATGAATGGGATTTATGTTCGCCATAAATATGTCTTACATATTACAATGGGTCCACTTTAAGTAGGCCTGCACTGGATGCAGTCCCAGTGTGTACGGTGTGTATGAGAGCGGAACCGGGGTCACCTTCCTTCCTCTCCCAGCGGTCCACGGTGAAAGCGGCGCTGCGGTCGACCTGGGCCAGGGCTCTGCACACCTGGCTCTGCGTTTCCATGATGAGCAGCTCCATGCGGCTCTGCATGTCCCCACGCCGGTCCCGCAGGTCGCACAGCCGGCTCACCGGTGGGGCCATGAAGCGCTCGCAGAGCCGCTCTAGATCGTCGTCGTCGTCGTCGTCGTTCGCGCCGTCGGGTTCTTCCCGGGACAGCTTTCGCGGCTGCTGCCTCTGCCGCCGCTGCTCCTCCATCTCCGCCCGGCGCGCCAAGCCCAGCCCGGCCAGCGCCGCCGCTACTGCGCCCGCACCCCAGGCCAGCAGCGGCCGCCTCCGCCACCCGTTTTCCGCCCAGCGAGAAGAGCTGCCCGCCGCAGACTCGCCGCCACCGGAGCAGAAACTCCTGGAGCAGCGCGGCCCAGGGCCTAGCGACAGCGCCCGGGCACCAAGAGCGCAAGCCCCGCGCAAGAGACGGGACATGACGGCCACCACCGACCACCCCGAAACGCCTCCAGTGAACCCTCACGACGGCAGCCCCCGACGGTCCTGACAAAGTAGTGCGCGCCCACACCCTCTCGCTTCAGCGGTGGGAGGGAGGGGGAGGCACTCTGAAGCCACGGTTCTCGGGAGATGTAGTACCGCCGGCAACCACGTCATTGCCCAGTGGAGCCCCTTCACACTACAATTCCCAGCAGCGTCCAAATGGGCGCTGTCGCCGAGTAGGAGGAAAGGGGCGTGGACGTAGCAAAACGTTTAGTTGCTCAAGATAGCAGGTGTGGGCTTGAAGCACGTAGGACGAGAAAGACGGGAGGCGTGCGACGCATCAGCGAAGCAGGAAGTTAGCGCTTTGAGTAGGCCACCCTGAATTCTGCAAGAAGGAATGTAACTTCTCAGTAAACGTGTTTAGGCAAATTGTACTGAACGCGGCGGAGAATCTCGGTGGAGAATATGGTGATGCTGTCCTTTCTGTCGTCCGCCCTTCCTCCTCGCCCCAGGAATGGTCCCAAGAACCAAGAAATAAATTTACAGTTGTGCAATCGTGAGATGATTCACAGTCTTGAGGCGAAGAACCTGACGTCTTTGCCAGTCAGTTGCACAAGCTGGGTACATGCTTTCAAAAATACACCAGTTTTAAAGTGTTTCTGTGCTCATTTGGAAAGCCTCACAGTCTGTCAGTGTACTCCTGCCAACCGTTCGAAAGGCTCAGTTACTTTGGTGGCGTACTGTAAAGGCTGAGTTGATGGAAGACCCTAATTTAGCCTTTTCAGCATTTGGTATTCAAACCTCTGTATAAATTATCTTCAAGGGAAACTGCTAAGACCTGTGTCAGAGGGGCTCCATGAGCATTGCAGCTTTTATTCCAAGCTTTATTAGAGTGATCCATGATGAGCCTATTTGGGAGATGGGCTTCAGCACCATGGAGAGTTCCTATAATAAAAGTTGCCTTGGATAAGGTGCTCCACTGACATAGGAGTCACCAGTTTCCCCTAATTATCACAGTGATCCTTAGTGATCAAAGTAATCAGGGCTTTTAAAATGGATTCCAATCAAGTATGTAGCTTGCGGGTGCTCCTTGAACCTCTTTATCACTTGAGGCTCATGTGGCATCAGTGGCTCAGAGTGCCTTCTATCTCCTTTGGCTGGTGGACAGCAGGCTGTGCCCATACCTGGACAGGGATTACCTGGATTCAGTAATCTATGCTCTGGTAATCTCTCAATTAATAGGGATGCAGGTGGCACAGTAGACTACTGCAAATGCACTCAATGTGGAGCTGCTCTTGAAGATGGTTCAGAAGCCACAGCTGGTGCAGAATGCAGCAGCCAGATTAGTAACTGGGACCCAGAGGTCTGAACAGATAAGACTGGTTCTGGCCTGCCTGCACTGCATGCCTGTATGCTTCTGGGCCCAATTCAAGGTGCTGGTCTTAGCCTATAAAGCCCCACATGGATTGGGACTGCAATACCTGTTGGAGCCCCTCTCCCAACCTCGATCTACCTGGACACTACACTCAACCTCTTGGGCCTTCCTTCAAGTGCCTTTTTTGTGGTGGCCCCCATCTTTGGAACAACCTGCTGCAGTCTGCCTAGTGCCAAACCTGCTATCTTTTTGGTGCTGGATTAGGAAAGCCCTCTTTGTGGAGGCCTTTAAAGATTTCCCAGGTCATTCAACTAATGGGTTGATCCAGGTGCCTTTTTCCTTTCTGCTTGATCACCTCTTTTTATTGTATTTCTATTGTATTTTAATACTATTTTAAATTATTTTAAAACACTTTAAAATATTATTTATAAATAAATTTATTTTAAACATTGTTTTATGTACTGTATTTTATTGTTTTTATATCTTGCTGTTATCCACCCAAGGAACTCTAATTACCAGCGATATAGAATGAATGCATGAATGAATGAATAAATAAATAGATAGATAGATAGATAATTCTTAGTCAATCCCTTTAGTATGTCTTTCTCTTGAATCTTGAAAAAGCTGCTATTGCCAACATTCACACACAGAAGTACAAGTCATTCAGGCATCCTTCTAAACCATGGTGTCCTCCAAATATTTTGGACTACAGCTTCCTGCAGTCCCAGCCAGAATGGGCAATGCTAATGGAAGATGGGAGTTGTAGTGCAAGACATCTAGATAGTAGACTAGTGCAGAAAAGACTGGTACAGAAATAAACACCCTTACCCACCAGAAGTTTTGGGCTAATGCTGGTACAATGCCTTATCATTGGCCATGATGGCTGAAATTGAGGGGAATTGTAAAATATCCAAGGGTATTTGGATACCCTTGAGGGTGCCAGGTTCTGTATCAATATGTTTGCTGGTTCCTATTCATTAGGAAGTAGGGTGTTTTACCTGTTCCAGATGGAGTTGCACTCCCCTTGAAGGAGCAGGGCTGTAGGTCGAGAGAACTCTCAGAATGATATGAACATGTCCAAACACCATGAAACCAAAATATGAAATATAGAATAATAGCTAAACAGCAAAGAATAAAATTCAGCTAGAGAAAATAAAAAGGGCTGGGTAGGAGTGAAGGAAGTTGAAGGTCATCAACATCTGAAGGAGCACAGCTTCCCCCTACCTTGTAGAAATTATGAAAATTTACAGGCTTTGGATGAACATGTGGATAAACCCAGGGCCTGTGATTACCTGCAAGTCCTGCTATGTGTGGACCTCAAGTTGTAATTTGATGTTTCTGTGGCCTGGTTTCTAAGACAATTCAGTGTGTTTATGAATGATATACAATCTTCAGCTGCCTTCAACTATTTACCAATATAAAGTTTTAACTAACAGGAAGACAAAAAGGTGGAATATAAATGCAATAGAAGGAGGAGGAAGAGGAGAAAGCTTTTTAGAACATAATCATGCTCATGTTTAAACAGAAAATTCCTACAATTGCCAGCATTCTCCAACAGGCCATGTAGATTTTTTTCCCTGTCTAAACATGTACAGACTTGTTCCCTAAAGTAATGTCAATTCATTAACATGAAAACAGTAGTGACAATTTAGATGTAGAAGGTTTGGACCAACATACACTTAATAATTTTAAAAATTCAGTAACAGTAAGTGTATATCAATGTAATAACAATATGCACAGTTAAACTGTTCTAACTGCTTGAGTGTGAATGCACTCACTATTTGTTGATCTTGGCACACTAATAGTATTCCAATGTGTGGGTGTTACTGTGTTCTGGAGTATAAAATACATCTCATTCTGATTTTGAAGGGCCACATGTATATAAACTATAGATGTACAGTCCCAGAAAGTATTCCTGTTGCAGGCATGTAGCAAGGTAGAGACCTGTTCTCCCTGCAGAGGAGGGCAGGATGCACTCCAATGGAGCCAAGCTCAGGGAACCAAGGTTCCATTTAGATGCCGGGAAGCACTTCCTGACAGTTAGGACCCCTAGGGTATGGAATGAGCTTCCATGGGAGGTGGTTAAGGCCCCATCGGTGAGGGTGTTCAAGGATAGGCTAGACATGCACATGGTGGGCATGTCATGAGCGGAGCTGGCTGGAGCTGGGGGTCAGAATAGATGGCCTGGGAGGCCCCTTCTGACTTGCTCTGTTTCTATGATTCAGGACTGAAAAGAAACACCCTGAAAGAAATTTTAATATGACACTATGGGAAAGGTCACTTGCAGAGAGAGTCGCATCTCCATTACCTCATCAGTGACTTACTGTTTTGTTTGGTCTCTGGAGAACCAGTTCAGAGAACAGAGAGACTGACTATCCATTGCATCAGCCTTGCCCAATCTGCCAGATGTGTTGGGAGATCAGCTCCCATAATTTCCAGACAGCATGGCCACTGGCCCTGCTGCAGCATGCACATCCAAGCAACGCATTGTTTGAGGCCTATACAACCTTCAAATAGCCCAGGGATTGTTTTAGGCTTATCTGAGGAATGAGTAACCTTCAGTCAATCCATGCTGCCAGCATTTACATGACAAGGCAAGCCTTGAATGCAGGGGACCTGTGGGTTCCATACAAAAATTGTGCCCAAAATAACAGCCCCCATTAGTAAATTCAACCATGGTGGTCTGTCATGCCATGGGAGGAGGCAAGTTCAGCTGCAACATTTTTGCATCCATCTATAAACTGCATCTTATCCAAATGTTACATGAACAGAATTGCTGGAAACATGTTATGCTATTCCAGACAAGAACAGTAGAGGGCAATATACAAATGATTTTGAATTCTTGGTTATTTTTTTGCATCGCAAAGTAATGGAAATTTTCTGTTGTTGTTTAGTCCCCAAGCCAAGCCTGACCATCATAACCCCATGGACAAAAATTTACTAAGAAGAATTTGATCCCAATACAAACTGACCAGAGTTATCCATTAGGCTAAGAGATATTTGGTGTGTATGGCTGTAAAATACTAACACTAGATAATTGTATTATATAAATGAAAATGGGGCATCTGGCTCTGAAGAAGTAAAAAAAAGTATGTTGTGGGTATTCAAGTAGCCAAAAGTAACAGTAAATAAATCTACAAAGGATTCATGTCTAGTAAATATCATTCCCTCCCACTCCCATTACAGTCCTTCCTACAAGCTGGTTTAATCTTCTTCCCTTATTTCTCATTGTTTTGTTGCACTACTTTGAGTTGGCTTGGTGCCCTCTTTTGGTGGGATTAAGTCTAACTTTCAGTGTTCTTTTTGAAGATGGAATTGGTGCAGATCCTAGGCTTTCCAGTCTAGTCTGGGAAGGTTGAATAGCTTCTTCCCATGGAGAACCAATGGCAGGAGCTAACCCAAAGGTCTTGGAATGCTCTTCAGAAGTTATGCAAAACAGCAATTTTCCTACAGAAATCAATAAATGACATTCACTGATAATGGATTAATTTATTAAGTTGACCGGCACTTTGCTGGTATGTAATAAACCTCCCCCCCGCACATGCATTTCCATCATCATGTGAGGGCCCAAGCATGGGATGTACAGGCTGGGAACTAGGGCCCTCTGGTCCAAGCTGCAACCCTAGCATTAAGAAGGAAACTGAGACTGAATATTTATAGAAACTTGTTTCCTTGAGTCATTGTGCCTTTTTTCCAGATACTGTGAAATTTCCGGGAGCAAGTCAAAAGCCATGGCAAGGTAACACAAGCAACTTTTTGACAGTGA